TAAACCACTTGGATCGCCCAAACACTTCGACATGGGCCGAATCAGATTGTTTGACGTCGCTGCGGCCAATTCTTGCGACCTCGTCGCTCGGCGCCCGGGAGTTCTGGCTGCGCTACCCCAACGCTTTAAGCGCCTGGCATGATGGAACCCCTCCATCCCCCCTCTGCTCATATTGTCGACAGCAGAACCCTGACGTCAAGCCAACGGCGGTTTCACGACAGCGTCAAACATGTTCGAATTGCTTCCTCTGACACATTGCGGTGGCGGGAATTTCACTAAGCATTGTTTCTTTTGAGTTGCTGACGAGGTCTCATTGAAGGAGTCAGATCCAAGGGGTCTAATGCCGCAGGATCTGAACACGGGGTTCACCATCTTGTCCAGTGTCTTAGACAAAAAAGGGACTTCCTGGGTTGAAGATGCCCAATCCTTCAACGACGGAGAATCGATCAACATGTGCCGTCTTAGCAATGGTTGCTCGATGTGGCAAATCTATAACACACTTGGCCATGTCTACATAGACACTGTACGACGATACTGCCGCGCTTCTCGGATCCGATATGCCCCCGCACTCTGATTCCCAGATCGAACAACTGGGGAGAATACATGACTGGTTACTTCCAAGACTTGTACGACTCCTCCCGGATGGAAGCATAAGTCTCTCTCGGTTTCTGCCGGTAAGCGGTATCAAGGTTCTGGGCTGGATGAAGAAGAGATTGAATTCGTCTGCTTTGCCCCTCGCGGTGGCATCGGAATCCAAATCCCCAGCCCGATGCCTCGGATAGAGACATTTAGAGTTAATGGAACATACGGCCTAGCCAGCTGGTCCTCCCCTTCTCGTCCCAGGCGATTGTGTCTCAACAGCTTTTTCAGAACCTGTAGCACCTCCTCAAACAGCCCGATAAGCCGCCACGACAGCCAAAGTCGGACTGCCTTCATCACCGAGATGTCTGGGCCGCCCATCGCGTAGAAAAAGAATGGCCCGTCAGCTTACTCTCTCTGCACTCTACCATCTCTTGCTACATCTGTCCGCCCACATCTTCTGACACATGACACATGACACAATGTCCTACCCACCAAGAAGCGGCATGCTGTTTCCTTTGTGGCTTCAGTCCCTTTGGGCAGGTAGTCTATGTGAAGCGGAAGGTCTGCTAGGGAAGTTGGGCTGGGGTTCAAATCCCGTTCGTGTCACCATACCTTAACTCAGTTGAATGTCAGCCGGACCGTGTGCTTTAGAATTCTCGCGCCACAGTGATAGGCAGAATGAAGAGAGCAAAAGCAGAAGAAGAAGTAGAAAAAAGTTGAAAAGGGGGGAGTCGAACTGGCATAAATTTTGCTACAGCGAGACGTCAGGCGATCTGGAAGCTTCAAATAGCAGGTTCGCGTCAGTGAAAGAGAAGCTACACTCGAAACCAGTCGGTCAAAGTGTACTTTCTCGCCCACCCCGATAGAATGCCCCAACTTGGTGAGCTATAGAATATTCGCAGACTGCGTGTGGCCAGGTAGGTTACGAATGACAAGGTACGGGGGGAGGCTTGGGGGCCACAAAGGTGTATAAGGCTTGTCAAAGGTGGTGATCAAAGGCGGTGGCGTTCTGTGCCGTGTGAACCCTGCGTCGGAGTTTGATTGAGCTTTCACAGGATACACCAGCTCGTCTTGCCCAGAATCAACAATTCCTACTGGTAAACAGCTCTATTACGATGTGGTTGGCTTTGTTGGGATCCTGAGATTCGTTATGCTCGCCACTCAACTGACCTCACATCGGATATGTGACGAAGCCTGAGTAGCTACTCACTTCTCAAGAACTATACTTCCCCATTCACTTCCTGAAATAGGACCAAACCGCAGCTAAGCCGAATACCAAATAGCAGATTTAATGAATATGCTAGGTCCTTCTCGTCGTTATTTCAGAAAGCATAACCGAACCCTCTTATATCACGCTGACCCTTCATGTCTCGGCTATCCACTGACAGCTGGATACTGCATCTTCTGACAGTTCTGAGACAAAGCTTACCTTTGTTTTCACTTTTTCCGATCTCGGTGTGCTTGTGGAAGCAACCTGGGCATCGACGTGCTTGTAACGTCGCAAGTCCTTGGTGAGATTTTGGCAAGGCAGAGTCAGAGTCAGAGTGACGAGACCCTTACGGTCTGAACTGCTATGAACCCGCCACTTATGTACATGTGAGCTGGAGAATGGTGGTAGTTGAGACAGAGGTTGCCCGGTTTCTGTACGTATACTGGGCCTCGGCTCTGTTTCTCCTGTGAAAGACAACTCGGATCTGCGAGACTTCGGTGAGTGGATTGTCTGAGGGAAAGTAGGATAGATAAATTGCGGCTGTTGATGGCGGGTGTGAGAGGCGCGAGACAGTCTCGGGCGGTGAACTTCAGCTGAGACTGGCAGCAGTGCGTGAGTGAGAGGCTCGCAAGAAGGTTTAAAAGGCTTCGAACGCTGACGGGCGATTCTTTCTTTGCTGTGATGCCTCGGGCAGATGCCTCGGCTTTCTGGGGAGAAGGGGAATAGCCTTTCATCTGGGGAAGGTATATTGTTGATGGTGCTGGTGCTGCGAACTTTCTGGCTGTGGCGTTGCTGGTCGACTACCTACTATAGCGTATCTACTATAGTCTGTCTTGGCTTCTCATGATAGAACGTTATCGTTACATCTAGGAGAGTAGCTACAGAAGTCTAAAGTTTTACTATCACAAGAAGTTTCTAGCCAAGGCGTAGGACGCATTATTCATATCCCCTGGAGTACCCAAATAACCGTCAACCACCCGGGGAGCTGAGCAAAACAGGATCACGTGTACGTACCGTATATTCATCTGGCCTATACACAATACACCCACGGGAGCAAAGCTAAAGGTATATACCCCCTCTCAACTCTATTCTCGTTACCAGCGCAACAGGGGCCCTCTAGGTCGGGGGTCAGGTCAAACTGTGGCGTGGCGGTGGAATGGTTAAAGGTCAACAATCAAATTACGCCCACAGCCTACTCGACGACAGACTTCGAGTTCGATTCCCAGCAAGTGCGCCAGAGATGTAGCCCCCATTCGCCACCGGGGGGTGAATTCTTTTGCTAACTCGATCGGATTTTTGTTTTGCTGTGAGAGGTTTCTGGAGAAATGCAGACCGCAATATCAAAATAGAGTGAATCGCTGATGTCTGACGAGAAATCATCTCCGTGCTTCTCAGAGCCCTCCTCTGAACGTCAAACATTTATGATCGTCTCTACGTGTCAGCACTCTCTCCCTCAATACGAGCATTTGACTCAAGCTGTAGCATACATCAGAACAAGTGGGACATATCGGAAATAGGTCCGAAAGATGTTCAAAAAAAAGTGAAGTCATTGGTTTGATCCCAACTCTGATTGATGACATATGTACACAGCGTTTTCTATCGCCTAGTTCCAAGTCCTACATCTTCAACGCAAAGCACCCAAAGTCCCCTCCGCGCGCTCACGCGGAAGAAGTCGCCAAAACCCCCATATCGCCGTCTGCTCTCTTGCCAAACCTCTATGGTGCTTGTTGCTTTGACGGGGGGATGAAGGGCTTGCCCTCGAGAGTGTTGATGGCTTGGTCAGCGTAGATCATGTGGTGGCGGAGCTCGACGGGGGTGACGCCGGGGCGCTGGTCGGGAATGTTCTTTTCAAGTTTCTACATTGCGTGTTAGTTGCGACGTTTATATCTCCACCTGAGGGGAAAGGCGCTCCCTCGCAATGGACCGGGATCGCGGGATTGTGACGTACCAGGTTCTCGTAGACACACTTGTTGAGCTTCCACTCGGCTGGTCGGCACTGGTAGAGCTGGTGGTTACGGTTCTCAATGCAGGTCCAGTGGGCCTTGAACTGCTCGAGGCAGTGGGTGTTGATATCCTTCAGCCTGTGTAAAGCCTTGTCAGCGATTCGATATCCCTATCAAAAGCCGCCTGCTCTCGCGACCCATCGTCTGCGGCGTTCGGGCGCAATTGAGCGGCACCCCTTGGCACCATAACAACCAAACTCGCCGGGACCGCAATGAGATCAACGTACACGCTGGAGGCGCATCTCGTGACCCGACGGCCCTCCTTCAAACAATCGAACTCGCCGCGGCCCGCGCTGTCCGTCTTGCACTGCATGAAGTCGTCATTGTATTCGCGACAACGGGCGCCGATGAAGTAGGACGCCGACAGGAGAGGCGCGGAGCTGGCGCCAATCTCCTTGACCTTGGGAATGTCGTCGGGCAGAGGGGTCGTGTCGACCTGGAACTGCTGGTTGAACCTGGACGCTGGGTGTTAGCCTCTCTCAAGCTCTCTGTATCGCGAACGGCCCGGGATCTTCGTCGACGGCGATTGGGCTCAATTGGCCTGTCTGTTCGACATGGAAGAAGGACGGAGAACGTACTGAGGCCGTCGGTTAGCCATGGCTGCGATTGTGGTGATGGGAGCTGGGAGGGGGGCGGAAGGGAGCGGTCGGTTTTGGCGGTTCGGATGGTCTCCAGAGCAAGCTTTCCGGGCAATGGACGCTACCACGAATTGATGTGAGGTCGATTTAGGAGGCGCCTGATTGGATCGGTTGGGGGCGAGGCTGAAGTGGAGCTGATGTGGCTGAGGCCCCGGTGCGGTTGCAAGGTGGCTCGGTCTGGGAAAGTGTGGCGCCCGGTGAAGGCTGCTGCAGCTGCAAGCTCCGATTTATTATTTTCGCGTCGCTGGGCTCAGTTCCTGTCTCCCAAGGGTAGCTCTCAACAGCCCTGCGACTTGATACCCAGCGAGCCATCTCCGCCAACACCTGAAAAGAAAGGTCGCCCGTCTTTATCGCGCCCTGGCCGCTCCTGGAAGCTTCTCTTTGTCTTGATACCCGCCTATTCCTCACCTCAATTCCTCCATCGTTTTTGCGCTGAGCTCCCTGGCCTATTGTTTGCATTTCGCTGCAACTCCGCGCATCAATCGCCCACGGCCATACGAGCCCCGCGACGGACCGACGCTTTGCTCCGAACACAATCGAACTCATTCTTGACACTCATTCCACATCATGAGTTTGTTCGGCGCACCAAAGCCCGCTGGGCAGACAGGAGGTCTCTTCGGAAACGGTTGGGGCGGCAGCACAATAGGTTCGTCAGCACAACAGACGCAACAGCAGGGAGGTCAACAGCAACCCGGCGTGAGCCTATTTGGAGGACAGAACCAGACCCAGGGAAGCGCATTTGGCAACTCCATGGCCCAGCCTCAACAGCAGCAGCAGCAGCAGCAGCAGCAGCAGCAACAACAACAACAGCAACAGCAACAACAGCAGCAACAGCAGCAACAACAGATGCCGAGCCTGTCGCAGTCGCAAGCACAGCTCTCGAGCTCACTCTGGCAACCCGGAAGGGAAACACCTCGTACGTTGCCGCTCTCGCCCGTCAGCCCGTTCTGCCCGGATCTGTACTAATTCACAATCTGCAGAGAGCCAAAAGCCGATTCCCGAACAAATGTCCCTCATCTTCGAGAAGTGGAACCCCACGAACCCCAACTGCGCCTTCAAGCACTACTTTTACAACAAAGTCGACGAAGCCTCCGTCCCCTTTTACAAGCCCGGCCCGCACGAAGACCCTAGAGACTGGGAGGAGGCGCTGCAGAAGAAGCCCGCGCCGGGCTACATTCCGGTCCTCTGCACAGGCTTCTCCGGTGTCGCGGCCCGCCTCCAGACGCAGAAGAAGGTCGTAGGGGAGCTTAACGTGCGCCTCCACCAGATCAACGCCAGTCTTGACGCCATCCTCTCGCGGCACGACCTCGAGACGAGTGTGCGTGCCCTTGCGGCCCGTCGCCGTCACGTCGTCCTTCGCGAGCGGTGTCTCGCGCTCGCTGCCCGCGTGCAAGTGCTGCGTAACCGTGGATACGCTCTTAGCGGCGACGAGGATGATTTGCGCCTCAAGCTGGCGGAGCTCGAGCGCAACGTGCAGGATCCTGCTCTGGCGGCGAGAGAGGAGGAGCTCTGGAGCCGATTGATCGTGCTCAGGGATTATGCGGATCAGTTGATGAAGGAGACGAATAAGCCTGCTTTTGCGAGTGGCGAGGGATTGAGCGAGGAGACTGAGCACAAGACGAAGAAGGTATGTTCTTGCAATCTATGCTGTTTAGCAAGGCAGTTTGCTCGTTTCTGGTCGCTAATCTTGATTATAGGTCCTGGAAGACTACGAGAAGCAGATTCAGCACCTCAAGAAGGAAGTCGAGTCCATTACAAAAGACTTTGCGGACTGGGAGAAGGAGCGGAACCCGAGCTAGAGTGTCGATGTTGTTTGGGGTGAAGATTACTATCGTGCATGTCATAATAGAGGACGGCGCGAGCGGACGCTTTTATGTACGGGATTAACGGAAAGGGATGAGGTCTGCTAGCCGTATCAAGAAAGAGCACTGAGAGGGTGTTCCTCTCCAAGAACGCAAACAACGAAGAAAGCTTTGAACAAAAGTCGTGATGTCTTTTTACCCTGATCCCGATGTGATCTATAGCCATAGCCCATCCAACCAGTCGTCTTCTACACTGTACAGATGATATTTATTTTACAGAAGGGGTATTTATCCCGTTACACATCCCTTTGGCGGGTGGATGGGTAGCAGCGCTTCATTGGTGCCGCAAACCCAAATACTCGCGTTAGCGGGCGCCTTTTCGCAATGGGGTCATGATCCCGAGCTTTTGAAAGCTCGTCAAGTCGTTAATCGGTGACTGGCAAGTCCTTTACAGGACCTTGGAGGCGGCATCGATGACAAAAGGGGCTGAGTAAGAAGTCTCTTGTTAGCATCTACTCCAACAAACTGCTTGTGTGTGTAGGAAGAAAAGAGCTTGCGCTTACAGAGGTACAGAAGAACCGCAGACACGACGACCTGCTGGATGGAGAAGTTGGCCTCGGCCTCCATCTGCTTGATCTCCTCCTCGGAAAGCTGGGGGGGCGCGACTGTAGGGAAAGATGGTCAGCTTTGCTTTTGGTGCAATTCGGCTCGCATAAGATAGGTAGGGAACATACATCCTCCGAACATCTTGTTGGTAGCTTAGTGGTATTAAATTGAAGGGGATAGATGGTGGTGGACGAGGGTGCAGGATGGTCGGTTTGTTCGTGATGGGAATTCGCGTCGGTGCCAGATTCAGCGATGATGTCGTCGCAAAAATTTAGAGAAGCTCCATCTCTAGCTCCGTCCCGGCCGGTACGTACCTGGAGCCTCAAAGTCGAGGTCCGTCCACACATGCTTGTTTGCTTACCTAATTCAATATGCACATGCACAAAAATGAGATTGCTTAGGTAAGGCACCTAGCGGCATAAATTTATGAAAGAGACGGGGCCCGGGAGGTTCTTGGTGTCAATGGTGGTGTACTCGGCTCTATGGCCGAAGCACTCGGTTTCTCATCCGCGCACCTCCAAACCTACAAACCAAAGGACCGCCCTGGGAATACACTGCGCGAACGAGAGCCCCAGAACCTAGTCTCCCGCCCGCCACCCTCCCCGACCTGTCATTGGCCTTCACATCCGTTTCTGGACGTAATGGCGGCGGCTCATGGATGGCTCGCCGAGCAGTTTGCCCAACGCGCCGGGGCCCCAAAGCCAGGGAATGGCTGGGGAACTGGAGAGCTCACCTATGGCACATAATCCAACCCATCATCAAGCTTCCCTATCATCTTGACCGCGCTTATCAGCGAGCGCCGCTGCGCATCCGATAAGGCCAGGTCTCACCCTCACCTCCAACCCTCTCGGTTGGTTACGGGATCCCTGGGAACCGCGCACCAACACCCTGAGAGTGAGAGGTGAGTGTTTGGTGTCGGGTGTTTTGGGTGTCCGTTGCGGCGGCGAACGAGCGGGCGGTCCAGTAATTAGTCTGTATTTCACTCTGTAATTCGTAGGGAGATCTACTTGTACACGCGAACGGTATCCCTGGCCACGCCTGGTATCCTACCTACCACAGTAAGGTGTACCTTAGATGTTTTAACGATGCAGTACGGAGTACGTACCGCTGTCTCGATAAGTAGCCGTTGCCGCAAAAAGCAAGAAAGAAAAAGGCGGATGGTTGCCGGTCCTTAAGCTCGCTCTCACCGACTCCTTCATATTCGAAGAGCATTCCGGAAGCTGTCCTGTTGTCTTCTTTTGCTTCTATTTATTCTTCCCGAATAATCATCCCATCTATTCAACAGAAACCCCGTTCGCGTCAAGACCTGGATTCAGGTGTTTTGAAACAGATTTGGGCTGCGTGCGAGAGCTTGGTCGCTTTTATCCCGAGTCGCATCTCGGATCGCAAGTTGGTGGCGACAAGGGTGCTACTTCTTGAGCTACAACGATATCGGCCCCAGATCCGAGCAATACTTCTATACGCACGACTCTCTCAACCACAACACCTGTCCTTCTTCTTTTTCTCTCTTCTTCTCTATTCTTTTCCAAGACACACTTCGACATTGGCGAGTCTCACTGGCATTTTCATCTTCTTTGTGAATTGCCACTCACAACTCACTTCACACAATGGCATCACTGAGATTGCCCCTCCCCCGCCAGCTTCGGCTGGCTGCCCCGAGGTCAAGGATCGCCGCCCGCCAGACACCAGCTTCCTCGTGGGTTTGCAACTCATGTGTCTCAAGCTCGGCATCATCCTCGCGGATTCCCCGCGTGAGGACATTCAGCGCCTTCGCATCTCTTCAGCATGCCACCAGCGCAAAGATCGGCTCAGTGGACCCCTCCCTTGAGCCGCTGCAGAGGCCCGAGTCCTTTATTCCCCGACACATCGGCCCTGATGTTACCGATGCTGAGGCCATGTTGAAGGCGCTCGACCCTCCGGCAAAGTCAATTGACGAGTTCATTGCCCAGGTTGTCCCTCCGGACGTCATCTCCGAGAGGAAGACCTTTGGTGCCTGGGACAACGAGGGCCCTCTCGATGAGAGCAAAGTTCTCGCGAGAGCCACGGCTTGGGCCAAGGCCAACGAGGCCGCTCCCAAGCCTCTTATCGGGGCTGGATACAACCCCAGCGTCACGCCCCGTGTTATTCAGACCAACGTCCTGGAGAGCCCTGCTTGGTACACAAGTTACACTCCCTACCAGCCCGAGATCAGCCAGGGTCGCCTCGAGTCGCTTCTCAACTACCAGACCATGGTGTCCGATCTGACCGGACTCCCTATTTCCAACGCCAGCTTGTTGGATGAGGGTACGGCCGCCGCCGAGGCCATGACTCTTTCCATGAACGCTCTCTCATCATCCCGCGCCAAGAGACCCGGCAAGACCTTTGTTGTCTCACACCTCGTTCACCCTCAGTCTATTTCTGTCATCCAGAGCAGAGCTCAGGGATTCGGCATCAAGGTCGAGATTATCGACGTGAACGCAGCGGACTCTGCAGAGAAGATCAAGGCTCTGGGACAGGACTTGGTTGGTGTTATGATCCAGTACCCCGACACCAAGGGCAAGGTTGAGGACTTCAAGGGACTCTCCGAGCTTGTTCACTCACAGGGTGCCCTCCTCAGCGCCGCCACCGACCTCCTGGCTCTCACGGTCCTCACGCCGCCCGGCGAGTGGGGTGCCGACATTGCCTTTGGCAGTGCCCAGCGTTTCGGTGTTCCCCTCGGCTTCGGCGGACCCCACGCCGCCTTCTTCGCCGTCAAGGAGGCCCACAAGCGCCGCATGCCTGGCCGCTTGGTCGGTGTCTCCAAGGACCGAAACGGCAATCGCGCCTTGAGGTTGGCTCTGCAGACCCGTGAGCAGCACATTCGTCGCGAGAAGGCAACCAGCAACGTCTGCACTGCCCAGGCTCTTTTGGCCAACATGGCTGCACTGTTTGCTGTTTACCACGGACCCGAGGGCCTGAAGGAGATTGCTTCGAGATTGGTCCGTCTTGCTCGTGGAGTCCAGGCCGTTGCCGAGGCCTCGGGCTTGGAGACTGAGCAGAGCAGCGCCAGTTCTGATGGCAAGGTCCTGTTCGACACCGTCGTTATCAAGGCCAGTGACCGCTCTCAGAAGATCCTAGACGAGGCCAAGAAGGCTGGTTTGGGCTTCCGCGACTACGGAAACGGTGACATTGGTATCAGCGTCAACGAGCACGTCACTGAGGAGGTCTTCAAGTCCATCGCCGCCGTTCTCGGCAGTGCCACCGGTACCCAGACCACGGAGGTTGCCACCAAGGCCTACGGTGCTCTCACCAAGGATGTCACCGAGCTCATTCCCGAGACTCTGCGCCGCCAGTCTGCATACCTTACTCACCCCGTCTTCAACACCCACCGCAGTGAGACTGAGATTCTCCGCTACATCCACTACCTCCAGTCCAAGGATCTGTCTCTTGTTCACTCCATGATCCCCCTCGGATCCTGCACCATGAAGCTGAACGGCGCGACCGAGATGGCTCTGATCACCCTCCCCGGCTTCTCCACCATCCACCCTCACACACCTGCAAGCGAGCTCCCTGGCTACACCGCCTTGATTGAGAGTCTCTCGGACCAACTGAAGGGTATTACTGCCATGGATGCTGTCTCTCTGCAGCCCAACTCTGGCGCTCAGGGTGAATTTGCCGGTCTCCAGGCCATCCGCAAGCACCTCCTTTCCCAGCCCGGCGGCAAGAAGCGTGACATCTGCTTGATTCCCGTTTCTGCCCACGGCACCAACCCTGCGTCCGCCGCCATGGCCGGCATGCGCGTCGTCCCCATCAAGTGCGACCAAAAGACCGGTAACCTGGACATCGAGGACTTGGAGGCCAAGTGCAAGAAGCACGCCGAGGAGTTGGGCGCCTTCATGGTCACCTACCCTAGCACCTACGGTGTCTACGAGCCCGCGGTCAAGAAGGCTTGTGAACTTGTCCACAAGTACGGCGGTCAGGTCTACATGGATGGTGCCAACATGAACGCCCAGATCGGAATCGCCTCGCCTGGCGAGATCGGCGCCGACGTCTGCCATCTCAACCTCCACAAGACCTTCTGCATTCCCCACGGCGGTGGTGGCCCCGGTGTCGGACCCATCTGCGTCAAGGAGCACCTCGCTCCCTTCCTGCCCGGCCTCGCCCACGACGCCGACCAGGCCATGGTTTCCAGCGCCCCCTTCGGCAGCGCCGGTATCCTCCCCATCAGCTGGGCTTACAACGCACTCATGGGCAACGACGGTCTGCGCCTCGCCACCAAGACCGCCATCCTCAACGCCAACTACATCCTCGCCCGCCTCAAGCCTCACTACAAGATCCTCTACACCAACGAGAACGGCCGCTGCGCGCACGAGTTCATCCTCGACGCCCGTCCCTTCATCGCCACTGCCGGCGTCGAGGCCATTGACATTGCCAAGCGTCTCCAGGACTACGGCTTCCACGCCCCGACCATGAGCTTCCCCGTCGCCAACACGCTCATGATTGAGCCCACGGAGAGTGAGAGCAAGGAGGAGCTCGACCGCTTCGTCGATGCTCTTATCAGCATTCGCGAGGAGATTCGCGAGGTCGAGGAGGGCAAGCAGCCTCGTGAGGGCAACGTCCTCCGTATGGCGCCTCACCCTCAGATGGACGTCATTCTGGGTGATGGCGAGGGCAAGTGGGACCGTCCTTACTCCCGTGAGAAGGCTGCGTACCCCCTGCCTCACCTCAAGGAGAAGAAGTTCTGGCCCAGCGTGGCTCGCGTTGACGACAGTAAGCTATACCCCTCTCTACATTGACAAGGCAATTTCGCTAACAGAATACAGCATACGGTGACACTCACCTGTTCTGCACGTGCCCTCCTGTCGAGGATACCACGTCAGAGTAAATCGATGATTCTGCATCTGATAGACATGATACCAGCAGACCATAGACTTGTGCCTGCATGACAGCCTTCATGTTTGCAACACGGGAACGACTAGTCGATCTCAGACGGGCATCTCACCCGCTGACATCTCTATTGTTTCCTGATATCCTTCAACATTTTTCCAATCATCTCTTAGCAAGCGGGGATTTGAGTTCCTACGATTTCAACAGGGAATACACATATACACATCATATTTACACAATATGAATGTCCAGGCGGGTCTATGGGGCCGGAGATACGGGCCACCGGGGAGTTTTAAACAACAAAACAACGGAAATGGTTGTTTTTGTTGGGGTTATTGCATTATTGGGCGTGCGAATTTGGTTTTGGTTATCTACCTACCATACATAGACTGGCTTCTTTCAGCCAGGAAAAATATTGATATTGATGAGTTCAACATAGTAGTGCTTCTGGTGATGCCTGGAACAATGACATTGCGATTGCCTATCCGTCCTTTCGATCTTTCGGTTAGCTCATACCTAGAAGGAGGTCTCCCGCTTTTTTGCTTCTGATCAGCTTCAGTGAGTAATTTGTTAGATGCTGGACGTGGCATACACAGGAAATCACCGTGGATTGAACAGGTAGTTCGACTGTGTTTCGTCACCAAGCATCCATCAGTCGATTTTATCAATTGAAGTATTCACATGAACTCAAACCTCTTGTATCCATCAAAACTGATGAATGTCAATCGTACTATATCTTTTGGGCTGCTTGAAGAGCACGTATCGATGACCCGAAGATTCAACACAAAAAGACGTGGGTTCCCCCGTACCCCGAGCCGACCCCACTCGGCGTTCCGGCCTTCCTGATCAGGACGCCGTGCTAACCTTCCAGGTTCCCACCTCAAAAGTCCCCCAGAAGCTCACCTTCTCGCTCTCATCTCACATCTCACTCCATCATCTCTTCTCAATTGATCGTCGCGAATCATCAATTGAGCATCTCCAGGCTCATAAACAAAAACCGCAATGGTCCGGATCACCTCCCTAGCGGTCTCGGGACTCGCGCTCCTCGCGGGGTTCGCGTCCGCTGTCGCTACGCAGGCGGACATTGAGTCACCTGATTTCACTACCCTCTCGGTGCCTGAACACCCGCACCACGCCATCCGCATCAAGGAGCAGAGCGATGAGATTTGTAACGCGGGCTCGAGGCAGTGGACCGGATGGCTGGATACGGGTGGAAAGCACCTCTTCTTTTGTGAGTGAAACCGCCAAACCCTGGTCAGTGAAACCGCGACTTAACCATTCTTGAAAGGGTATTTTGAGAGTCTGAATGATCCCGAAAACGACCCCCTTAGTCTCTGGATGACAGGCGGACCAGGCGGCAGCGGCCTCGTAGGCCTCATGCTCGAACTCGGGCCCTGCCTCATCAACGACAACGGCACAGGCACAGTCCACAACCCCTACGCCTGGAACACAAACACCTCCATGATCTTCGTCGACCAGCCCGCCGGCACGGGGCTCTCCTACTACGACGCGGACGTCACCCCGCCCGCGACGTCCTACACCGCCGCCGAGGACATGAACATCTTCCTCCGCATCTTCTACCAAGCCTTCCCCGGTCTTGCGTCGGCGCCCTTCCACATTGTTGGCGAGAGCTACGGCGGGCACTACATCCCCGCCCTCGCTGCCGAGATCGTCTCCTACAACAGCGGCTCCCCACCTCCCGACTTTAAAGTCCCGCTGGCGTCGGTGCTCATCGGAAACGGCTACGTCTCGCCCGCCGACACGACGTGGGGCTTCTACGATACCCTCTGCACCACCAAACCCGGCGTCCCGGAGCCCGTGTTCAACGAGAGCATGTGTGGGTTAATTGCCGATGCGCTGCCGCGGTGCATGTACCTCCAGCAGGCGTGCTACGCCTTCCCAGATCCCATCGTCTGCGGCGCAGCAACGGATTTCTGCTTTGGGCACGTGGATCTGCTGTATTACCAGGACGTGAAAGCCGGCGGGCGGAATCCGTTTGATATCACGCGGCCCTGCGAGACGGAGAATATCTGCTACGGTGCCGGGGATGGGATTGAGAAGTACATCAAGACGGAGCGGGTTCTTGCCGCGCTTGAGGTGCCCGAGGCGGTGGGCAAGAATTTCAGTCTTATTTCCATGGATGTGAACGAGCGGTTCGAGCTGGCGGGGGATGTGTTTTTGAGTACCGAGGCGGATGTCAAGTATATCCTCGAGTCTGGGGTCGATGTGCTGGTGTATAACGGCGACTTGGACCTCGCGTGCAACACGGCGGGTAACGTGCGGTGGACGAATAAGTTGTCGTGGGCTGGGCAGGTTGAGTTTGTTGCGAGGGAGCTTGAGCCGTGGTTTGCGGTTAAGAAGGGCGGGGAGACGGTCAAGGCGGGTATGTGGAAGCAGGTCTCGAAGAAGATGAGGGGGGGCAAGGAGACGAGGTTTGCGTTTGTGACTGTGGCGGGGTCGGGGCATATGGTGCCGTTGGATCAGCCTGAAGTTGGATTGCAGATGGTGAGGAATTGGTTGTCTGGGGATTTTGGCAAGGCTGTGAAGGGTGGCCCTGAAAAGAGAGTCAAGGGTGAGGAAGATGAGTTTGTGTCTTTGGAGTTGTAGTTACGGAATCATGTGAGGATGTTGGAGATTGTCAAGTAGGCATGGATTCGGTCAGTTATTCAATCACAGGAGGTCGACATGAGTTCCATCCATAAGTACTTGGCCTAGTCCTCAGGGATACGTGACTGCCAAGGTCAACAACATTCGTGTCCGTCTTACACATGCCGCAGCGATGTGAACCTTTGCGCCGTCGACCCGGCCACTCTCGCCGGCCAATTGGCCAATCTATGTTGCACCTTAGTTGCCCCCGAGGTCACGCGCGTCGCCATCATTCCCACTGACGATGGCCACAACTAAACTGAACAGGTATCCGTGACATCAGCATGCGGGGACGTTTTGACTGCGAATACCGGCTTGATCCAACGAGAGATTCCTATAGAGAGGTGCTTAGGTTTGACACGGCGACGTAATGTCAAATGCAATAATCTTACTAGCCATGGAGTGCCGAGTAATAGTTTGACTGAGAGTACCGGGGGAACCGTCAAGCGACACCTATCACAATTCACGGAGTAGTAGCGAACCGTTGATAGAATTAGCCTCTGAAAGCTATCGAGAGCGAAATGAACTCAAAACCCTCCCATTGTGATGGACGAGGCGCCCCATAACTTCAATCAGTTGTCGTCAGTTTCCGTCTTCTCATGACTAGGACCATTGCCATCGCTCTACGAGGCAGCACGGCCACTTTACAATGGCATATTTTCTAGATCCTTCTTCGCTGTAGCCAATCTTTTGTCAAAATCTTCCCATGCCTTCAATGGACTCTTATACTCCTCCTCGAGCTCTCCCAGTTTGAGGGGCTCATCCTTGCACAGCTGTCTTTTCTCTTCAAGTTCACGCTCATATGCCCGCTTCTCTTCAGCTTTGATCATCACCTCTTGGTCTAAAGTACGTCTCTTGGTCTAAAGTACGTTCTTTCGCTACTTGCGCTGAGTCTGGCAATGAGCATTGAACTTTTGGCAGGGTGTGGTAGATAGGAAGATATGAACCTACTTTTGGAGGTTCTGTCTGTCTTGAACCATGCAGCTCCAGGTGTCGGGACTTCCCTAGGATCCTTGTATTTGAAGAACGAGGGGTTCAAGGCCCCCATGAGCAAGCGTTTCTCTGCTGCATTGACTGTAAAGACTCTTTAGTAGATTGTCTTACAAATCTTGGGGAAGTGGGAGTGACACTGCGTTTTCGACGTTTCATCCAGGGTATCTGTCACTAAATAGGAATAGCATCAGCACTCTGTAATCAGCCCATCACGTGCGTTATCACGAGGTTCTCTCATTTGTTCCTATAGCACCTTTCCTTGCTCGATTCTATTTGGGTTAATACAAGCCACTTTTACCACACTTCATATGCCCATTGCTGCGTGCCATAACTCGTGACAGTATCTGTAGAGAAGACAAAATCGAACTGCACTCCAGGCTTTTCGATGCTGGTGAATACTGCGTCAACAACGAACACCGCCTCCACCAAGTAACTCTCCGTAAGACTGCTTAGAGTCCAGTTGCCACGGATGGCCCCGCGACAATTGATTAGATCGCCAGCTTGGGATTGCAGCTTCGGGTAAGCGTTCTCGGGAAGGTCCTTGTTGATTGGAAAGGTCTCCCAATCCGACCATGTAGACGAAACAAGGTTGAGGTCTTGCCATATATCTTCATGTTGGGCCACAATAGAGAGTCCGGGAATGTGATTAAAGAACCCAGCCGACTCATGATGGTTCTGAGAACCTTGTGTTTCGTTAGAGACTAATTCGGCCGAGATATGTTTGGGCGCGGGGTTGACTGTAATCACTGGCGGCTTCGTCACTGCGAGATCGGGATATCTGCACAGCGCCTTTTTGAAGCCCAAGATCGCCTCAGCCTGCTCTGGACGCCGCCTTGATAGACGCAGCTGTTGCATGAAGTCGACGTACTTGAGCCCCAGGGCAGAAACTTTCAGCTCCTGCAGTCCCGCATAGCAGATATACGGGCATACCAGATTGATCGTGGTGTCGTTTCGTCTTTCCTGGATCGAGTACTCCAGGGCATTATTACTCTGCAACCAAGTCTGAGCAGGATTATCGATTCGAGGGACGCTGCAAGGTCTTGACCTGCCAAGATACTGAAATGGCTCTCCATGGCCAAACATCTGGTAAGAGTACTGTGCCTCTTTTGGGTCTGTCACACTAACCAGCCATTCTTGACGGCCTGGCAACTTGTGAAACTTGTAGGCCATTTGGACTTGGGTGTGCTCGAGTGGTGCGTCGCCCAAGATCACCTAATCCTAAAAAGAAGTCAGCTTTCTCACCGTGTCCATGAGCCAGGAGGAGGAGGGATTTCTTACCTGAGATGCCTGCCAATCCGGTGCGATTAGTTCCCGTGGAAAACCCCAAATGATGTGGTCGACATTTGGTGTCGTTAGATCTGGCTCTTTCTTGTCCAAGACCTTCGTGGTCTCGTAAGCCCTGGCTCAATATATGCAGGCGTAATGTAGTGCAGCGTGAGGAGCTGGTCTGAGATTTCGGGATCCCACATCTAGTCTAAAAGGGAATTTGAAAGCGAAAAGAGGCAGTATGCTCCAAGAGGAGTGTAATTTAAACTCGTTGAGGGAGCCTTTTCAGTCAGCCTGCTACTCCCGAATCGCACGCGCAGACTTTTCCTCTTCCCACTGTCGCAAATTCCCTCCAACCTGTTGCTGCCTCACTTACATACTATCGTGTTATTGTTACGTTCCTGTACTTGCCTGAAGGTGTATCGACAATGGCAGCTCAAGGGTTCGAAAAGCAGAATGACCCGATCAGTGTAGCTGCAGGAGTGGGCAGGAACCGTAAGAGCTTCCTCTCCTTTGGAGATAAGGGTCTCACAGCGAGCGTGGGTGCAACTGGGCGGTTGCTCCGGATCACTCAACATTTCCTTGGAGAGAAGACAGGAATCTGTTTGGACGATAAGAGAATGCTAGAGCCTTACTACGTTTCGCGGCGCCTGGCAGATTTTCTGGACCGTTCACTGGACGAAAGCTTGGGAGGAATCGGCCCCAGTATTGACGCCTTGTGTTCTGGAAGAGAAACTGAGCAAGACATTGTCAACAATCGATGGCCTACTTTTACTCGACCACTACGAGGCGATACCTCGAACAAGCTGCGTGTCTCTTATATGGTGTTTCGAGGTACCATCTATCAGAAATTCGAAATCATAGACGCAAACAAATATTAATCGTTAGGATCGGAAGCGAAGGAACTTACGATGAAAATCTTGCAGACTCTATCGCTGGACACAGAAGTACTCATCAGGGACCTCGACTTCGTGGACGGAAACAACCCCTTCAATGAGGCTTTGTCTCAAACAGGTAGCGATGAATCGGAAGTGCAGACTTACACCACATGTATTGCCGAAGGGAAAACAAACAACCATGTTAGGTGGGAGCACCATAGTCGTAAAAAACATTTCGTCCTCCACATACACGTCCTGGACCAGAATAGCACAACTGAATTTGTCAAGCCAGACTCGAAGGCTGAGAAGTCTTGCTACGGTATTCAGAGAAAGAGCAACGGTTCAGATCACCCAATCATGTCAGTTGTTCTGGCATAAACTCTTGAATAAATTTCCCCAGCGCCCAAGTCCAGTTACGATTTGCCAGATTGGAAGATGTTTGTCGAGGCTGACGGGCTTATTCGACGTCATAAAACAGTACACTTGACGAACAACCATATCATCGACTCTTTTCTTACAAGAAACCTGGAATACATCTTGTCTGTCTGCAGCATTCCCGTCTCTGAACCGGATGCTGAAGGAATACCTGCTGTTGCTCTCACCTGCGGCGATGTTGATGGTCATCGAGTGGCAACAGCTGCAAGCTTGTAAGTTATCTATGATCTTTGCAAGGCTTCATGCGCTGATGGTGTGGCAAAGCTACGCTTTCCAACTTTTGCTTCTTGGCATGGATCGCCTCAAAATCTTGCATGCCAACTTGGAAAAACAACATTGCACGTGTGATCGTGACAACATGCCTATACCCTCCACAGCGCATCCTATCTGCATGATGAAGTGGCGTATTGAACGTGTATGCAAGGGCCATATGAAATGGATCTTCGAGAAAGCAATTTCGCCCAAGAACCAGTTCAGGCAGTTCTGTCCTAATCATTGGACCAATGGCGATGATATCGACGGCTGGGAATCTAGCGAGTGGCTTCCGGGAAAGTCTCTTGTTGATGCACCTCTCCAATTTCTCAAAGCAGCGGACTTTTACAAGAAGCTCGGCAAAGACATGCCGGAGGAGCCTCTGCGAACGGCGAGGACCGCTTACATGAGCTGGATCCGAGACCTCGAGAAGGTTGAGAAGTCCAGAAAATACGCATTTCCCTCTTACAAGCCCAGCGACGATAGGAAACCGACCAAAACCTTTTATCTCACAGACCATGCTCTGATTTGGCAAGCAGTCAAATCTTGGGAGTCAACGAAGCTTCAGTCCGCATCTGTGGGTGGCCCTGAGAATGCAGGAAGATATTCGGCAAATAGGTTGCGAGAAAACATTGTTCAGAGATTCGCCACTGAGAATCCTTTCTTGAAGAACAGAATGGTCGCCGTCAAACGAAGTCCCACTCAAACGCGATTTCTTCTTCGCTCAAAAGATGTTGCTCTTTTCCGCGCGAAGGAAGAAGGCTTGTTCAAGAAAACTGACACACAGTGGACGAACACCCTCGACTGCCAGAAACATCACGAAGGAAATGACGACACCGACTGGAGTGATCCTCGAAGATTCGCTCTAGCTATTACAATGGTTCAGCATGGAAAACTCATCAACTTTCGGACCAGAGAGGAATTGATTGACCAGGCCTTATCAGCTTTGCTCAGCAACTCCTCATTCAACGGACTTTTTACAGGGACGTATGATGAACGCCCAGGTCCAGCCACACACGAAGACAATTACGCAACAGTCATTTTCGAAGTTCCATACATTTTATGGAAAGACTACTGCCCCAGGGTGCACGGTAATCCTGGTGATGGCACAAGACGTATCTTGGACTCCCAAGAGAGCCGTCTCAAGCTCATGTCCCAGCCCATCGAGGGGGCCTCCAACCATTTGGGAAACCTGAAAGTTCATCCGGCAGGGCCAACAGAGGGAAGATACCACAATGACTATTGGATGAAACACAATCTCCCCTTCAACAATGTGATAAACGACAGCAACATTGTGGACCTGCAGGACGAGTGGCTTTACAACGAACCTGCATTCTTCGTCAACATCACCAATGACGGCATGGGAGGTCATTCGGATGCCAACGCCAACACCAACACAGAGGCTTCTTCAACGGCAAATGCCCATTCTGCGAACGTTCGAATAATGATCGACATTCCAGAACACAAGCCGCTAAAGGACAAGCGGCCAGTTGGGAGTCTTCAAGTGCATGACTTTCCGCACGATAAGGAGAACGTGTTCAAGATGGCCGTCGAGTTTCCGAGGGAGGCCAAAACTGCCAAGAAGAGATTTTGAGCATTCGTCTCGAGACAGGCGAAACAGAACTCAAGTTGCATCAATACCTTTGCCCCAAACGAAGAAGGTGAAAAAGCAGAGATGGAACAGTTCTTCCATAGGCACAAGGCTAGCAGCAACTTTTTCACAGAGGAAACGATAGCAGCAAACACATGGACAACGGGATTCCATATGGCGTTTTTCTCCGCGATGGACACTCATGAAATGGCTCGGCAGATTATATGGCATGTCGAAAGGGTAGCAATGGGATTCCGGTTTGAGGGCGACTTTTTCGACAGATATTGGACCTGCCGTTTCGTTGTGGCTGAGGAAGAAGCGAAGAGGAATTTGATTGAGTTTCTGCAACAAGACCACATGGACCAGACTCAAGGCTCTTGCGAAGTCAAGACTGGTCCATGGGAACAACGGAAAGTACTTGAATTGATGTTGTTTGGAAGCATCATCAGGAGAATGGCTAAGAGCGCGGGTGATATCCTGGAACTGGCTGAGGGAACTGTTAGGGATCAGAAACACAGATTGGATCGGAGGCTTGACAGGCTCCAGAGGTTTCAAGATTCCATGGGATACCAGCTGCCGACTTCAGATGATGACTCTCCAGTTGATTATCGTAGCTTCCTCCTCACCCGTAACGAGTTCCGCAAGTTTCTGGCCCATTTGCAGACGATTCATGGAGACTTCGCAAAAGCCATGGCCATCATTAATCATTGGCTCAATCGAGAAAATGACCGTCAAGCTGAACGGCCCCGGTGGACTTTCAAAGACGAGAGTCGCTATAGGTCAGTCTTGAACAAGTTACTTGTTACAAACCTTCGGGGCATTCAAGACCTGGAGCGGAATTTGACCGAGATGTCAAACCTTGCAGAATCTATTGCAAAACAGCTCGAGTATTTGAGTAGCCATCTCGAAGTCATGGTGAATAATCAAACCCAACGAAATGCCGAGGCCATCAAACTTTTCACAAATACCACTGCTATATTCCTGCCTCTAGGGTTTGCGACAGGCATGTTCAGCATGAGCGGGACGCCTGATGTGCAAACGGTCGGTAGAATGTTTGGACTGTTTGGTGGAGTCTTCATCGTGGGCACATTGACAATTCTTCTTGTCACAAAGGTCAACGTCAACTTTGCGGCGCTGATCAGGCGGGCTTGGGAGGAGCTGACCAGGCGGGCTCAGGCGAGGGCGCCAGAAGATCATGAACGCGCCCTTTGGGAGACACGGAGGAACAACGCAAGGAGAACCAATTAGAGATACGAATGTTGAGCGCGAGGGACATATTGCGCACAAAGAATCAGGGTCAAGCATCCACAACTTCGTTTCATAAGAGAAGAACAACATGGGCAGTCCTACGGTGAAGCTTAGGGAAGTGCGTATGAGAGAGAGAGGGGGGGGGAAGGCGGTCTCAAAGCCACTGTGGTGAGCAAGACCAGGAAGACGCGAAGTTGAGGGCCGGTTCATTTTCGAGGCTATGAGCAACTTGGAATAGCCAAGAGTTTAGGAGCTGTATATTTGGATTCGGTAATCGCAACATGCTGCTTATCGATCGTTCCAATTAGGCCGCTTGGCTGTCATAGGAGGTAAACCGCAAGTTCTGAAATGCTCATAATAAACTATGTTTATTAGCAGGTTGCGGCCTGGGGCGGCGTCGTCGCAGGGCACACCCCGCCGATTAATACTCCGTACAGGACGGGGCGGCACTATCCCGTCGGAAAGCTTAACTAAGCAGTTCACCGGTTCGCTGAAAAGCATACTGAGAGGGTATCCGATTGCTCGCGCGGCATCATCACCTTCAAATCAGAATTGAAGATCAGATGAGAAGAAACAGAAGCGCGTCTTCTTCGACTGGGAAAAGAAACGACTGGATCCCTTCATTTTCCATGCTCACGCGCTAGAGCTTTGGAAGGCCCGTGGCGCTAATGAGCCAAAATCTGACGGATGAGCTAGCTGCTGCAGTTCCTGTGGGTATTCATAAGTGGAAGCAGTTGCCGTCTGATCTTCCTGTCCTCCTACAAACATATCTGCTTCAATTCTTCTTCACCTTCTCCTTCACAAGAATCGCCAAATTCTTCTTTCAATCTCGCCACAACCACCAAAACGTTTGTTAGCGACAAGCGTCAGGTTTGGATCGAGAGATTCGAGACACTGAACATGGGACAGATCACGGATGCAGACACGCCCGCTGGCTCAGCCCCCGGCCATCAGATCCCTGCCGAAGGATTCGCGAAGGCTCCTCACAGACTCCTCCCAGCGCCTGCCTGCGCGACGATGGAGATTTTGCTTGGCTCCATATCAACGCCATTCTAACCTATGCCCTCTTCTTCCTAGCGTCACATCCAAATTTACGACTTTTTGTCTTCCTCTTCGAAGCGGTGGTGTGCTGGTACCTGTTATTTTGCTGCCTGCAGTGCCTGAGATGCTTGGCTCCTCACCCCCCTGCTTGTACCGCCCCAGCCTGTCTGGATCCTACGGATGCTGCTCATTCTCTTTCCACCGTCTCGCGCGATGGGACTTCAGGGACACCAAGGTTCCAGACATGGGGTTCATCAGCCGCGGTGTCGGATTGGCGCCCTCTGACTGGTTCGCGCGGACTGAACGGGATGACCCAGAAGGGGGGCGTGTGAGTGCGAGCTGGGAGCTGGATGAGCACGAAGGGTTTTGTGAAAAGCGAGTGCTTCCCTTGTTCCCTGCTGATCGTGTCCCGTTTTCCCTTCTTTCTGTCTTTTTGCTTGCCATTCACTGCAATTGCTTGCCAAGTGTTACCCTTCCATCGTTTGCGAATCGCCTCTCCATCGTGGTTGGGTTCCTCGACCTCGCAGTGTAGGAGTATCCACACATAGCCATCCCTGTCTCAGACAGACTCGACGTCCAACTCGAATTCGACCTCTCAGAGCCAAGCCATCCGCCGACAGAGGGCATCTTGACGCCGGCTCTCACGTTCGTTCACCGTCTATCCACGTTACAACATGGCGCTATCAACAAAAACGACGTTCATCGCGTCAACCTTTCCCGAAAACCCTCTCAAAACGGCCGACTTCTCACCACCCGCGTCCTCCTGCTCAGGCATCTACCTCACCAACAACGTCTACGCCATCGACAATGACCCCAAATGCCTGCCCAACAAGTTTAATGGCGCCAGCACGGCCTTCTACTCTCCCGGCACCGTCTGCCCGACAGGCTATACCGCGCAGCCGCAGTGCTCGCGCAACGGCGGGGTGCGCTCTGTGACGACTGTTACATGCTGTCCCTACCGCGGAGACATGACGCTATCGTGTGTCGAGGACGATATGACGCTCGCCAACGTGTGGGAGACACAATTTTGCACGTGGATGGCGGGCCCCGCCACGGTCGTCGATATTACGCGGACAGATGATGGGGTTGTGGCTACGCAAGCTGTTACGATGTCGAACCGCGATGGTGTGAATGCGTGGGGTATTAGGATGGTGTATCAGGCAAGCGATCTCGTGGCCAAGACGACCTCGGGAGCATCAATTGCGTCGGCGACGGCAACGGGGACGGCGGCAGCGGGAAGCAGTGCGACATCAGGTGCGAGTGCGACTGGGACAGCGGCCGGGGCGGACAATACTAGCGGCAGCGCGACCGCCGCCGCCGCATCGGGAGCGAGTTCGGGTGGTCTGTCAACGGGCGGCATCGTAGCTGTAGCGGTTGTGGTGCCCGTCGTCGCGATAGCAGCGCTCGTGGGCCTGTTCTTGTGGTGGAGGCGGCGGAAGCACCGGTACGCGGGCGTGAAGCCCGTGGAGACGCCCACAGCGCCCGAGATGGAAGGATCGTCGGCCATGGGAGCGCAGAGCGCATACGCATATCAGAGTCAGCAGGACGCGCAGCAGCAGCATAACGGGCAGCATCCCCAGGCGTCACCGCCTGCGTCGGAAATGATCGGGACGGATATTGCTGGGTATTACAACAATGATAAGGTTCTCATGAACCCCGGTGGCCAGCAACAAGGAGGAGGGCATACGCAGTTCAAGGGGTGGACGCAGCCTCAGCCGCCTGTTGAGTTGGCTAGCGGGGAGGGACCTACGGAGTTGCCTGCTGATAATGATCGGAGGTGATGGCAGTCGCGGGCGCGGTCGAGATCTCTACGATTCTGAGCGGTTTTGACGATTCAATGGAGGAGGGTGGTGTAAGTTGTAACGGAGAGAGTTGATTTGAGATGGATATATCATGGTCGTAGGGCTTCATTTTCACACCAGCGTGCGAGGCGATTAGATGGCCGATTTTCATGAAGGGGCGTGTCTTTGAGGCAATGTGAGCCTTCAGTTGTGGTTGCCTAAGAAAGATAGAAGATATTCTGAAGTAGAGTTGTATGAATTGAAGGCTTCATAATGAGATCAAGATTGCTACCTATGTAGCTAAGTACTTTGAAGGTATGTATGTAAGAGAGAGAGACGAATGAGGTGAAGCGACTTATGTACCTCTATGAGTGAACTGTACGGTCAACTTGTACGACAACACGGGTCTTAGGCCGCTGAAAGATGTCATAAATTCTACCACATAAGGAAGCTGCTATGCATCCGCTAGGCCTCTATCGCGGGGAATCTATCAACCCGGGCCAAGCGCCGTGCCGCCGATGGCTGGTGAAGAGTCACACCGACCGCGATGATCCCGGGGGCTACAGCAACCGGTGGCCCCGGCTTTGTAGGTGAGCTCACCGCCTGCGATTTTCGGTGGAGGTCTTCACCTGCGAATGAATTACCCCGCCACCCCGCCATCCAGAAAGCTGCAAAAAAATTCGACCCAGCGCGACGCAATTCCTGCTTATCAAGCACCAGGAACCTCGATTGACGATTAATAAAGCAAAGTCGTCTTCCTGTTCCTGCACCCTTACTTTCTTTTCGATAAATAAGGGATCGATACCCAGCCCCCCTTCCTACGTCATACCTTTTTATCTTCCCGAAGGAAAACTTGAGAGGATTTGGCGCATTACTTCCAAGAGTGCGAAAACCCCCACGAAAAACGAACCCATCCCCAACCACAACCGCGACAACCACGCAAGATGTCGGCCCCCCACGAAAAGACACCGCAAGATGACGGCCACGAGTCGGAGCCCGAGATGCTCGAGGCCGACGACGTCGGCGAGGAAGTCAACGTCGACGACGAGGACATGCCCATGGACTCTGACGACGAAAACGAAGAAATCAACCTCCAAAACGACTCGGTCGCCTACTTTGACGCCCACAAGGACTCCGTCTTCGCCATCGCCCAGCACCCCGTCCACCCGACCCTCATCGCCACCGGCGGCTCCGAAGGCGATTCAGACGACGCCCCCGGCAAGGGCTACCTCCTCTCCACCGCCGCCGCCGCCTCCCGCCCCGTCCTGCCCGCCTCCTACTCTGGCGACGCCGCCCAACCCCAGTCCACCGAGCTCCAGTTCATTTACCCCATCGACGGCCACACGGACAGCATCAACGCCCTGGCCTTCACCTTCCCCAAGGGCGACTTCCTCGTCAGCGGCGGCATGGACGGCAAACTCCGCGTCCACGCCCTCCGCGTAAACTCCCCCACCGCCGAGGCCGCGAGCGTCCAGATCAAGTTCATCACCGAGGCGCAGGAGGTCCCCGAGATCAACTGGATCGCCGCCTGCCCGAGCCCCAAATACCCAAACACCATCGCCATCGGCGCCAGCGACAACTCCGTTTGGGTGTACACCATCGATATCGCGGCGGGAGGCGGTAACCCGGCGAACTGCTTGCAGCTCGTGCAGACGTACTGGCTTCACCAGGCCCCCGTCACCGCGGGCGCATGGACGCCTGATGGAAACTTCCTCTGCACCGTCTCCGAGGATGCGAGCTTGTATGTGTGGGACGTCTGGGGCGAGGCGGCTGCGGCGGGACTGGTGGAGAGTAACGGCCAGACGACGGTGAGCTTGACGGCCGAGGACCAGCGGTTCATTGTCGAGGGCGGGTTGTACAGCGTCGCGGTGGATCCCAAGGGCACGTTGGTTGCTGTTGGCGGTGCCGGCGGTGCGATTCGCATCGTGAGTTTGCCTAGGCTGGCGAGTTCTGCGCAGGCTGGCAAGGGCGGGAAGAGCAAGAGCGCGTCGGACGTTGTGGCCGGAGGACAGATTCTTGCAGCGCTGCAGACGGCGTCGGATTCGATTGAGACGTTGAGCTTCACTGAGGCGGCGGGCGGACCGGGGCAGATTTCTAGGTTGCTTGCTGCTGGGTCGGTGGATGGCAGTGTCACTGTGTTTGATGCCGGTAGGAGATTTGCTGTGAGGAGGAGTCTCGGTGTTGGTGCGCATGAGGAGTTTAGTGTGGTCAAGGTGGAGTTTGTCAAGAACAGCTGGTTGCTGACGACGTGTGGTATGGATGGTGTCGTGAGGCGGTGGGATCTGAGAGCGCAGGATGGTGGGCTTATCAAGGAGTGGAGGGGACATCGTGGCGAAGGGGAGGGTGGTGGTGTGCTTGGGTTCGTGCAGGGAGAGACCGGAGAGAGGATTGTCACTGCTGGTGACGATGGTGTTGTTCTGGTGTTTGAGGCTTAAGGACTTGAGTGTCAGGTCTGAAGTCTTGGGAGAACGGGGAGGATTTGCGTTTGTTTTTTTGCCATGTTTTGATTTTGGGAATGATGATGAGCTTGGAAGGAGGGGCATAGATAAAATAGGGGATGTCATACGCCTTTTGCGCTGGTATGATATGGACTCGTGGATTATTCCAGGTCCCCTCATGAATTGGAGTTTCGCATTACTGATACATGATCTTGGGTGTCTTGGTGCAGTTCTTTGCTACCTAGTGTTCTGTCTGTGGCTGATATACTGGAGCTGGGAGAGACTCGAGGCTTGGAGAGGCTTGCGGGAGTTGGCGGGGTGAGACACAAGATTCTTTGAGTTCGTCCCATTTCGTGGAGCTTAATCAAGCATCCCCATTTCCCTTCAAACGCAAACCCTCCCAACTTCGGCATCCCATGTTACCGTCTCTCCAACCTCTGTTCACAATAGGGTCACAATCATCTCAGACATCCATCGATAAAACCTGGCACATACCTGTTAAGCCAGTCTTTCCGTCCGGACTGATGGCTGACAAGCAAGTCATCGGCGTGACTTCTCTGAGAGGCGACCAAATACTCGCCCTCGCTCTGATGGTACTCGGCATCTGGGATTTTCCGCGGATTTGCCTTGTGTTAGCGTGTTCCTGGCTGTCGTGGGACACGATCGTTCCTTGTAAGTGACCATGTGTCAACAGTGCTCTTCTGCGATCATGCTCCTGACAGCTTCATGCTTAGTGTATGCGATGCTCGGCATGTTTCCCTTTCTCAATGTGATCGCTGCTCCTCTTCTCAGAAGCTTAGTATAAGTCACGGCGGATATCATGAGCGGTAGCGGTCGGCCTTCATGCGTCACATTTCCCCGGGGTGAGGGACAGCGACATATTGACTCATTCAAAAGGCGTTAATTTGGTTATCATAGACACAATAACCGAGTGGCACACATGACGATGCAGAGCAAGCACAGGTAAGAACCATTTGGTTGATCATTGTATCATTAGACTACCTCATCGTAGTCGCCACCAGATGACATCGTTCAAGCGATCGTCACGTCCCAGCGGCTAATTATCTTCCTCTCTCCATTCATTATATCCCTTGCATTATCCATCAGTCCTTAGGTGGACCGCTCGCCAGGTGCAATACCATCTCCCTTGACGGATTGGCCACCGCTGGCGGCAAGGCCCTCAATGGCGAGACCCTTCTCAGGCTCGGGGAGGGGCGCGGTCTTGTCGGCACGGTCGACGTGAGGGTCCTGATGGATGAATTAGTTAATGTCGTGTGCTGTTGGGGAATAATGGAGCATGTTGGAGTGGTTGCTGCTTACCTTGATGGCGCCGGCGCCGTGGATAACGTCGTGGGTCTCCTCGACGGCATTGTCAGAGGCTCCGGATCCGTCGCGAGGCATGATGATTGTTGTTCGTTGGGAGATTGATTAAGTTGGTAGTTGTGTAATCTTGTGGAGAGAAATCGTTTCAAGTCGATTATAAGTGAGATCTGTGATAGAATCGTTTGATGAAGAGGTGAAAGGAGTCATATCGAAGAAAATAGCTGTCAGACCTTATTTAAAGAGGCATGAGCTCTGGACTCGAGTTGACGTCATATGAGTTACGTTGGTACGTTAGCTTTTGCCCCAAAGCTCCTACTCCCTATTAGGAAGGGATGAAGCTCTGCTCGAGCTCTCCGAGGCTTTAAAGCATTGAGGCGTCAAAACGTCATGATGTGGGGGAATGATGCTCCTCCCGGACGGCGCTAAGGTCCCCAAGGTACTAGATCGTAGATCTCCGTCCGATATGCTTCCCGCTCCTTCCCCGCCTCAACGTCGGAGTAAAATCTCCTTGTCATTTCCCGCGAAGAGTTGATTCTGCCAATTGTCAAGCTACATGTTGGATTGAAGGTAATATGAGCTTGCGTTGTCGAAGGTCGAAGTAATACTTCGTCTATGAAGGCAAGAGGGGTGAAAAGTACTGTTCAGCCACCCTTTGTAGATCCCGACGCGAGTACGTACATAGCTGTGCTACCTTGGCAAACCTAGGCAAGTAGGTAAGCTTAGCTAGTACCTACCAAGCGAGGTTAGGTCGAGGGGTAATGCCCCCTGTTCCCTTTTTCGTAGTAGCGGCTGCTCCCCAAACGCTTCAACTGCAACTTCACTTCTCTCATCTTCGTGACCCAATCTTCAAGATCTGGACATCAGGATCTTGCCATGCATCCACGCCGCAATCTTTTATTTCTTCCTCTAGCAATGTTCTAGATATCCGAAAGACCGTTTTTACGAGCAAATGACGGTCACCAAAATGACACATCTCCCATGAACTGCACAGCGTCCCATCATGACAACGGTTTCATTCCCCTGTTTTAGGATCTCTCAGCCTCAACGAAGCCAAGTTAGACCTATCTATTGCCTGTCTTATATCAATTCAAGGTATAGAAGATACGCCACACCGAGATAATTCTGGACTCTGGAGAGGCCGATTATTCACCGCATAACTGCTCATAGTGCCGGTCTAGGATGGAGTCTCTCATGCGGTGCAATGTTTGTTTCGATTGCCCCTGTGCGGGCCGAAAAGTTTTACCGATAACGAAGGCACGGATGCAGCGCCGAGACTGCTCCCTTTTCTCTCATTCAACATGGCCCCATCCCCAGTCCACGAGCCACGACGCTGAGGAGACCCTCCGCCGTGGCCAGATGCTGCCAAGCAGCATGAGGATTGCCGTTCGGCATAGACATTTCAGTTCATCGAATAATGCGACGATGCCGCGGAGCTGCCAACAGATACGGATTGGGACTTAACATCATCACTTGCGATATCACTAATACTCCGGGACATTGACTTGAAATCGTTAAACATGACGCATTTATTTCTATTCTAACCCAAGCACCAGAAAAACTCAAGCTTAGCTGCTTCCGCTGGTAGCGATGAGCTGCGACAGACCGAGGACCTGAGCGGTGGTAATCACCTCGGCAGAGGTGTTCCACCCCTCGTTGAACGGCAGACGCTCCTCCTCAAAGACAACCTTCAACCACTCAACCGGCGCAGCAGGCGCAGTGTAGCTCTGTCCAATAGTGCCGAGGATGACGGCCGACTCGCCCAGAGAAACAGTGACCTGGCTGGTCGTCAAGTTGAACGACGGGTTCGTCGCCTGCGCAGTGGCGATGCGCTTGCTGCGCGCGGAGGCCATGGTCGCGACGCCGACCTTGTTGTCCGACGCAGCAGCGGCGCCGGTCTCAAGGTATCCCTTGGTCTCGACCCAGACGATCTCGTTGAAGGTCTTTGCGTCGCCAGTCACGGCGAAGTCGGCGCGGGAGAGACTGCCGTCGTGCTCGATTACGTTGTGCTTGGCGATGTCGTCCAGGTTGAAGGTGCTCGCGTTGCCGGTGGTGGAGGTAGCAAAGGCGGGCGTGCCGAGGGTGCGGACGAGGGACTCGTTGAAGTGCAGGGCGGAGCCGAGGCCGGCGATGAGGTCCTGCATGGAGATGGACTTGCCGTCGCGGGCGAGGTAGCCGTGGTTGGCGAGGGAGTTGAGCATCGGGCAGGGGCCGCGGACGGCGCCGGCGTCGGGGGCGAGCCAGGGGTGGGCTGCGGGAGCGGCGTCGCGGGGGAGGGCGGCGCCGGAGGCGGACATGGCGCAGGTTGCGGCGAGGACTGCTGAGGCGCGCATCTTGTATGAGTCTTTTGAAGAGAGAGAGAGAGAGAGAGAGAGAGAGAGAGAGAGAGAACAGAGAGCGTTGGGAAGGTTGGGATATTCTCGAGCTTCTGAAAAGACAGTGATGGCCTTACAAGTGTGCCGTTGGTGTTGTGTAAACGAAGGTGGTCCGGTGAGGATGAGTGAGGAGGCTGGAGGAAGAGACTAGCTCACGAAGAAGGACGTCGACGAAAGCTGCTTTATACAGTTGATCGAAACCTGGGGGTCTACGGATATGAGGGGCCCATAAACAGATACACGACGCATAGGGCTGGGCTATCCGAGTTAAGACTCGGGGGTTCTCCTTTAAGTTGTAAACCCCGGGCGGCGGCTCCTTCGACGCGGCGAATCCGACAAAGTCCACGCCTTCCACGGTACGGAGTGCTCATCGAAATGGTGCCCACTGCCCAGTGTTCTCCCCCCCCGTTCTAGAAGAAGTCAAGATGGGAGCGGAATGATAGCCGTGCCTCGGCAGTAAGGTCAAACCCTGGGCTGTAGCCGCCGCAGTTCTATGATCTATCATTATACATGGGCTGCTTATACGTTCATCCCTTGTTCGATGAGCCCACTGAGGACCACTGGGGAGTCTTATTTGAAGTTATACCGGGCTTTGCTTACTTTTTCATGACGTGTTATTGGACGGGGAGTTGAGTGAGCCGAGGTGAGCCCCTTTTAAACATTCTAATTGAGTTTGAAAAGGAATGGAAACCTGTGGAAAATACGACTTTGACGTGCTTGGCGGGGACGATTGTGGGCGGCCTTGGGTGGTGGCCGTGTCGGGATGGCCCATGAGATGCAATATAGAGAGGTCCGAGAGAGCAGCATGTTTCAATGCAGGGACGTTGTGCAAGGGTTGTGGGGGAGCGGGAGATGCACGACGGGGTTGTGGTCCTCGTGACGTAGGGACATAGGTGTGCCAGCCCTCGCAAATTTCCATCGCCTTGTTGGCTAAGTGGTATAGCGTCTCACTAGTATTAGTGACATGAGAAGATCGGCGGTTCGATTCCGCCACGAGGCATTGGCAGCGTATCAAGCTTCACTTTTGACCTTTTTGACTCTTCATGATGATCATTTTATAGATATTCAGCCTGAGATGCGTACTCCATATGTAATGCCGTTGTCTAAATGCCCCTTCACCCCCCTTTCGCCGAAACAAACCTCCATGCTCATTTCATAGCACCACAGCTCCCGCATCCACCCTCCCCTCCACAACCACCACCACAACCGCCCCCACACCCAGCATCCTCCTGGCAAGCAGCAGGAAGATATTCCTCGTCAAACGCCTCTCTCCAAAGTGCTCTCATATCGGTCGAGAGCACCGCCAGACTCTCGTCCGGGATCTCGTCATCGTGGTCCACCAGCTTCCCCGTCGTCCGCTTCGAGTACGCGAGGTACCGCGCCGGCGCGAGCTGGTGCGTGTGCCAGACGAGGTCAATGTCGAGCGTCGGCACCATGACGGTGCCCGGGTGTGCGGCGATGAGGTGGAAGAATTGGGCGTAGCGGGTTTGTGCTGCGCCGAGGACGGATGCGAGGTCTTCGGGGCTTGGGCTGCGGAGCCAGGCGTGGGAGGACATTTTGAGGGAGAAGGAGAATTGGCGGTTGATTGCTGCGGTGAGGGGGTATGTGAAGAGGGTGGTTCCTGTTGGGGAGGCGTGGGTGAAGGTGCCGGTTTGGGTTGGTGATTCGATGAGGGCGGAGAGGTCGATTGAGGCGATGAGGGATTCGAGGTTTGATGGTCTCGGCTGTGGTTTGGTCAATACACTTTTCCAACGTCTTTGCTTCTGACTTCAACGACAGATGTAGTGTCATAGGGCACTTACAATCTCAGACCAGTTGATGCCATCCAAACCCAGACGGCCACCGAGCTCGATGAAGCGGGTGTAGGCCTTGGGGTGCAGCATCAACGCGTGCCACGCCATGAGCACGTCAACGGGCGGCATCTGCTCCGCTGGCCTCTCGGCGCTGGTACTCCATTGCTCGAAGCGGGCAACGGCACGGTTGCAGTACAGGTCCCATACGCGCTCGGGGGCCTGACCAGCGTCGGCGGCGAGGAGGTGGACTGCGTCGCGGAGGGTGACGAAGGTCTCGAGGAGCTCGAGGTGGGCGGCGCAGTCTGCCGTTAAGGGAAGGGGGTTGGGCGTTGTGAGTTGTGTTGCTGCGAGCTTTGATTGTTGTTGTTGCCCGATTGAGGGCGTCCTGGGAGAATTGTGAGCATAGGTCCTTTCTTCACTTCGAGCGAGGGCGAACGAACTGGATGGAGAGAATGGCTGGCATTGTGGCGATGATGTTCAGGATCCGGTCCTTTACTGATTATAGTGGTGTTTGATTTGAGGGTATCTTGAGTTCCGTACGCTCGCCTTCTCAACCGACTCGACAGCTCAAGTTCAGCGGAATGGATACAATAGACAAGGAGGATGAAGACAAAGCTATCAGTGACTTCCCCTCAGCTACAACGAGGGACATGCCACGCCTCTTATCCAGACCGTAGAAGCCAGCAGGGGTGAGCTTTATCTCGCTGCATCGTCGCACATGACAAGCAACAGCCCTGTGACCGCTGCCACCGAGTCCCAAAACGGCATGGAGGTGAGCAGGTTTCAGGACGCCAGCGCAAGACGGATCGCTGTGCCATCTTGTGCCATCGCAGAAGGGCGCGACGTGATTGGCGAGGTGGCCGTACGGTCCACGGATAGGCGCAACGGGCGACTCAGGCGGCTGGGGCTTAAGTCGCCGGGAACGCGGGGTGGTCCACGGTGGGCGGTGGGGGGAGGATGGGAAACTTGCGCATGTCCACCAGCGAGACGGTAAGATGGATGGGGTTGGAAAGACTCGACGAAGAGAAGCAGAGACTCCAGACTCCAATCCAGACTGAGGGATCCTTGGGCTCGGTCTGGGTCCTTTTAGCGGCGATTTCACTCAGGCGGGTGTGAGGGCTGAGGTTTCATTCTGCGAGTTGGGGAAGTGGCTGGATTTCACTTGTGATTCTTCAGCTTCACTTGACATGTACATACAATCTTACTCATCTTACCTCTCATCATGAGTGAGAGGCTCGTGTAACCAGGTCATCTCAGAGACTATTGCACGCAACTCCCATGTCTCTCCTTCTCTCATAGCTCTACGAGCAGCCCTCTCTCTTATCAATGAGTCGCCCAGATCCCAATTGGGACAGGTACGACGTGTTGGTTTCACAAGCAAACACTCATCCTCAGAGCCTTTGTTGACAAAAAGTCTACGGGGGAGAGAGGGCCACAGCCTGGCTCGTACACCCTCTCATTCAAACTCACGGAACACCCTCCTCCATAAATCATCTTCACTTGCCCCCATCGAAGCAGCTGTAAAAGACTCGCCGATAAGCTTCTCTGTCTTCGCCTTGTCCCAAATAAGCTAACTTAGATGCCGAGGGACGGCCGTCAGCTCAAGACTAAGTGCTTATAAGCAAGCAGGCTCCGGCTCCCTGCATCTTTGTTGCATACCTCACAGACCAGAATGTCATTGGGGGCCAAGCTCACTCGTCCTACGCAACGTGAGAATCTAGGCAAATGAGGGTCGCGATCGCATCACCACCTTGGCCCAACGACCAACGCCAACCCAATGATACGGAGCCCGCGTCGCTGACAACAGTCTGATTCGATCGTCGGTCAGACCGGCCGAGACTGGCATATTGAGGCTTGAAAACCATCGACTCTGTGCTGTAACCTCTCCCTCCGTGGGACCGTGTCTCCCCAACTCCCCTTCTCCCCCGTTCTGCTTGCTGTTTGCCCGACGAGGGTTCTAGATCTTACGGTTTGTACCATGCTGTGTCTCCGTCAATCGTCTGTTTACGGGCCCCCAGTCCGACATGAACCTAACCCAATTCCTGCATGTCTTCACGTAGATCCAATCAAGCCCCCGGTTGGAGGATGAACGCCTCCTGCTATCCCCATTCAGCATCTCATCTCTCGAAACCTGTTGGTACCAAATGGAACATGGGGGAGTGGTCTGCAATATCTCTTTCTGATTGCGGCGTTGCGGCGTAGGAAGAAGCGAAGCCCAACAGCCCCCAGTTCCTCACGCTCCCTTTCTTCGCCCGTGTTCCTGCAAATACCCGTCCATGCCCCGTCACTCGGCTGGCCGCATTTCTGGCCTTTTCTTCGTCATATCTTTCTGCGTGTGCCTTTGAGACGCTATCATTATGAAAGTCCCGTGGCTTGCGTTGCCTTTCGTAGCTGGCCTGGGGCCTGTCCTTGGTGACCTAGATGTAAGACAGGCTTTGAGCAGCGCTCCGGCGGCCTCGAGCAACGCCGCCTCCACGGACGTCCTCGTTTCTTCTCCCACTTCATCCGTCTTCTCCGCTCCGACGTCTGTTCCGGCTCCGGCTATCAATAGTAGCGTATACGACCTTTCACAGCATTTCTGCCGCATCTGGAGACATGCTAGTGAGTCTGAGCTCTCCTCTCACTCTACCATCTTGTGATGAAGTCTGAACTTACTGGCCGCAGGTGTCTTAGCCGACGGAAAGATCTATGTCGATGGCGGCAACACGTACGTGCCGAAGAACAATAAGACATTCTACAACACCGAAGCCGGTCAATTTGACGGGGGAATGCGTGAGCAGACAATCATCCGAACCATGTGTCTCACGAATCTAACGCATCCCAGACAGCCAACTCCTGGTTCTAGACCTCTCACAAGACTTCACAAACCAGGAAACAAGCCCGTACTCGTCCATATTCAAGAGCCCCGACGTCCCAAACGGCCTCATCGAACACGCGCTGTGGTACTCCCAAACCACCCGCAAAATCTATCAACTCGGAGGGTGGTTCTCCTTCAACAGCCCCAATAACCCGTCCTTCGTTGCCGACAAGGATATTCCCGAGCCGGCCGTCTGGGAGTTTGACATCGACGGCGGGCGGTGGTCCAAGTCGGCCGACTTGGAGGTGTCGAACAATGGAGAGATTGTGGACAGGCCTGGCGCGGGTGCCTTTTGCGACGCGCCGACGTTGAATAGGAGTTACATCTTTGAGGGTTACGTGCAGAGGAGATCTAGTCCTGCGAATGCCGCGTATGCATCTTCGTCCGACTTTCGGTGTAAGATCTATCTTGGCCCCTATTTCTCTTTGGCAGCGAGAGAGAATGGAAACCTGACATCTTGCAGTCCTTGAAGGCATGCTCGAGCTTGATACCGCGGAGCGCTCGCAGCCGAAGCTCACCAACATCTCCGTCCCGACATACGTCGGCCCGCGTATGAACGGCGCAATGGTCCACGTCCCCGTCGGCGATAAAGGTATCATTGTCAATGTTGGCGGCCAAACCACGCGAGACCCAACGCCTTTCGGTATCCAAATCGAGGGTGCCAACGCGGGAAACGTCAATGCAAGTCTTCCCAACACAAAAGTTTCTTAGCCCCTGAACTGACACCCCTCAAAAGACAAACCTCTCCTTCGTAGACATCTACGACATCGAAACAGGCTTCTGGTTCCGCCAAGAAACCTTTGGCCTCCCCGACATCCCAACAGGCCGCTCCGATATCTGCGCCGTCCTCGTTTCCGCCGCCGACAAATCCTCCTGGAACATCTACATGATCGCCGGCGTCGAGAACTACAACACCTACATCACCTCGGAAGAAATCTGGGTCCTCACCATCCCGACCTTCACCTGGATCCTCGTGCACACCCGCTCCGACGGCATGTACGGCCACACCTGCCATGCCGTCGGCGAGAACCTGCTCATCGTGGGCGGGATGCAGACCGGGGCGAACGCGGATACCTGCGCCCAGCACATGCCCGTTGAGATCTTTTCGCTCGCAAGCCAGAATTATACGGGCCGGTATGATACCCAGGCTGCCAAGCGTCTTGCGCCCGTGCCGTCGCAGGTTGTCGCTGCCGTGGGCGGGACGTCGTCGGGGGGCGCGAGTCAGAGGGCGCCGAGGGCGTGGAGTGATGTGTATTTGCAGTACATCTTTGATCCGTCGCTGAGGAGGCCGGCGTATACGCCCGAGTATACTCTCGTCGTGGAGCCTAGCAGCACGGCCACGCCGTCGTCGTCTGCTTCGTCAACTTCTCAGCCGGATTCGGGTGGTCCGTCCAAGGGGGCCATCGCGGGAGGTGTAGTAGGTGGTGTCGCTGCTATTGCACTGGTGGGACTCGGAGCCTTCTTCTTGCTCCGGCGCAGGAAGAGGAGGAGGGAGCACGAGGCTGCTGCCACGGAAGTATCGCGACAGAGTGCAATGTCGGAGCTGCCAGGGTACACACCCTATTCCTCACCCGAACCGAAGCCGGGCTTCCTCGACTCGCCGACGTCTCCTGGTCATCACCACGACGTACATGCTCATGCTGCGGAGCTCGAGGTCCCTGCTAGTGCGAGTGAGATGCCGAGTAGTCCGCGGTACGGCGGCTCGTCGGTCGAGATGGGGAGTGATGTCACGGCCAGCCCAAGGGTCGGTGATATTAGCCCGCGGGTAGGTGATGTGAGCCCGAGGGTTCCTGGTGATGTTAGCCCTACGCTTGGGGAAGAGGGGTACAGGTACCATGAAGGGCGGCAGGCGGGACATCACCCTGGACGGTGATGTTTGCTCCGGTAATGGTGTATTTGGCGCAAGGTCGAAGTTCGCGGATTATGGTGGATCTTCACAGGATGGAGGGCTTCGGACGTCAGGTCACCATCCTGGGAATGTTGGATTTTCCTAAGAAAAAGACGTTTGTAATCTTCTATCAGGCGTCATAATATCTGTCACTCCGAAATTCTTTTTGAAATACCAATTTTGAGGAGCAAATCACATCACCCTCGACTAAATGAAACTGTAAGTACTCTAATCACTCTCAGAGTATACTTCGACAACATATCCGCATGTACACCCTGGATAGGATTCCATCTACCACTAAGGCGCTCATATCCGCCAACGTTCATCGACTACTTGACATGATGTACCCAAGAACTTTGCATCAAATGCTTAAACTTAATTGCTACTTTGCTTCTATGTTACAAGTTTTGATAGAAAACTCTAGGCAGAATCGGAACCGTTCTCAGAGCCAACATCTTCGAATCCGCTGTCAGAACCAGAGAAGTAACCGTCCTTAACGGCATCATCCATATTCAAGTCCTCCATACCGATCGCGACAGCCTCGTCAGTTGATGCCGAGGCGGACTGTGAGTCCAAGACCAGTAGATTTGTACGGGTGATGTCGGAGTGATGATGGGAAGAGGGCCCCTGAGCCGTATGGCGGGGCTCTTGGGTGTTGCTCAGAATCTGTAAGTTTCGTCCTTTGAGACGACTGTTTCCCTCTTGTAGGGTCTTGATCATCTTTCCTAGCTCGTCGATATGGGCTTGTAGCTGAACGATCTCCGTCTGGTCGACATCCTTCAGCTCTTCGAGATGCTTGATAATATCTTTAGCTCGGCCTAGAGCGTCCTTGAGCTGGCAGATCTCGATTTGGTCGAGGTCCGCTATGGCGAGATCGACTTCTAGGATAGTCAGGGAAGAAGACATGTTGGGGTATAGAAGGATTTGTGTGTCTAGTGATGTCTAGATGGTTGCTTGGGGTAGTTGATTTAGGATATTGTTGGGGATTTGAGGATGTGTAATGCTCCTTTGTGTTTGAGTGTTGTTGAGAAAGGGGCAAAAATTGATGTCTGTTGTTTGTCAGTCAAGATGTAATCTGGGTTTCTGCGATGTAATGGAGAAGTTGGAAGAAGAGATTTGGAGAAAGGAGATATCTTCTTTTATAAGAGTTCAAGAGGAGGGCTGGGTAGTCCGGCCTGTGCCGGCAAGGGGACATGAAGCAAACGATTCACATCACAACTTGTCGATTTTGTAGTGAATACGAGCTGAAGCTTAGAATTCCCAGAACTGTGATCGAAATTGGAAGTCGCAAAATTGAGTGACGTTCATTTATGCACTCATAAACAGCTACAAAAGGTTTAGAGGACGCAAAATACTTGCTCAAGTACGAGTGAAGCACTCTTGAACAGCTAGGAAAGGTTTCGAGGACGCATGATAAAGGACAAAGCAAGTGATTAAGAGCTTAAATGCGAGAAGCTGACCATCCAGAAGAGGCTTAGAGGTCGCAAAACTCTTGACTAAGTGTGTGTGACGCACTCATGATAACCAGGGAGGGATGAGAGGTCGCAAAGTGAGGGTCCGGGTGTAGGTGACCGGGTGTGAGTGATTGGGGGGTAAGTGATTGAGCTCGGAGGGCATTAATCCGGGGATTCACTTGCAAGAAACGTGGAGTCAAGGGGGAGTCATGCAAAGTAGGCAGAGGGCCAATGATGGAGTGCTTGGTACTGGAGGCCAACTTTAGACAAGGAATAAGGGGAACAGAGCAGCTCACCAATTCAATAACAAAAGCGCCGTAATTTGCAACACAAAGTTGGGGACCCTGTATGATATAAGTTGCGCTCTGTCTCTCTTTCTAAGGGCTATAGTGTGAGGGCGGCGATGTTAAAGCTACTTTGACAGATTTAGTATATGTAGATAGCGTGAGGCCAAGGCAATGAAACCGTTCAGGTGGTTGCGTGTGGACGATGAGAAGAAGGTATCAGAGTCGACAGGCGGGGTGGCACTTACTTGTCTGCGTGTATAGAGGTTGTAGCACGTTGTGGGACGGGGTGGTAATGCTGTGTCGTGTTGCTCAGCGATGCTGATGAGGTGGAGTAATGGAAAAAGGGGGGTTCTTAGGGAAGTCAAAAGGTGCTAATTGACAGATCACTACTTAAGAGGAGTTACAGAAGGATATTGTTGGTTGGTTGTTTTGGCTGGCCAGTCTTCTTTGTTGGAAGACCTTGTAGCGGGCTTGGTCTGGTTGATGTTCGGTTGAGAACTTGGGGAAAAGAAGCCCTATTTATGTTAACACGGGCTTGTGCAGATTTGAAAGCTGGAAAATGAAGCCGAAAATCTGGTTCTCATCCATGATCCTGTTAACAGTCTCCGGTGTTGAGGGCTTCTAAACAGTTCCGTGAATTTAGATCCCGTTTTGTGCCACACCTGGGCCACGGGTGTCTCCATGGACTGGCATGGGTTCAGCGCTTATGGTCCTGCTAAGCGCCATGACATATTGACTAACCAATGACCTGCATCTTCGCCAGGGCTCTGCGAGTTGGAGAGCAACAGACAATTCGGAGGGAACATCTCGCTGCCTCTGCGGCAGAGGCTTGTAGAATGCATAAAACCACTGCACAGGCACACCGACACCATAACTCAGCTGGGTTCTTAGTCTAGGTAAGTTTAGAGACCTAGATAGTAGAGCTTCTTGATGATTAAGTGAGCAAGGCACCGAGGACCCTTTAGGCAACAAAATATCATTCTTGACAAGCGCCCGAGTTGAAACGGTGGGAATGGAAAGCTGAAGCTGTGAACCAATCATGTCTCTAACATGCGAAACTTCTGTTGGCCTCCGACATGACCGACCGGCTGACAATGAATATCCCCTCATCACATGTATTTGCGGTAGGCGTATGTTTCGGGATCAAAGCTACTCCCTTCCACCGCAAAATTCTACAAAACAAGTCCAGGCCCTCGGTTCTAACTCATGTGTTGCCGGACATCTCATCATTGAAATTCCACTACAAGCAAACGCAAGACGTGTAGAGCATGATGCAGGCACTCAAGAACGAAAAGACCTATGCTGAGATGGCAGCTATTGGCCTGCTGGGGTCGAAATTGCTCCCTCCCGGCGTCAGCAACCAACAGCTGCTAGGAGGGGTCGGCGGAGAAGACACGGAGCCACCACCGGACGAGAGCAGAGATGACGAGAGCGGAGATGAGTCCGACGAGCCATCAAGACTGAAAAAGGTACCTTAAAGCATGCATTCGAGTAAAATATACCAAGCCACTGACATATCCGGAATCTTCAAGGCTATCGATTGGATGCGAGAAAACCCCGGGACGACTGCATGTTATGGCTTGAGTGCTAGCAGCCTCGCCGTTTTGGCCGCACCAGCTCTCGTCGCTGCACCAGCTCTGGGGCTTGCGGGTTTTGGCTCGCAGGGCATTGTCGCTGGTAAGTGAAAGTCTCAAACTTGGGGCATAGGCAATCTTTGCAGCTGGAAATCTTGGTCACTGACTTCTACGGGTCAATAGGCTCGGCGGCGGCGGGCATCCAAGCCGGGATCGGGAACGTGGTGGCGCCGAGCCTCTTTGCTACCCTCCAGAGCGCCGGCGCGGCCGGCTATGGTGCCGCGGTCGTCAACGGGGTCATACAGGCAGGCGCTGGGGTTTCTGCTACTGCATTTGCGTGGTGGGGGGCAAAGAAGAAGGATTGCGGAGAGATCGACAAGGAGGAAGACGGAGCTGGGGATGGGAAGCCAGACGCCAAAAAGAAGTAGTAGTAGGAAGTAATGAAGACTTATGTCTGTCCCTAGGTTCAAAGACGAATGAGATCGATGTGGATCTAATGACAAGCAGAAGCCCGCCGGGACTCAATCACCGCGATCCTTTGGTTTTGTGGATACAGGGGCCCGTCAAGAAAGCTGGTCCGAGTGATGCTAAAGCTATCTACAATCTCTTCAGGCATCTCATAGACAGATCTCGTCATCAAATTGATTGTAAATGGAGCGAATCAGCAAGATGAAAGCCAATGATTTTTGTATCATTTCTGAATCTAACCGGTCTGTACGCATTCGACTTTGGATTTGGGATCAACCAGAGCCTGACAGTCCGATGTCGTCAACTTCGTAATGAGACCATTACACGCCTCTCCGTCCTTGTTGGAGTCAACGCCCGTAGCGCCACCGGCGCCGTTGCAGATCACGGCCTTCATCTTGCGAGTTTTGCCATTGACGCAGCTGCACGAGAAACGGGGAGGGCCGTTTTGCGGATCGCGTCTCTCGAGGGTATTTGTGCTACACTCAGCGTTAGTGCCTGTTCGTGTCGGGACCCTTGGGCACAGGCTGCAAAGCGTACCTTGAGAGAGGGCTGGCAGTAATGCTGACGGCCAAGAGACTCAGCGTCAGATGAGCAGACTTTGAGAACAACATTCTAGATTTGGTATGAATGAAAGCAAACAAAACATTAACAGTTGAACGCTCAGCGTGTTGAAGTGAAAGGTGGTTTTGGATTGATTGAGAGTCATTATTCAGGTGGCCGCAGATTGCTTCTTATTTTCTTTGTGGCTTCGATGACAAGAGGCTATCGAAACAACAACTCAACTCTAAATCTGCATTACACAGCACTAACAACCCAGAACTACGGTACCGTAAGCTGTCAAGCTCCGCAATAAGGCCTGCTAAGCTCTAGGGCCGCCCGCAAAAAAAAAAAACCTGGAGAACGCGTCGTCGACAGGCCTTGAGCGGTGTCATCTGGGGTTTCCTCTGCCCTGAAAACACAGAGTCAAACTCTGAGTCAGTAAGTGTTAAGAGCTGTCTTTTGTATGTTAATTGGGGTTCGCGTCTCAGATTCCTCGGTTCGTCCGATCCGTCTCAGATCTGCAGGCCGTCAGCGTCCGCTGCGTGACCGGCCTTGAGACGAAGCTTGACTCGGTTTACTGTCTTTGCGCCCTACACTTGTGGTCGTTGGAGTTCTCGAAGGGCCGGTCGGAGGAGTGCAGGGAACACGCAAGTCGAAGACCCCGTCTAGCTCTGTTGTTCGGGCTAAAGAGTAGGTATCGATCTCGTTGTGTTACGAAATGTTCAGAGGCAAACGGCAGGTGACTTGGTAAGAAAGGGCATTTCTACGAGACGGTCATCCAGGTACGACTGCGCAGAGTATGGCAAACCTCGTGCGATGGACTTGGCCCTCAAGCTCCGTATCGCAAAGGCTCGCAAAGTCGCCCCTTAGGGAATAAAAAGGCTGCTCAAATCAAAGGCTCTCTCTCCTAGAACTGCACTCCAAAGCACCCAGTCGCGGAAAACCTCATCAACCTCACGGCCTCAACCAGCTCCTTCACGTTCGGTTCCAACCTTCTTCTCAGGCATCATGCATCTTTTCAAGGCCGGCCTACCCGTCCTTGCCGTGTGTTCAGTTATTCAAGCCATCCCTGTCAACACCGGCGAAAGAGGCGATACGGCCTTACACCGCCACGATGGTCTCAAAGCCTTAGACACGCGTCAAGAAAACAGAAGTGCGGGCGGCTTCGTGCCTCCTCACATTCTCAGGAACATTACTCGGAGTCCTTTTGCCACAGAAGACGAGCGGCGCACTGCAAATCGGACCTTGTTGATCGACGAGGAGCGGCGGGGGCCGGAGCAGTCGACGGATCAATCGGTCGCTATTGAGACTCAACGAGAGGTGGCCGACATGACACCCACATCGTAGTCTTACTTGGCGAGCTTCGGTAAAGAGCATAATCACCCCGCGATCCTGCTGCCTTGGTAGCTGATAACATGACAAAAAGAAAGGGTCGCGTTTCAAAGTGTTCAGCTCGGACCCAGGGACGGCAGACTGTCATCCGGAGACTCAGTCAACTCGGCCTTTGCGAGCCCTGCAAGCCCGGCGGAATACGGCCGAGTGTGGAGCTGGCGATGGTCTTGGTGAAACATCTTGTCCTATGCGCCGTCTTTGGGAGGAGATAGCAGGCAATCCGTCGAACCAAGAGCTCACGAACCCGAGACCAGCTTCTCGCCCTGCATCTGGTTGCCTTCCTTTTCTTCGTGACCACGAAACAGAGGTGGCCCGGAACGACCGGCAATCTTGCTGCAAGTCGACACTTACATCAATGGTTGGTTTAAGGCACCTTATCACTGATTGCCTCAACGTGTCTCATGGAATTGACGAGCGGGAAGAAACGGTGGCTAGATCTCGTATGCCGCAAGCTGGATAAAGCTCTGGAAACCTTGCTCAAGACTAGATTTCTCGCTACTTTATCGAATTGAAGCTATTCCCATCGATTCCCTCGCATTGGCCACTGACAGGCCACGTGTTGAAGATCAGCAAACCTTCGAGGTATCCGAACTTTGGAGAGTTTGCAGGCCATGCTGGACCGTGCTTCACACCTATTTGACATGCTGACTCACCATACGAGCAAAAGAAAACAGGCCTCGGGAGCTTCGGAGGACCAAGGGGTTTCCTTCGGGATCACCTCCGGGAACGGGAGTCACCCGGGTCCGAATGGCCGCGACGCCAACTGCCGACGTTGTACTGGTTTTCCTGGGCCCAGAGGGATAATGCGGGCCCGTTTCTGGGGTTCTTCCAAGGAAATGTCACGGATCCGGAGCGTTGCATCACCTGTCGGATCCTGGGCAAGATGGTGGGCGGATGCTCGAAAAGACCACGACCGACTCCCTGAGGAAGCACTGTTCGGACATGAAGGGAAAGCTTGTGCATCTATATACGGAAGACGGTAAACCACAGCTCGGGAAGAAGAGAGTTTGTGTGGTATTCATTGAAAGCGGCTATGCAATGGACACGCGTTGTATGACGTCCAGCCGGGCCCAGACAAACGAATTTCTCCATGAAAATAGCCCACGGGGAGTTGGGGACAGTTTGATGTGGACGAGCAATGGTGGCTGGACGATCCGATGTGCAACGCTCATTGCACAGCACCATCACACTTTAATTGGGGCTCTTTTTTCAGGTAAAGTTGAGAGTTGATCCAACATGGGGCGACAACTCAGGGGCTCGCAAAGGTTGTCTTGGGTAGATGACATAACCGCGCAGGGATATCCCAGCATCACCGCCCACGTCCAGCAAAGTCGTATTTAGGAACTCCCAGAGGGCGCTTCTCCCTTTTCGTACACGTTGTCCAACGCCCATTTACTACTATCTTATCTTCGGTCGGTCGTTCTCACATACGTGTGTTCACGGTTGTATTTCTCTCTTCTCCGGTCCACTGAGCCTCACTTTCAGATGCCGGCCGTCGCAGCTCCAACAGCACCTTTCATTTCATTCTTTCACTCGTTTTGAAAGAAAACACACGCACACCCATTAGGCCACACGCATGTTTGCTCGCAACACCCGAGCGAGACAAAAAGGCACCATGTGGGAAGAATCCACGCGGGGCCGGGAGAGGCAGCAGTTCAAGGAGCAGAACCCATACGGCGACCACGATGCCGTAGGTGAAAAGGCATCTGCCGTCGCCGCCGCCTCTGCAACAAGGAACAATGCAGACAAGATCAGATGCCTCGATGGCCTCCGTGGAATCGCCTGTCTGCTCGTCTTCAACTACCACTTCGTATGGCCCTGGACACCGGCCATCATGCTTGGCTATGGAGCCATGCCCCCCGGATCGCCCGAGCCGTACTTTGAACGGTCATCCCTGCCCATTCTGTGCCTCTTGCAACGCGGACGGCCCATGGTGGCCATCTTCTTCGCCGTCTCGGGATACGTCCTCTGCCGACATATTCTGAGAGCGATTCACGAGCGACGCTTCGAGGCCGCTTACCAGAGCCTGGCATCTTCTGTCTTTAGGCGCGTGTTCCGCCTTTACATCCCTCCCACCATCAGCATGTTCCTCGTTGCGCTGCTTGCTCAGATGGGCGCTTTCAAGTCCGAATTTGAGATTTACAAAGGCCCCGACTCGAGGTACATCAACGGTACTGTGACTGTCGCTACGCTGAACAACACCTGTGTGAACGGCACGTACTCCGTTGAAGGAGCTGTGGGAATTGCCAAGTTTCTCGGATTACAAACCCCGTCTTTCCTGGGGAATGTCACGACCAACGGTACGAACACTCTCTGTCTTAATGCCACGTCCCAACTATTCATGCCTCCGATGCTATATGCATTGGCGGATGATATTGAGGCCGCTTCTAAGGTGGTGAATGAGACGAGCAGCCTGAACGGCACTGCGATCAACATCACGATGCAGGATGTTGGAGACAAGGAGACACCTGAGAAACACAGGTCCTACCACGATCTCTTGCACTTTCACTCGAGACCGGCCCTTCTCGATGAGGAGAAAGACTCGGCCAACGTCACCAATCCGGTGAACTTCACTTGGGTCCAGCTGGGCGGCTCATGGGAAGAGCACCCCTTCATCCACGACAATATCACCTATGCTCTCAAGAACTTCACGAGAGCTTACGTCGAGTGGGCTAACCCTTTCAACTTTGGCCACTACCACACCCGCTACGACCCGCACACCTTTACCATCCCGATGGAGCTCCGCGGCTCAATGTTCATTTACCTCTTCCTGCTCGGCACGGCAGCTATCCAGGCAAAGTGGCGCCTTCGAATCGGTGCCTTCCTCTCCGTCTACAGCTTGATCTTGGGACGATGGGACATGGCCACGTTCATGGGCGGCGTCCTGCTCTCCGAAGCAGACATTAGACGGGCTGACCGAGGACTGCTCCCTCCAGTGAAGAATGGCAAGAAAGGCCAACAGGCAACCCTCGGACAAAGGTTCCTCGGATCGAGGACAGCTCGATGGGGGGCCCTCTTCGTGGCACTCTACCTGCTCTCCTACCCCGATGCCGGCGCCGAATGGACGCCCGGCTTCACTCTCCTCTCGTCGCTCGTGCCCCGGTACTACATTCCCCTCTCAGGCTGGATGTTTTACCAGGCAATGGGCGCCATGCTTCTTCTGCCCTGCGTCCTTCACAGCCCCTTCCTCCGCGGCCTGCTTGAGGGACGGGTGGCGCAGTACCTGGGCAAGGTCAGCTTCTCGTTCTATCTCGTTCATGGACCGGTGCTGCATAGCCTGGGTTTCTGGATCATGCCTAGACTCTTTGAGCGTTTCGGCCGCAACCTGGGGTTCGTTGTCGGCTGGGTTATCTTGCTGAGCGTGTCGCTGTATTTGTCGGACTGGTGGTGCAAGAAGATCGACACTTGGAGCGCGAGTGTCGGACGTCGCGTAGAAAAGGCATTGAAAGACTGAGCTGGGGCTCCGGAGTTTTGTAGGATTGTTTTAGTAGTTATTCCCTGCGGAATAATCAAAAGGTCATGATACCCTCAAACTGTTCCTGAATACGCACCTTGATGGCCCTCATCCGATCCCTTATCAACACCAAAGAAGGAGCAGCCATCAACAGGCAGCGTCCGTTGTAGTCGATGGCCGAGCGGTACGATTCGTATGTTGGCTCACGGTCCTACATAATGCCATGGATAGCTTGTTTTCTGTCGCAAAGGTCGCGGGTTCGAGTCGACTCTGGTTGTCATTTTTCTTTATCCTTCCACCCGTAGATGCTGTGATGAATGAACGACTCGTATGGTCTCACCACAAATCTTCATGCCTTGCTGGCGAACTCCCTTCGCGTTTACGGTACATCCAATAAACAGACGGCAGGATGCTTGAATAAGATATATTATGGTTTCTAGCTTTATGACACAGGCGTAACGATACTGAGATCTATACTAGCCAAAATGGTCTGTCACATGATGATTAAGCCTTGTAGTATGGTACCTTAGTACAGCTAGTCGTGTTCCCATGTCAGGACACAGCATCGACTATCAGTGATGACGCTGAACAATCATCTTGTTCCTCATGCTTCTCCTGCGTCGAGTAGGATGCGCAGGCTGCTTCCAGATAGGCTGGTCCGGGTCATACCCAACGAGGCAGTTGACTGTCTCAGCGCCCTCGCCAGCATCGTTGATCTCACTACCAACAGGGTTCCGCCATTGACCAGTGAGCTTGATATATCCATCAAGAGCATCAGTCATCGTCTTGCCCAGCTCGAGCGCCTTGGCAGCTCTGCTGTGCGAGTAGTACGTGAGCAGCGAATGCGCCGCCTCACGCTCGTTGTTCTCGATGAGAACTCTAGCACTCGTCTCGACCCAGTCCACGTCGCTGCGGCTCTGGTTCTCGAAGCCCGTGAGCATCTGCGTGACGATCGGCAGGTAGGTATCCGGGGATGAGCACATGTAATACAGCACCCGCTTGAAGATGCGACCAGCAAAGACGCTCGCCTCCTGCAGTTGGAAATCCGGACTCAGGAAGCTGCCGGACGCGCCGGTCGTGAGGTACCGGTGCTCGCCGAACTCGGGAGGCACGCTGTTGACACCCAGCCACCACGGCACGAACGGCGACGAGACGGAGGTGGCGGGCGCGTTCCAGATGCGCAGCAGATCCGCGTCGATGCCCGCCTTCAAGCTGACGATTTGTCCGTAGCCCGCCTCGTCGTCGGCGATGCGCTTGTCGCGGACGCGCTCCATCAGCTTCTCTTCCGTCAAGGGGACCATCTCGAGGGTGGCGTTCTCGAGCGCAGCTTGGGACATGAACTTGAAGCCGCCGTCGCGGGCCGTCATATTTTCGCCCTTTTCGCCATACACGTTGAAGATGTTGAAGGGCTCGCCCCCGTTAGGGTCCCACCACCCTTGCTCGACGGCGAAGGAGACTATGTTCTCAGAGCCCATGTAATCGGAGCTGTTGGCAAAGTCGGTGGGGAAGTCCTCGATGTAGCCGGGGTACAGAACGCGAACCACGTCGGTCTTGAGCCGCTCTGCCGCCCACAGCTTCATGCCGCCGGCCATCTCCCAGACGACCCAGCCCTCGTCCTTGTCGGCGACCAAGTGGGTATTTCCGCCGTAGGTTGCCTCCCCGTACTGGTTCATCAGATCGCCGATGATTTCCACGCCCTCGCGCGCGGTCTTCGCGCGCTCCATCACAATGCGCGCAAGGTCGCTGTACTGGATGCCGTGCTGCGGGGTCGGAGTCATGTTGACCAGCTCATCGCGGTTCTGCGCCCAGACATCGCGGACAGTGACGCCGTTCTCGTTGAGGCCGCCGTTGGTGAGCGGCGCCGGGAAACCCTCAAAGTCCGAGTACTCCATCGACATGTACCGGTAGGTGTGGCTGACCTGCGGAATAGTGAATAGCTCGCCGGGTATGCTCGCCTTCTCCGTTACGCCGACGGTGATCGTCGCGTTGGCCGCATGGTCGGCGGCGGGAAGCAGCTGCAGCCAGTGGGAGGAGACCTCTTCGCCGGTGCCGCCGACCATGACGCTCCCGTCGGCGGTGAGGTCCTTGCCGACGTAGAAGGCGTAGCTGGCGGAGGCCGGCCCGGCGAGGGCCGCTAGGACAACGGCAGAGCTTTGGAACATCATCTTTGCCTTTGATCAGCGAAGATGGCTCTGAGCGGGTTGGCTAGGAGAACGAGAAAGAGAAACTTTCAAAGAAGAGGAACACCCCCTCTTCAAGAGGTACTCTTCGCCTTACCCCTCGCTAGAGTCATTTTTCGGCAATGATATCAAATGGAAGCCTCCGATGTTGACTTCGGAGTCGCGCTACCCCACACCGAAATTTCCGGTATCGCTAACGGTGATGATAACGGGTGCGCCAAGAACCGTAATTCTGCGCGGTAAACACACTTAAATGACATTGATAAGTGAACAGCTGACAAGGATTATCTTGTCTCCCTGGAAATGACCCCATGGGTTTGCAAACGCGGTCCCTTGTTCCTGGGGAAGAAATGGTTAGTGTTGGAACAGCAAAAGCTGATAAGGAGTAATAGGCAGGTACCATGGGCTGGCTGGCACCTGCCCTGGGCGAAGTGGGACAACAGGCTTAGTCATCACGGCCGGATAAAGGTGGGACAACCACCCAGACCGTCACTACCTACTTCGACCGACTCCTGCCTACAATGTAAGATAGAAAGAAGACGAACAAGCAATAGGATTACCAACAGACGAGTGATAATTGCTACCACTATTTGTCGTATACGACCCCGTGAACCAACAGTTAGAATTACCGCAATCCGACTCAACCGTTGATTGACTCGGGTAAATAAGCGACTAAAGCTGCCCCATTGGATAACATTTCTGCAAGTCATGCTCCAGTAGACTCGGACTATGATTCCGTAGGCACAATCTTCATCCATGTGTATTAGCAATTGTCTCCCAGTATGTATTTTGAGCTGATTGGCTGTTATTTAGACATTGTCCTGCTGATTCCTATTCTAAATTTCTTCCACACACGTTTCCCAATGCATTTGCAACTCTCCAGCAACCCCATGTGGGTCAATGTCAAGCAGCGATCCAGCGAACGACGATCACGATGGGAAAGTTATCAAGGTCCTGTCACCACAGCCGTTTCCCAATGGAATTTCGAACAATGGGGTGAGATTGAACTCCAACATCTAAGTAACGATAACAAGATATTGAGATGCCCATCTTCGATCAGCGCTGTAGTCACTTGCGAGGACTGCTGGACTACCTCGCGTTCTGTGCAAGTTTCAACGCATTTCTGACAGGAGTTGTATGTTACCTCGAAGTAATCTAGGTGATCACCCGCAATAGGAAGTATCTCGCCTCGTGTTGATTGACTCTAATGTCATCTTCTAAAGGAGCACGAGCATCCCGGATTCTCACTGCCTTAATATCGTTTCTCTGCTCTCACTCCAATCCATTGTCCTCTTTGGAACTGCCCCGAAGCCGTTTCTAGTTGAGCTGAAATCTTGCAGTGATTGATAAGTACCAATTCTGGCCTGGCAGCCCTGACAAGTCATAGCTTCCGTACTTCCTCTCGATACCAGCCCATCAGCAATCCAAGTTAGGATTTTCCAAGCTGCTTGGAGGAAAAGTAGATCCGCAAGTAGGATTGAAAACAACATCACACCACCATTCTTCTGTTGAGGAACAGAGCAAAGGTATTGGCTGGCAATGGTAGCGTTTTCGCAGCCCAGGGGACCCATCATAGGCTGAAACTTGTCGTAGCTATCCCGGAGCTTCACCGGTCCGCTGTTGGTGTCATTAGATCCGGGAGCAGGAATCATGTTATAACGATCTAATCCGTATATCTGCGACTTTGAGCCGTTCAGAATCCGTCCTGGATCCCGATTGTAATCGTCTGGTGCCAGGATTGTATATCGGAGCCCACGGTCATCCAGGAGGAGATTCGGTGCCTGGCAATTGCCTAGGTCTAAGGAAAGCAGAGAAAACAGAATTTTTGCGCTGTGAAGTCCTTCTGTCAATGCTGGAGATCCGTACCACTATGTTGATTGCGAACGTCAGCTAAGTAACATGTCTTGGTGGAGATGGTCTGTTAATCTGAACAATGGAATAGCGTACATCAGAATTGTAATCTTTGAGGCTTTTGTCCATATTCTTATTAAGAATCGAGGAGTCTGCATTTGCCAGCCACCAGTAAAGGTCGAAGAACCTATCGGTGTAGATACTAAGTAAATCAAGAAGTGAGCAACTGCAAGTCAGACAGACGAGTTGGGGTAACCTACTCTTCGCTTGGCTTGGGAGTGTAAGTCAAACCACTACGGACGACATAGTTCTTGGAGCCGTATATATTCGTCATGTTTGCTGCAACTGTCATCACGCCGCTCCAATATGCATTGAGCAGTCTGGTCCCCCACCAAACGCTTGCGTGCGTTCGGTAATCATCTTCGATTACGTAGCTATAGTCATGATCCCCTCCGCTAGCTTCCTCAGTAACGAGCGTTATGGTTACGAGGCCGTCATCGGTCACAATCGTGCAGTCCACAGTCGCCTTCATTGTAGATTCCCCATATGACAGCCACCATGAAGCAGCAGGCGGCACCGCAGTGTCACTCTTCTTCAGCTTCAGGGCTATGCTTTTAGGCGAGCAGCTTTCGAGGGTGTTGTTCTTGTAATTCAAGCTGGACAGTGAGTTTGTTCTTGAATCTGAAATGGCTTTGATAATGTATCGAAAGCCCAGGTTTGAGGTGAAAAAGGAATCGCCGATTGTCAGTAGACGTGGCTGGCACTCTGCCCGTACGTCACTCCTCCAATTGAAAGGGGGCTTCCTGTACCATCTTGGGCCATATTCTTAGCACGAAATTACATGGTAATCGTTGCATCGTCGACGTACTGTGCGTTTGAATAGGCTTCAGTGCCGTTAGGATCAGATGTATACAGAGGCTTTAAGTAGTAGCCGTTTGCGCTCAGATTGACCAAAGAGAGAAAGACAGTGAGAATAACACCGCCAACCAGAACCACCGGTGTGAACCAGCGAAAAGGATACGGCTTGGAGATCGGGTACGAGAACCACGACTGATGCATCTTGTCATTCGGACGCCGATAGCATCGAGGATCCCTAAGCAGATGATGACTGTTGACCTCAAGACAAGGCAGGGGATGATATGTTGGGCCAGGATGGCGTACGGCGTTCAGATTACGTCGATTCCTAGCAGCATGTCATCGACATGTAGCTATCCCTTGCGGATGGGGGGCGGCCGATCATTTTATATGTTGCGGCTTGCCATATGTGACCGATTCAACGAATCCTGCCTTTCGCCGATCGGGAGGATCAGTTATGGACTTCAGGATTGGCTGGATCCCAGAATAGTTCTGCCTACCGAGCATTACTAATCTTTAGGATCGGAATGCCTGCCTAAACCGCGCTTACCTCGTGCCTGTGTCTTAGGAGCCGATACTCATGCACTACAGAGGTCTTACTGGGCTTACTCGAGTCTAACTGAGCGGCGAATCAATGCTCTGTAACTGTGTAACTAGAAGCCTTGATTTGGGTCTATGACGCAGTCAGATTCCTGGCCTTCCTGATTGTCACCCTTTCCTGCAGGCTGCATACAGGGGCGATTCCTTAGCTTCAGCGATGTTAACACAGCCTGTCTGGCGGTCGACATGTTGATGCAGATATTTCCAGTCTGAGACGTTGTATTGTTGATACGCAAGCAGCGAACCAGTATGCCGGGGAGGTCATATTTTCAAAGATAACCTGTGCCTATCACAGCCTAGGCGATTCAAAACATTCAACATCGTAGGTGGCTCGTTCCGCATCTTTACCAGTCATGTGCCTATCGAATATAACATCGTAGTAGAATGGTGATAGATTTATTCAGTATATATCTATGAACACTATATTGCTTCAGTAGTAAATTGCTTTCAATAGGCGCATTGGCAGGTGCTTTGAGTTGTCATCAGCAAGGTGGAGTAGTAAGTGCGAGAACAAGATTTGACTCACCAAACAGTTGAGGTCAACTTAGTGCATTCCTTGTATTGAAGATCAGGATTGTTACACTACAGGGGCAACGATTAGTTCTTCTTAATCTATTGACTTAAGCTTCCTTCCAAAAAGGAATACTTACAACTAAACTGTTGCGGACACTGATGCAGGGGTCAACAGGCGCCGGAGGCGGCCTAGCCAACGCGGCACCGAAGGCTGCAAAGAAAATGAAGGATGAGAGCTGCATTTTGAGTAGTAATCAACAACAGGCGGAACTTTTAGATCGAGGAATTTGGGGCAAGGCAAGTTGTGGATTCATGGCACGCTTTATACTGCAGAGTCGAGTCACTATCCCATCGAGTGCGGATTAACGTCAAAAACGCCAAGGGCGGGGTAGAGCCAATAGGGGCTTGCGAGGCCACTGGAGTCAACCAATGAATAACTAGGATTTCCAGTACCTCTATTCCCTATTGATTTTGGGTATGCCAGAGGTACCAGCAATCCCCCCTGGTACTTAAAGCTACGTCGCAATCTAAGCAGCCTTTCCGAGTGAACCTAAGTTGCCGCTTGAGGCTATTCCCAGTTGTATTACTAAGAGCCTGGCGAGATCCTAGTGCTGCCGTATTACTACAATAGGAACATGGCGAACAAGCCTTCCTAGACCCCTGACGATGCTGCTGCCAGGGAATAGAAGTATTCTTCTTATCTGAAGCCCGCTGAGACCGTAAATATTTTCGACCTCCTGCTAATGGTCCAAACTGCTGAATAAGCTGGGATGCAAGTAGTTGCCGCCATTGGTACTGGGTCTTAACATTTTGCCACTCAGGCTTTCCCCAGAACTGTAGAAAGAAGCTATTCACAGTAATTACTTCTAGCAGGAAGTTCCAAGCAAGTGCCTGCCAGCCTCCTCGACGAATAGGGTGACTGTATTGATAATAGGACCTCATCTGGTCACTAATATCAACCCCATTCATCTTATGATTATACTCATCAATTGCCTTAGGTACTGGGAGGTTCTTGCGGACGTCTGGGCCAAAGACTTGCCGGGCAGCCCGCTTGCTTGCAGAGTTTCCAGCCGGCCGGCGCCGGAGACGGGTAACCTCCTGGCCGTCTCGGAAGACAGTTGTCATAAAGAGGACAAGAGCATTATCCTTCCAGGTGAATTAGTTAACCTAAAAATAGATACACTAGTCAGTATAGAGATTTCTATAGAAAGTAATTTATAATATCATACCTCCCCATCTAAGGTAGGGATACAATGGGTCTGCCCCCAAGAGATACCTTGACCTTCTGCTTCCTTCTCTGTGACAAGGATCTTATCTATCCCACTGTCTTTCCGGCAGGTTCCGGAAGCTCCGACTTGCTGCTTCCGGAGGGCCCGAAGAAGCCGTACAGACGCGAAGAGATTATCTAGAAACACATGGTAGACTGCAGCTGGAAGTAAGGTAATAAGTGTTGTTATAACACGCTGCGTTGGTGTCAATGGGACTGTGATAGCTACTCCAGCCTGACTATCTGCTGGCCGGGCTTGAGGGACTAGTCCGTACGGGCCCTTGACGTGTACATGCCAGAGCCATCGTAGACAGTAGCCTGATTGGGCAAGAATCCAGCCAACGAAGCCAGTTGGGGTCGGCTTTGTTGGTATTGTTGTCGTCTCTAGGGACCGGCCTGTAAACCGGACCATAGCCTCATCAACAGTAAGGTCAGAGCCGGCTATGTAGAAGGAATCTCCAGTCTCTTGAATATGGGCTGACCAATCGTTGACCTTCCGGTATATATCCGGCATCCCGGCTTGGGCTTGGTGTTGACCTGACTGGCTAGGCTGGAAATCAGAGGTGTTAAAGATGCGTAGCTGCCGGAGTAGACTTTGGAAGCGGTCCCGGGAGATAAACCGGGTGAATAGATGGATGGGATCCTCCTTTTGCTGTTGAGTTGACCAGTATCTTGATATTTGAGATTCATTATGAATCCCCATATAAAGTAGGATTCCTAAGAAGAGGTAAATCTCTTCTACAGAGGTCTTTCTCCACTCATACACTCTTGACCGTTTAGCCCGGGGGCCTTCCTTAGATAACGGCGCCGTATTCGTCCATTGCGCCCACTGCTCAACAAGGTCCCGGGAGACATACTGGAGAAATAGGTCAAGCGGGGCTGCCGGTAGGTCCCGTATCCCTCGGCCCCGGGCGGGTACGTCAAAGGGTCTGAAGGTGCCCGGCCGCCCGCGTTCAACGGCTGGGGGTTCGTGGGGCCGGACTGTGCTGTTATCGCACCGCTCCGACGTACAATCGGCAGTGCAAGCGACGGCGAGGTCTTCAGGAGGGAGCTCAACCATAATACAGCTCCGTACGGAAGCCCCGGAAGCCCCGGAAGCCCCGGAAGCCCCGGAAGCCCCGGAGGCATCGGAATCGCTAGAAGACATCGCGGCATTGAACAAAATGATAATTTTGGTGGTGACAATAAGGAAGAAAACAAAGGTTCAAATGATGTTTCGTCATGTACTCATTGAAGTGCGGAGTAAAAGTGGGTACGATAGTGGGTAGTTCTGGCCTTGGCGTTTTTGACGTTAATCCGCACTCGATGGGATACTTAGGGGGATCTCTAAGTCTTGATGAAGGACTCAGCATAACTTCGGCAGGCAGTTCCGGTTCGGAGTCCATCACAGCTCCGTATTAATATGGCAATCCTCGCCTCCTTCTAGTCTAAACTTTGTTTTGCGAAAATAATTACACTGGTGCCATAGTACGGCGAACTTTTGCCGACTTGAGCTGAGTGAATGACTCGAGAGTTCGTGAGTGATCACCCCGGCTCGCGAAAAGTCCAAAGTCTACGACCGGCTCCCACGGGTCGTCAGTCAACATCGAACGAAGCGAATCCGAATACTTAAAGTCTAAGAAACTCCCCCGATCCAAAATCTACGCGGATCTGTGTCCCAAAGCCGTTGGTGTTAAGCGATCCCGTTGATCCGGCTGAAAGAACCTCTAGAACCTCCTGCCGCTTTCGATCTTAGCGGCATCTGAACATGGAGATCAAGTGCATCTTCGACCTCGTCAGGGGCCAGCGCTTTATTACTAGAGCTATGCATAGGAACATACTCGGTGTTAGTCAGCGGAGCTTTAACTGAGAATTAGCCAACACAGCCGTTGTCTATAAATCCGACGAGTTGATGACATGATCTGGGCCGAATAACTCCGTTCAAACAAGGGGAGATGGTCTTCCATCCTAGAACACACTCAATTTAGGTTTGGTCAATAGATGTATTGAGGCCTAGGGGCCGGGTATCATAAACTCCCACCGGATCCTGCTTTGCGGACTCGAGAAACCACCCAAGACGGCCTGCTGATATCTTGATAACCCAACCATGTCCGAGTACAGAACAAGTATCGTTGTTAGGCCGCGAGTCATAGTGCGTGACCTTTCAGCCAGGCCGGTCCAGCTCGTCCGAACGCCGCCGAAGACCCGGCGCCGAATTGAACTTCATCAATCTCCGCAAGGTTGCAGGGTAGCAAAATGCATATTCAAAGGCTGATAGGGTATCATCGAAGCCTCACAATAACTTCAAGGCAGCTGATCTTCCTCACACGACTTTCGTCCCCGAACCCCTCATCCTCCTCCTTGAGCACAACGTCATCGACCGTGCCCACGGTCTTTGTCCTCACCTCGACCTCGCAATCGCTCTGCTCGGTGAACCACGCCGCAATACTGAGAGCCTTCTCAATGGCCCGGCCGGTGCCGAGCACGATCGCCTCCCCATTTCCTCCTTTGGTGCCATTGTCGCGGTGAAGTAGGTCGATGCGCTGGTTCAGGTTCATGCCCCTCGTCGAGGGCGCGTTGCCTTTGAGGGATTTATCTAGCTGCTTGCGGACGCGTGAGACGGCTGACATGAACGGTGTTGATGCGGACACGTAAATAAGTTGTGATTTTGATGAGTTGGGTTGTTGACAGCGAGGCAGGGCGCGCTTTTGAATCTTGGAGCCTGGGATGGTGTTAGCGCGGAGACTCATTTAGGTGGAGGCTAGATATAGTCATGGACTGAGGGGTTTACCTTCAGGCAGTCGAGGCAATTTGGTCATTGTGGATGATGATTGTCTCTTTGAGGTTGAGTTGTCTTTGCCAGCGTGGCCTTGTGTTGCTGGATGAGTAGGCGCCATGTTAGGGTAGGCCAGCTGTGTGGGTATGAGTCTGAGGCGAATATTTGTTTCTGCCTTGATGATCTTGCGGAGCTTGATAGTACTTATGAGGTGAAGGAGGGTTTTGGGGGGAAAATGAATGAGATGAAGCGTGTATGGATGATCTCAAAGCATAGATCGAGAAGTTTTCTGAGTTCGTGTAGTGTTCTTGTGAGATACGCCGACCTGAAGCTGCAACAAATCATCGAAAAAGATGCTGAACATCCACCAGACGAGAAAAGTGCATAGAGTGGGTCTAGGCCCGTCTGCAGCAGCGGGGCATAGGCGCACCTCCCTTCCGCGAAATCGGTTCGGGCCCAACTTAACAAGGCACCGTGCACCGACCATCCTGGTCCAAAGCCTCCCACAATGACGAGATCCCAGACAGGAGCTTCAAACTGTCCACCATGAGCTAATCGAATGATACCAATTGCCCTGTTGCGGCTGCCTGCGATCCGATCAGCGAACAACGAAGCCTACCAGTAGCTGTCGAAACAGGAGAATACTCGAAGTGACAACATGTCAATAGCAATCTGGCCTCCAGTGGCCCCAGAGGAGTTGATAAAAGGGAAACAGGAATGCCTCGTATGTACCCTCGCCGTCTCTGTTTGCCCCGCGCCGGATTCTCGATCTTGTATTCGCAATCTCGATAGACACAATGCTAATCAGACTCGACCGCCTATCACAGGCCCGCGAGCTAGAATGGATCGTCGTAGAAACACACACGATCCTCAAGGACATCCGCCACGGCCTGCAGGACTGCTACGCTCTCCTGGCCCCAATCGACCCGGGAAGCACTCTCGTCATGAGCACGCAGCGTAACGAGCGCGTAAAGGGGACAGTGACCCGGGTCGGCACGCGCATAATCAAAGGCGTAAGTCTGTATACTGCCGACTACCTCCCCTCTTAAGTGACTACGAACCTGCGGCTAATACCTTCAAGACAATCCACCTCCAGCTCAAAACCCTCCCAACGCAGACCCTGAACCTCGACGCCTCGCACCCAGTCCACATCGCCGCCCTCGAAACGATCCACACCCACCTGACAGAATGCCTCGACCTCCTCTCCCTAACAGACACCCCGACCCCCTCCAACAACCCAACCCAGCTCGCCGCCCAGCTGCGCATCATCGCCGCCTCCTTCAACGAGTCCTCCTCCCTCCTCAAGGGCCCGGCCCTGAACGAAGTCGACCACAGCTGGCAGACCGACTCCTGCCCACCCGTCCATTTCACCCCAGCCCTCGGGCCAAATATCAGCGTCCACCTAGGTCTCCAGGAATCGAGCTTGGTCCTCTGGCTGCGCGCCCTCGAACCCGTCGATTCGCCGGTACACTTTGGCACCAAGCTCGGCCTGGCCTTGGGAACGGTCCGCAGGCTGGAACACGACGAGATGGACCGCCCGTTCCGATTCACGTACAGCACTGTTACGGACGGCGGGCAGAAACACAGACATGGTACGGCGCACCCGAGGAGTAGTGGGAGCAGCCCTAGCGGGTTGGGCACGCCCTCCAGCAATGGCGAGGCTACAGAGGTCTTCGTGAGGGAGAAGGTGCGGGTTGAGAGTCTGCCAGATCCCAATCTGATGTCTCTGTCTGCCAAGTTGGTTGCCTTGGGCCACACGCTGGCCAGCGCAAGAAGGAACCTGGCAGCTGTCATGGGCGAGGAGTTTGACGAGTGAAGCAAGGTCCTTCCCAATCTGTAAATGTAATTCTATACCCCGGAGTTTGGCAGGAAAGTTATTGGGCAAGTTGTCAAGGTTACTGTTTTCAAATTCCTATGTGCTGGTCTTGTTTCCCAGAATTCTGTACACATACAAGTCGCCAAATGGAAACCACTAAAGGTCCAAGATCAAACCAAACCATCTGTCTTCCTGATGTAGGAAACCTAATCCATGAAAGCAATCCACCCCAAAGTTGTCTTCGCTGGCCTGACACACGCTGAGCCACATGTTGGTCAGCGTACCCAGTGTTGGCCGTGTAGACATTGACAAATGAAAGCTGATATGGGCGATATGTAGAAGCATGCGATACGACGCATGGCAGTAACGCGGCTGAGCCGAGAAAGAGTCCGAACCCCCCACGATTACGCCACAGGAGACCAGGGCATCGGGATCAAGATTCTCGACTTCATGCTCTGAATAAGAGGCACAGTCTTGTGGACAGTCTCGCTCCAACCCTCGACGCTCCAGCTCTTCTCGCGGCGGATCTTTCGCTCCTCCAGGTTGGCGAACTGCCACAGGTGGTGAACGGTGTTGAGATCTCCTATCTGCACGAACCAAGCACCGACACCCTCCATGACCTCGCGTCTGGCCTTGAGGCCGCGTCTCCAGTGGGTCTCCCACTCGAGGAGGTTACCGGGGTGTAGAGTGTATGATCGCAGCTCGAAGATACCGCCAAGCTGGCGGGGAGGCGTGGTGGGCCAGAAGGAGAACTCCTGCATGAGAGATGTCTTCTTCGAGGTGATGAGGCTCTTAAGCTTCTTATCGAACTCGGCGAACTCGGGGTGGGAGCCAATGTTGTGGATTGACTCGTGGTAACCCTGGTAGCGCTGGTACTCCCAAATATGGACTGCGAGGCTAATGTTAGCATCATGTGGTTTCGCTTCAGCATAGGGGGTTTTTCTCGGCGAAGTAACATACCAAAGGTATCACAGTCTCCAACTTCGGTTCTCCAGCTTCCCACCAGGTGGACCTTATTCTCGGGTATGGAAGCCATGCGCGGGTACCAGCTACCGACAAGCTTGGTGTACTCCTCGACCTTGTCGGGCTTGACCTCGTGCTGGACGATCGAGTGGACGTACTTGCCTCGGGCGAGGACCTGACTGAAGCTCGCCTCGAGCTGAGCATCGAGCTCGCGACCTTCCTTGGTGCCGTAGATGAGGTTGGTCAAGGGACCGGCCTTGCGCGAAGGCTCCTGGGTGGCCTCGGCCTTCTGTCCTGAAGTAGCACTCACGGATGAGTCCTGGGCGGGCTCAGAGGAGGAGGCAGGGGAGGAGGATTGAGTATACGCACTTGCTTCCCGCTGTTTCTGCTGCTCGATCAACTGCTCTCGGAACTGCTTCGATTTGTCGTTGAAGGAGGCGACGCTCTTGGGCGCGGCGCTGACGTCGGCCATGGAGGGCACCTTGAGCTGCTGGCTCGTGGAGCTGAATGCTCGCAGCGCGGAACGCGGGGTCGCCGCGCCGGCTGCTCGCACCAATCGCTGGCTCAGCATCTTTGCCTTTGGTGGTTTTGGGGGGATTGGGCAAAGAAGGATGTTTTGGAGAAGGTAGGTAGGTGGGATGAAGAGGTGTCTGGTGACCAAGAGGTGTCGTTTCTTCTTCTGCTTGAGCCAAGGGACGTTTTGTCTACTCAAACAAAGGTGACAAAACGTGCTCTTTGTTCAGCAAGAACAAGCCTCTGGTATGGGATGTGAAGGAGGAAGGAGAGCGAGTTCGATACGTCTCGACCGGTAAGAAGCAGGAAGCACCCGAGAGCAGGGGTTTATCACAGAACGGGAAGCAAGTCGGCGTGCGGAAAGGGCGTTTGGAGGCGGCGGCGGCGGACGGACTGTTGGTACGCTGGTAAGTGGTGGTAGTAGCAACCTATGCGTAGGTAGCGGTTAGGTGTCAAGGTGGTGGTGGTGGTCTCGCCCGTGCTTGGAGTAACAGTCTAGGCTAATGGGATGGATATAATTGGATGAGTAGAGGAGGTCGGGCTACAACCGTGCAACAATGGTGTGTGTCTCTCGTTGTCTGCAGATTCCCCCGCACTTTCTGGCAAGGTGAAGGCGGTTGCAGTAGACTGTAGAGGAGGAAAAGGAGACAGCTTCAGGAGGTGTCTGGGTATGTGTGTGGCAGGGACAAGATGAATGTGACACAAGGGAGGAGATGTTTAGCTTGCTACACTACGAGTTCGGGGTCTGGCACCACCACCACGCCAATCCCCTCAAGTCCAACTCAGCCCCCAGAACCTGGGGAAAGCTGTCGCCGCGGCCTGCCACGGCACGGGGGAACGGGTGCGGGCGAGCGAAGCTGAAGCTTGCTAAGGTCACGGGTGGGTACGTATCGCCTCCAAATGCGCCCAGATGCGGAGAAACGTCGAATGATGTCACATGAGAGCCGGGGTAGAAAGGAAGGTGGATCCATCCGACTGGACCTTGACCAGATGCGCGGACAAATATTACTGCGGTATTCCGATCCGGCTCTTTCCCCGGCAAAACCTGAAAGAGAGTGGCCAGTGCCCAGACAGTACCAGAAACGGACGATGCTCCACTTGTTCTCGTCTGTCGCGGCTATAGCCTCAGGCCACAGTTTGCTCGGCTACGGGTCCAGCCGCCGAAACCGAAAGCTCAATCGGAGGAAAAAGGCTCGTTTTGATAGCTTCACATCGAACCTCCGAATACCGCCTGCCATTTAGACCCTTCAATCTCCCCCCTGCAACCCCCATCACAACCGTCAAGATGTCCTGGCTCGGAGCTCGCGCACTCAAGAAGTACCCCACGCCCGTCCGTACGTATTTCTCGACGACTGTCACCGTGTCTTCGTCGCGCAATTGCTAACATCCCTTACAGTTAAGCCGATGGCGCCTTTCTTCGCTGCCGGTATGTCCGAGTTCCCCGATCAACACTGAATCTCGAGCGAAACCAATTGCGATAAACGAGAGAACGCGAAGAACAGCGACGTGGAGCGCGGCAGGTGCTAATATCCCGACAGGTCTGGTCATTGCCTACGGCATCAACTCCGCCCAGAACGCCATGATGAAGTGTACGTCGCGCCAACGAAGACCTTCCAAAGGACGCATACTAATTTTGTTACATAGCCGACGAGTGGAAGAACGATGCCCGCAACCCCCTCGCCAAGAAGCATTAAGTTCGCAATGGAATAGTCCGAGCTATGCGGGGAGATGGCCGAGCAGTTGGGAAACGTGTCGAGGATATAGACCCGCCAACGAGTATTCTTCATGGACGCTGTATCATAGACGCACGGCTCGCCTTCAATTGAGCTGTTGTACTAATGTACTGATGCCACACGTGTCATAATAATCGGGAACTCCGAGGGCTCTTTGCCTTTTACGTGTGTGAATGCGTCATCATGGCCAATGTCTGCAATGCTTTACTTTTGGATGACTATGGCACGGCACCTGCTACACCTCTGGATTGAGATGGGAGATCCCAAAATCGAAATGCAAGAGGGGCGGTCGTCAACATTGTGATTGAGTTGCGGCATCGCAGAGTAAGGCTCGGACGGACGGCTTGTGTATCACGTGACAATATCAAGCCAACAACGCTGCGGTTAAAGATGCCAGAAGGCATTGGCAAGTACCGTACAGTCCTAGACTGTGATAAAGTTGGATTTCTCTGTAGAAGACTTGATCGGACTTCCAGGAGTACTTCAATCGGTTATTGTGGTCCCATTGCTTATCGCCGTCTCAATTCCTCTTCTTTTCGGCGAAGAGTCAACTGTGGATTTATCAGTATCCACTTCCGTCTGTCACTGAACACCTCGACTTCAATTCGCCCTTTGAGCTACATCATAGTCACCTTAGACCCACACATGATAACTTCACTTCCCTTGCGTCTTAGAGCTGTTGACTCTGTCACCAGACTTTCCCAATTTTCTTCCAAGAGCAGTAATAATACCCACTCACATTTCAGCCATATTTTCATCTGCAAAATGTCGACGACAGCAGGCTCAGCCCCGAATGGCTCAACGGCGAAGAAACCCAACGGAAAGAAGGAGATCAAAATTCTTATGCTCCACGGTAAGATATGTGTCCTGTTCTTATGCTTCTTTAGGGAACGCCGAATGGGCCGTCTAGGGCCAACCGGTCACAACATTTCTTCACCCATGACCCCTCCACAGAATATAATCAAACCCTCACTAACACTCCAAGGCTACACCCAATCCGGGCCCCTCTTCCGCTCAAAAACCCGCGCTCTAGAGAAACTCATCGCAAAGTCCCTGGTCCCCTTCAACCTCGTTCCAACCCTCTTCTACCCCACCGGACCATCACAGCTCTCCCCGCGCGACATCCCAGGCTTCGTCCCGGACGAGTCCGCCAACGGCGAGGACCAGGAAATCGACGCTTGGGCCTGGTGGCGCAAGGACGAGTCCTCGGGCTCCTACCGCTTCCTGGACCAGGGCATCTCCACCGTCGCCGACGCGGTCCGCGAGGCCGGCGGTGTCGACGGCGTGGTGGGCTTCAGTCAGGGCGGTGCCTTTGCCGCGCTCCTGGCGGCGATCTTGGAGGGGCCGCACCGCGATGAGAAGATGCCGGAAGACCTGAAGGCTTCTTCTCTGGCGTTGAGAGAGGCTAATGGTGGTCGACCGTTCAAGTTTGCGGCTATTTACTCTGGTTTCTTTGCGCCGCCCACGGAGTTGGCGTGGGCGTACGAGCCCAAGATCAAGACGCCTACGCTGCACTTCCTTGGTAGCTTGGACACCGTGGTTGAGGAGTCAAGGAGTCAGGGGCTTGTGGACCGATGCGAAGAGCCGATGGTTGTTGTCCACCCTGGTGGGCATTACGTGCCCATCACCAAGGAGTGGGCTATGCCTCTTATCGGCTTCATCAAGAAGATTTCCGACGAGGAGGCAGCGAAGAGCAACATTTAGATGTAATGACACACCAACTGACGAGCGAACTGTTTGGGTGGGGATATACTCGGGGACATTAGAGGGCATTGGATCATCATAGGATAGACCGAATCATGTTTTACACATCCCAGCCTGGTTCATTGCCTTCGTCTAAGATAGTGTTCTACAATTACACGCCGTAACTCATGCCGAAACCCCGGCAACCACCCGGACGTCTAATGCGCCTTAGTAGACTTTCCCTTGCCCGACTTGGACGCGCCAGGCTGAATGTTGGCCATCATCTCCTCCTTGGTAATGAGATGATCGATCCGCTCGAGGTGGCCCAACAAGCTCTTCATGTTGGAGCTCCACTCGTTCAAGATATCGTCTGCATCTCTGGGCTTCGCAAAGCTCACAATACGCGCAGGGCGATCGATCTTGGCGTAGATAGTCTTGGAAGTGACCAGCTCGCTGATGTACTTCTCCGTCTCGTCTTCGGTGAGATCCAGCAGCTGGGTGAGGCGCTGGGTCTGGATACGGGTGTAGTACTTGGCGACCACACGGACGTTGTGCTCGATGACTCTCTTGCGGAGATCCAGCCAGCGCTGGTGCGCCTTCTCGTCGTCCGACTGGCCGGTTTGGGCGTCGAAGACATCAGTCTCGCACAGGTGGGGGCCGAAGGTCTTCGCAACCTCTGGCCAGCGCATGAGCTCGTGGACTGTGAAAAGCTTGAGGAGCTCGGCTTCCTGAGTGACTTGGCTGATTCTGGAATCCTTCTGGATTCTGTGCAGAAGATCGTGCTGCTCGTTGTCGTGAGGTGCAAGAATGACGAAGTAGATGATGCGTTGAAGAACCTACAAATTCTTGGTAAGCACGTGTTTCTGCCATAATGGAAAGATTGGAACTTACGGGGTGAAGCTTCTTGGGGTCTTCCTCGACTGCCTCGGTGTCCAGAACCTGGCGGTAGTGCTTGCAGACGTCGAGGTACTTGTCGTCATGCTTCGCAAGGATGATCTGTTGCTCGTAGTAACGAAGCTTCAGGTCTGTTGTGTCATCCTCCTTCTCTTCGGGGACTTCCTCGCCTCTCGCCTTCTTCTTCTCACGCTCCTTCTTCTCCTTCTCCAGCTGCTCGGGGGTCTTCTTCGGCTTTCGCGACAGGTATCGGGTGCTGATCTTCCTGCTCAGGATTTGTGCCTGGGTCCAGTCGCCGACCTCAATGCAGAGTGAGACTTGTGCGAGGATGAATTCGGTCTTCTCCCTTCGGTCCATAGATCCGAATGTCTCAACCTGGAGCTCGCAGAGAATGTCTGTCGCCGCCTTAAGGTCGCCCTGCTCTTTCTTGATATCGGACAGAGTCTTGGTGACACGCGCGCGCTCGACTTCGACAAAGATCTTTCCCTCGGTGACCGTCCGCAGTGTCTCGATAACGGTGAGCTTGGTTTCGAGGTTCGGGGTAGAGTCGAGGAAGCTCATGACCGCCTGGACCATCTTCGTAATAGCTTGCTTGAGCTGTCCATGCTTCTTCGAGAGAATCAGGACCTGCTCGTTCATCAAGCTCCAGTCTCCGGCATTCTTGGTGATGTTGACGATGGCGATGAGTATACGCGATGTCGATGCAAGATCTGAGGACTGCGCTCCGTTAGCATGTCGGCGTCTGGGGAAGGGAGGGGTATGTTGCTCACCTGGCGGGTCTGCTTCTCTAGGACGCTCAGCTTCTCGATGGCGGCGGAAATTTCGCTCTGTTCAGATATCAGTATTCAATGCATGGCCATGTCAATTCTGGGCTCCAGTCCGCACCTTCGCGAGCTTCTCTGCCTCCGGGATCTGCTTGTCCGTCTCCTTCGAGAAGTCCTTCTCGGGCTTCAAGGCGGCCTCCGACATTCTGGGCAAGACTTCGAGTATTTATCTGTACTGAAGGTAAAGACGAGGGTTCAGGTCGGAATCGTGGGAGCGTTGAATTTGCAGGTTGCGAGGTCGTCGGTTGGGAAGGTGAGGCTGATTTGTTTGTTTGTTAGAATCGAAGGCTCCCGCAGCTACGCAACATGCTCGTGCCTACCTGACCTCACCCTGGCCACCGTAGTGCTCAGGTACCCGGATTAGGTAAGGCGGGGCAGAGCTGGCACGGAGGGACGTACCTTTTCCCGGCCCTGCCTTCCCGCTTCCATCGATGGTCTGTGCGTGCTGGCTCTTCTCTATGAGTGTCGATTCAGCCGTTGTTTCCTTCTTTTTTTTTTTGCTCTTGTTCTTGGTCGACGCATAGATAGTATCCTTGCGAACAAGTTAGTATTTAATATTGAGGAGTAATTGTTTAAGATCGAAGGCTTCAGTGGTTCACTCTTCATAGGCTTCGTACCTAGGAAATGAGGAGGATTCGTTTGGCCAGATTACGACATGAGTTGAATTAGAAGTCGTCTTGCTAAGGTAAGTAGGGAAGGTAGCTAGCTCGCCTTACCTAGGTACCCAAACTCACTGCAACTTGCGTGTACCGTTGAACATATTTATTGACATTTCGGTTCGCTTTCAGAAGACTGTAGATTCCGTGGCTTCGACGAGCTATAGGCCCCCTTATCACATGAGAACATCATTATCCCAACATTCGAATTATGTATACTCCTTAATCTCAGCTCTCCCAAATAGCCTACATGGCTTGACATGGAGAAGATTACACACGGCGATAATCTAGTCACGTCCATAATTCCAGAATATGTTTCGTCCACGGATGTTCACCCGTTGAGGTGCAACGTGTCTAAGCCTACCTTGAGGCAGTACGCACGAACGCAGATGCGCGGGATCCGCGGGGCTCGCGTGAGAGTCAGGCAAAAGCGGTTGTATTCCTTGCTCGAGATTTCGCCTGATCCAGATTTTATGCTTGGGAACAAGTTATGTAGTATATTAAAACATTATAGGTACTAGAAAGGCTCTAAGCTATGGACGAAGCTTCTTTTAAGGGTTGACAGGTGGGGGAGTGCTGTCAATGACAATCGTCGTAGGGTTGACCTGGTTGCAGAGCAAGTCTCCGAGGCCGCCGGCGTGGCAGTAGGTGAAAACATCACCCTCGCCCCAGTAACCGAATCTGAACGCCCATGTTAGTTCGCCGTTGTTCTCAAGTCTTTTCAGTGGAAATTACTTACGCAAGGCCGAGCTCGTGGTAGATGCGGAGCGCAAATTCGGTCTCCTTGCCCTGACGGATCGTGAAGCGGTACTTGGACTCGCCGCAGGTGATGACATCCGAAGGAACACCGGTCGCGCCCTGGCAGGCAAGATCCGTGGCGTCGTCTCCAGAGAGAAGGAAGCTAACGTTGGTCACTGTGCCGTTTTGCTGCTTGCGAACGGAGAGGTCGGCGATGTCGATGCTCTCGGAAGGCAGAGGTGCCTCAGTCTCCTGGGGCGCCGGGGCAGCGATGGCAGCAACGCCGAAGACGGCAGCAACAGTAGCGAAAGTGAACTTTATTTTGCAAGTTATAGTCGGTCTTTGATGATGTTTGACGATAGTAAGAAGAGTTGAGATTCTGTGGCAAAACTAGTAATGTATTTGAGGGTAGGGACACTAGCCAGGAAGAGGCTGCGTGGTAGTTAATTATATACTCGCGATGGACTCCAGATACTGGAGCATACGATCATCATCGCCAAGTCGGGTTGGTCGGACAAGCGAGGTTGGTGATTTCGACGTCACCGTCGCTTGGGAGGTGACCATTGTGTGGGGAATGCCTGTCCGGCAGATCCCAAAATGGCTGCGTTCTCGGAAAGGAAACTATGGCAGTATTGGAAGTAGGTACACACGAACGACTGGAAATTCTGTCTCACTCTCAACTGCCCCCCTCTCAAAGGGGTTGTATCATGGGTAATGCTAGAAATAGCACATGAGATGAACTGTTCAATTCTCCACATCGATCATGAACTTTAATTTGACCAGGGCACCAATATCAGAACTTGCGTGAAACGGTTATCTAGTGAAGACCGTTGTACTCGCATTTGACTGGTAAAACTTGGTACTGAGCAGCTAAAATCAGCGGCGCTTACAGGGACTCCGGGAGGCAAACAAGTCCGGAAAAGCGAGAGAGCGCATGAGAGTGAAAGCCGGAAGACATGAAAGCTAACCCTCAACAGAGGAAGCAACGTTGTTTTGCTGCGCTGGTAGTCACATCGGGCAGTTAAAATGTGGGCAAAATGACCACCGATCTTCTCGTATTACCGCCAAGACCAGTGTGGTGTTTTTGATGCGGCAATGACCGCAACGGGCCACTCCCCATTGTAAAGTCCCCAAATTACCCGAGGGTTCCAGCTTCCATGGCTCGCTCATGTATCAATGCCAGCTGCAAAATTCTTAAATCCGGCTGACAGTTCCTCCAGATCGCACAACATCCCAGTTGAACTTTCGGAGATTTTCAGCCTCTTTTTCGCAATGACGTCCGGTTTGGAAGAGTTGAGACATTGGTGGCAAGACCTCCATTCTGTTGGTTTCCTCTCACCGCCAAAATATGTGTTAAACCCCGGACAGCACACGCTTCACCAAATTCAAATTGCATTGATTCCTGCTCTATTCTTCATATCCAGTGCCCCCAAGGCTTTCTTATTCCGATTCAGCGCACAACAAACAACGTCAACAAACAACGACAATGGCCGGGATTCCACATGGGAAACCCATAGTCAAGATATTCCGCTTGACGGCTTCGCCCAACTCCACCCAAGCCCATAGGACTGTGGTTTGTGAATGTATGAACCACGCAGTCCTTCTCACACGTGCCCAAGTAAGGCTGAATCTGAGCGTCACACCATTCCCAATATTGGCCACCCAACTCAGGATCCAAGATATCTTTCCCAGCGTTTTCTTTTTTCCCGAATGGGGAAACTGTGCTTGAAGTCAGCGATGGACTCCCACAATCTCGTTCTTCTTTACGTACCCCATCCACCGCTGTATTCCATAGTGATGGACTGGTCAAGCCCAGCAAACAGCTCCGTGTAGGCACCGTTCTTCGGTGGGTGCGAAATGAGTTTCTTCTTCGTGTCAGTAACTTATTGTGCTGCTCTCATGCGAGGCAAAAAACTTACAAACGCTGCCAACTGGACTTTCGGCATGTTCTGCTGAAGGTTGGTAACAAAGTTGCCGGGGTTCAAAGACTGTTAGAGCCAGATTATTAGACACTGTCTTACGCTCACCCAGGCAAATAGAAATACTTGCCAAGCTTATGATTCCGCTTGTCTTCACTCGGCGAGCATATTCTGCTGCCTGAAGAACATTTCCCGCCTTGCTTCTTGAATACTTGCTCCAAATACCTTCCTCTTTATGATAGTACATGTTGGAGAAGTCGATTGCTGGTCGAGCTGCTCCGTCCGCAGCGCTAGAGGACACCCAGATAACCCTCACTGAGTTTGGTCCGATGTCTTGGCGGTATGCTGTAATAGGGGCGTCAACAGCTTCGTTAGAAGATGGTGGGCAATGTTGTTGATCCCCAGTTGCAGCTAGTATCCCTGCACAGTCTTCGACCCCTGAGGAGGAACCATCACACCAGCGTTGTTCCTGAGCACATCAAGTCGATTCTCTCTCTCGAGGAACTCCTGGGCAGTTGAGTTGATAGTAGTCAAGTTATCGAGCTCGAGCTTCAGAAATATCATGTCTCCGCTGGACCCCGGATGCGCGGCCTTGATCCCGTGGGTGACAGCTTGGGTTTTGGACTGGCTTCGAGCTGCCAGCCATATCTTGGCGTTCCTTTGGTATAGAATCTTCACGAGCTATGTGCCAATGCCGCCCGAGGCTCCAGTGATAAGGAAAGCCTGCCGAGTGATAGGTTAGTTTCGAAGCAACAGGGGGAACAAGAGCAGCGATGGAGACATAGGTTTCTTGAAAATAGCTCTTTGAACAGTACAGAGGGGGGAATGTGGAATTGCCTTGCCTTTCCAAACTGATCAGGCAGGTTCTCCTCGGTCAGAGGAGGCTTGTGGGGGCTGATGGTGCTGCATCGGACACTCATGTTGTGTTCTTGGATCATGGAAGCTGTAAGAAATGCGGACTGTGGTGGGCCTGGGCTGTGTACTGGTGCTCTGATCAGTGCCAAGGTATGTAGAGAGGTGACATAAATAATGCTCACATGGAGTCCCTACATTTACTTTTTCATATAGGAGGAGCCGTGATGGCACCCTGAGTGCGGTGTGCTCGGGTCTGGGCTCCGCCGTTGCTTTGAGGATTTCAGGAACTAGAAGACCGCGTTTCAGTCTCCACCCGAGTCCACAAGATCCGCGCGGAGTTGCGGGAATCTGCGGCAGCACTTACATCTATGCTGCCTTTCCCCCTACCTGGGATCGTTTGCGGAAACCTTTGCTTCTCTCAACAGATTAGATTGAATAACAGTTTGGAGCGCTAGGGCGTGCCTTTGACTCATAGGTAAGGCTACATTGATCACTCAAGCAAGGGTCTCCCGAGTCTCTGGGCTACGCCCGGGGCTGAATCGAGCATGTCTTAGTGACAGACGTCAAGTAACGTGTAACGGACGTCCTTGAGACAGTGCTTATTCAACCCGAATACGAGTTTGCTTTGAAGTTTCTGCGGGTGATATGGTAGTATCTTTCAAGTTTAAATCTAAGGTAGATCAATGCTCGCGGAAGAACCGACAAGCAACAAGCGACAAAGTCGCAAAACTTGATTGAATATGCCGAAATTTCCTCCACGACGATCGCATCCGAAGACTCGGACTGGCTGTAAAACGTACAAGAGACGAAAAGTCAAGGTGTGTGAGCATTTTCTCAACTTTTGGTCTCACCTAAGGCGGCTCTGAAAAATTGCTGTGTTCAGAGGTGGCTGAAAACTTTGCTTTCGGCATCCTCGGGCAACTAGACGAGACAAGCCCCGATCAGAACGTAGCTAAAAATTTGGGAACAGTGCGATGAACAGAGGCCAAGCTGTAGAAATTGTACTACGAGAGAGACAGTCTGTCTCTTTCCGTCTTCTGTGCTCACAGGTGCAGCCATCTCGCCTCCGAATTCTCTAGGATCTACGAACTTGTTAGACCTCGAGCTTCTTCACCATTTCTGTAATTTTACTACACTCACTTTGTCGAATGACTTCCTACTCCAAGATTTCTGGCGTCTGAATGCCGTAAGGTTAGGACTTCAGCACGAGGACCTGATGCGAGGCGTTCTATCCTTGACAGCATCACATCTTGCGAACCTCTGCCCGCATAGAAAACACTACATGTTAGAGAGGTCGGTGTGCTACTACGAGATGTCCCTCGGCGGGTTGATAGGTTTGGAGGAAGATGAAAAAGGACTGAAACGAGGGGACCAGCTCATTCACTCATTAATGTCGACTTACATCGGTATTTTGCCCGCAAGCCTCCAGCCATGGAGATCATTTCCTTGCTTACACTCAAACTGCCTTTAGTTCTCAGCAATCCTCGAGACCACAGCCACTCACCTTTCGATGCAGCGCTTCACTCAACGCAACTTCAACAATCAAAACAACAAGCAAAACAAACAACTGCCAGAAATCTGCCCTCAATCAATTCAACTTCGAGGCTGAAGTTGATTGTATAAGTTGGCTGGATTAATAGATGTTCCAGTGCCGTAATTCTGCTGACTACACCCCTGTTAAGGTCTGAGATGCTGATTACCCCCTGCTGATACCTATATTCTATTGTGTTGAGTAGAGTTTTCTCCCCCTGAATTCCCCTTACCAGAGAGCTCCTTTTCTCTTCCTCCCTCCTCTTTTACCTAGTCCACTCTGTCTTCCTCCTTCTACTGTTAATATAATTAATATTATAATTACTCTATTAATATCTAATGCTCTCTTACTCCTTCGTTAATCCCGAACTATTACCGTACAAGTTTAAGTAGCTAAATCTGTGACTAATATACCATTGTATCTAGATATTGTCACGGGCTGGAGCCCGGTTGAGATCTCCGGCCTTGTGTTACGAGCAGGACAAGGCAACCAACTGTGGCACAAAGCAAAAGCTTCGATAATGATGACTCCGGCATCATTGTCCCTTGTTCTGCATTATATAGCTACGCGCCCACAGTGACAAGTTGCGGCGGGCGTAACACCTTGTCGGAGCCGCACGCACACCCCTCTACTAGGAAGCTGTCCGACCGCGACCTATAATAACCGATTATGAGATTAAATTATTACATTCGGTTATGCTACAGGCCGGAGCCGGTCGAGATATCCGGCTTTACCAGAGCCACTATTTTATTATAATATACCGCCGAGTCCGGGTAACGTATATTATATTATAACTAACGTACCTGCATAGCGAGCGACGCATCATAGCGAGCGACGCACTCTCTCAAACCTTTCTACCTTATGTATAAGTTAACTTAGCCACAACGTACGAAATCAATTAAAACTATATATCACCCTCTTCCTCATTACTATCCCAAACCACTTCACAGGTTCGTGCGTTATGTCCAGGCTTCCCGCAATTACCACATCGTCGCGCGCGTGGTTCAGCACCTTCCGTACGACCCTCCTTCTGAGGGTTATTCTCTCCTCCAGCATTAACACCACCCTTCTCTACTTGTAGTGCCTCTGCTTCAGCACTATTAAGTGACCCTCCAAGACGTAGCCGGGTCTTTTTTGCCCTCCGGCGCTTACTTAGTACCTCTATCCCCGTACGAAGCTTACGGTTCTCAGCCTCAATAATAGCAAGCCTATGGGCTAACTTGCTAATACCTCTGGCCTGGAAGTCAATTACTTCGTACATTGGTGTTGGTGAGCTACCTTGATGTGCTTGGATCTTCCTTTTAAGGGAGGTAGCACTTCGTACGCCCTCTAGTGCTGTAATTGGTGTCCTTGGGTCCCAGGAGCCTTGGCTGCTTGGCCGTGAGTTTGATGGTGTTGGCGTCTTTGGCTTGAAATCCAAGCGAGAAATAACCACTTCAGGGTTAAAAGGTACAAGGCCTGCCTGCCTAAAACCAGCTCGTACGTTATTTTCGCCCATGGAAGTAAAGAATGCTGCTTTAAAGGCAGGAAAGAAGTCATCCTTTGTAATATGGGAAATCTGTATCCGCATCATCTTCTCGATTTCCTTGCCGTACGAGTACTTTAACGGGCTAAAGCACCCAACATCAAGAGGCTGAAGCTCGTGTGATGAATGGGGAGGCATACAAAGAGCAATAATGTTTTGTTCCTTGCAGTATTCGTCAAAGTCAGTCGATTTATGGCTATTATGGCCATCAAGGATCAAGAGGCGATAAGAGCCCTTCGTACGAGTCCTTGTACACTGATTAAAGTGCTTTAGCCAATCTAGGCCAATATCATTTGTCGTCCATCCATTTTCGCTTGGATGGATACGCCATGTGGCTGGAAATTGGCCATTAATATACCACGAGAGGAGGTGATATTTGCCCTTTACGATGACGTACGGAGGCAGCGCCCAGCCATCCGCACATACACCCTGAATGACAGAAACCCATTCTCGATTGCCAGGCTGTTTCGTACGAGGCCTTCCCTTACGGTCAGAAGTCGTAACAACCTTTGCGTGCGATAGCATTCCCATCAGGAAACCAGTCTCGTCAAAATTATAGATATCGTTATCCTGTATCCCATACTTTGCAATTGTGTTTCGCACAAGTGCAAACCAGCCTTGTATAATCGTAGGATCCTCAGCTAAGGCCCTCTGATAGTCGATTCGACGTTGAAACCGCATTTTCAATTCAGGGACGCGTCGTACGAAGTTCTCTGCCCATCGCGGTCCAGTACGCGTCCCATCGCGTGCGTTTAGGAGTTGGTCGGCCATTTCTCGTACGTCTTCTTGTCGCGGAGGGAACCCTCGATCGATTAGGTCAATAACTCGTTCAAGAATCACCTCCTCTTCTGTTATAGTCATCTTCATCGAATTTGGTCGTGTTTCACCTCGTGCGACGCGTTCAGCGCGTCGGTGGCGGAGGGTTGATTCAGGGACCTCATAGATAGAGGCAGCTCTTCGTATAGACATTTTCGGGTCTTTTTCAATAGCTTGGAGGGCAAGGGTAATTCGACTTTCAATTGAGGAGGATTGCATGTTCGTACGTGGAGAAAAGGTGACCTAAAGATGAAGAGGGTAGAATTGGGAGGACGTGCGTCGCTCGCTATGATGCGTCGCTCGCTATGCAGGTACGTTAACTAACTATAACTAACGTGGTTCATCAGTCAGCCGGCCGGACCAGTCAGCCGGACGTTTTTTCTAAACACACTTATGTCCAAACCACTTAAACCTTTGACGCGTAAAATCTCAACAACCATAATGCCAATCTACACCCAAGAAGACAAAGTCATTCTTGCGATTGAAGCGATCCGATCGACACGCGCTGCAGGTGGTAACTTGAGCATTTCGCGTGCCGCAAAGACCTACAGTATCCCGAAGAGCACCTTAGCCGATAGAATGAACAACCGACCGCGACGCGAACAAGCTCAACCCCAACGACGTAAAATCGATCCGATCGAAGAGAAAACACTTCTCCAATACGTTATTGAACAGGATTCCAGAGGATTTCCTTTGCGCCTTAGCGGTGTGGAAGATATGGCCAATCTCCTGCTGCGAGCCCGTAATGGCAAGCCTGTTGGCAAGCGATGGGCCAGGCGGTTTGTGGACTCACAGCCTGCTCTGAAAACAAAGTTTAATCGTCTATACGATTATCAAAGGGCTCTTCAAGAAGACCCAGAGGTTGTTTCAAAGTGGTTTGTGTTGTTACGCAACATGATGACCAAGTATGGAATCCAAGAGGAGGACCTATACAATTTCGACGAGACTGGCTTCATGATGGGCATGATCACCGCGTCAATAGTGGTAACACACGCCGATCGACGCGGCAAAGCAAAGTCTGTCCAGCCGGGTAACCGTGAATGGGCTACAGTCATTGAATGTATCAATTCGGGCGGGTGGTGCATCCCTCCGTTCGTGATCATCAAGGGCGCATATCACCTTGCCAGTTGGACCACGGAATCAGGTTTTCCGGGCAACTGGGTCATCAAACCCACGGCTAATGGATGGACGGATAATCAGACGGGTCTTGACTGGATTAAACACTTCGACAAACATACTAAGAACCAAACGAAGGGCGTCTACCGGATGCTCATTGTCGACGGCCATGAGAGCCATTTATCGGCCGAATTCGACGATTACTGCAAGCAGAACAATATTATAACGGCCAGTATGCCTGCACATTCATCGCATCTACTACAGCCATTGGATATTGCCCTTTATTCGCCTTTGAAACGCGCATACGGTGATGAAATCAACCTATTCATCAGAGCCTCCATAAATCACATCACCAAGTCTGAGTTCTTTATTGCCTTCCACCAGGCCCATAATAAGGTTTTTAATGAGGAAAACATCAGGTCTGCTTTCCAAGGCGCTGGAATTTCACCATGGGACCCAGAGCATGTCATCAAAAAGCTTGATGTGCATTTACGGACGCCTACACCTCCTATAGCCAACCCTTCAACACCACCACCTTGGCAGTCGCAAACGCCCTCTAACCCACAACAAACCGTCTCGCAGTCCAACTTTATCAAAAGTCGCATCTCTGCTCATCAAGGAAGCTCACCGACACCAATTATTGCTGCAGTTGAGCAATTGTCAAAGGGTGCGCAGGCAATGGCGCACTCAATCACTATTTTGACTGATCGGCTTCGTACCCTTGAGGATGCGAATGTAGCACTTGCTAAGCGTCGGAGGGCCAAAAGGTCACGTGTGCAGCTTGGAGGGGCACTTAGTATAGAGGAATCTCAGGATTTGCTGGAAGAGAAACAAAAAGGTAAACGTCCAGCGCCTCAAGAGGACGACGAGGGGGGTCCATCAAAGAGAGCCCAGCCAGCTCGGAGACGCTGTGGTATGGTGTGGTGAGACTGGGCATAACGCGCGAACCTGTTCCAAAGATGTCGAACCCTCAGGAGATTCTGATAGCGACAACTAATAGTTGATTTAATGCGTTGTGGTTGAGAAATACTAGATGTTGTTGTGTACGTGGGAAAAAACGTCCGGCTGACTGGTCCGGCCGGCTGACTGATGAACCACGTTAGTTATTTATTATTTATTTTAAAAGCTCGATCCCTCGATGGATAAGGAAGATCGTTAAGCTCGTCGTCTCCGTTATTTTGGATTGTCAAGGGCGGTAGGAGCAATGTTGCAACTCGTACTTCCTTTCTCAAGTGAGAATCCTTAAATGAGGAAGGGAAGGTTTCTTGTTCCTCTAGCTAGGTCTACGTGTCCTTCTAGCGGTCTAGCAAGAATGCTTAACCATCACCTACTTAAGTACTTATAGCATCTCCGTCAGGTCAACTTGACAGTGACGACACCCTTAGAAGGAACAGAGACGGACACCCCGGAGCCCGAGATGCTGGCACCCGTGGAAGCGAACTTGTGGGTGTTGTTAGTGACCCACGCGCTCGCAGCCTTGGGAGTGAAACCTTTGAAGGAGACGCTAGCAGCCTTAGCAGCACTGTCATTGTTCGTGAAGATGACCACGATAGACCCATCCTTATTTTGAACAGCTGCCGTCAAGACGTCGGACGCCACCATGCCCGACGTCTGCAATCTTTGTGCGCCGGGGCGGATGTGCCGCGACCACATTGCAAATGCCCAAAAGTTAGCCGATGGCGTCGCGGTCTTGCCATCCTGGGTATCGACAAGGTGGGAATCAGACTGTAGCTGCTTGAGCTCGAAACCCTCCCAGTAGAGGTAGGCAGAGAGCTTGGCGTTTATGATGCCAACGGCGATCTTGTTCGCCCAGGTCATGCCCTCGGTTGCTCCTCCGTTCTTGTACCAGGTCAGGTCAAAGGCTGTAGTGATGCCAGACTCGGTAACCCACGAAGACAACTTAGTGTTGAGAGCGGTGTTGGCGTCACCTGAGTAGGTGTGCGAGGTGATCAGGCCCAAGTGAGATTCCATACCGGCGGCAACGAGAGCGTTGGTGTATTTGACGGTTGAGCCCCAGCCAACGGCATCGCAGCAAGTGACTGCGGTCTTGAGACCGGCAGATTCGACGGCCTTGGACAGAGTGGGAATGAAAGAGATGGCTTCCTGAGCATTGAAGCTGATTTGCATCTGGGAGTATCCAGGACTGGGTGGTGATTAGTTCACGTACCTAGCTGTAAGGGAGGTTCTGGTGCTTACGAGAAGTCGGGCTCGTTGAGAAAGCCGAGGTGGGTAATATTGAGTCCGGCTTGCTGGTAGTACTTGACATACTGCACAAGGAAGTCGGCGTAGGCTTGTCTCCAATCACCAGAGGAGCAAGTGTGGCCAGTCGTGCCGCATAAATATCTATAGAGTCTTAGAAAGTGGCCGTCATGTAGACTGCTTGCGTTCTCGTAACTCACCCCGCCGTCGCCTCGTTGCCACTGGTTTTCATGAAACTAGGAGCACTCCAAGCATCAGCGTAGATTTGGTTCACCCCATAATTAACGGCCTGCTTCGTGAACCAAACCTGGCCGCTGTCATCGTCATCCCAGGTATAGGTCGGCTTGCCTGAAGGCGAGCCAGGACTCGTGGGAAGGATGCTATCTCCTTTGCCCCCGGAACCGATGCGGTTGCGGATGATGCTGAACCCAGCACCCTTGGTAGGGCTGAACAGTAGATCAAGAGCCTCTTTTTGAAGAGCCACAGGCGCATTCTGGAACTCCTTGGCACGACCGAAAGCCTGGGAGAAGCCAAAGCCGTCGATTCTTTGCAGCTTGGAGGTGGTGTCGACAGTAACCTGGCAAAGCGCCAAGGCGCCTAGGCTGGCAACACCAAGTAGCGTGATGGAGGGGGCCATTTCATCAACCAATCATGAGTTAAAAGAGTGTAATGTCTGGTGATGGAAAGGAATGTGGGAGTGGGTTGATTCTGCATGCCAAGAAATCTGACTGTTGCAGGAGTATATCAAGCAGATTGCAAGCTTTCAGCGATTGTAAAGTTCAGGGCCTGATGGTATCCTAACCCCGGAATGAAGGAGTCCACATAGGCAATATATTTGGAGTAGAGCTCTGCTCCTGTCATTCATTACTAAGGCAGGGTGGCGTACTATGGAGCAGGGAAAAGAAACTAGTTGCTCCAATAGAAACATTCGCGATCTAGTCTCGGGATCGTCCGAACTGCTCGCATAGCAGTGAAGTTGGGGCGTCTTAGTCTACCTTCGGGTAGTGAAATAGAGTACATATGAAACTCAGGGGCTATACATGTGGTGTTCAGCTGCGAAATCCGGCAGTCAACTTTCCGATCGCGAGTTCACTTTTCATATTGTTCTTACGTGAGCGCCTACGTTTATTGACAAGAGCAGGTCTTGGGCACATTGCCACATTGCCATCGTCTAGAATGGTCAAAGCTCTGATTGAAGGACTCCGCGGCATCAACACTTGCTCACTTCGTCTGAAACATCGGCTCGTAAAATCTGGATATTGCAGTGGGAGATGTTCACCGTTGAATTCCAAGTCACTGGAACTGCAGACGATGATTTTTGATATAAGATAATAGAAGAAGAATGCTTCTCCCATCTTTGCCGTTCCATTTGAATCATACAATTCAATCTTTCTTGTCTCTACTTCTATTTACTCTTTTGATCTATTTCTTCCACGCGACGCAAGAAACTCTGCCACCATGAAGTTCTCTCCCGTCATCTTTGCCGTTGCCCAGGTGGCATCCGCCCACTACTTCTTCGACACCGTGGTTCAAGATGGTGCCGCCGGGAAGTCTTTCCAGTACATCCGAGACTTTACCCGTGCCACCAAGTACAACCCGATCAAATTCTCAAACAACCCTGCTGTTGACATTCGCGACGGGTCTTACATTGACGGCCCCGATAGCAGATGCAACCAGGGAGCTTTCACCAACGCCGCCAAGACGCAGGTACTCGACGTCACTGCGGGAAGCGACGTTACGGTGAAGCTTGGCGTGGGCGCTACCATGCAGCACCCTGGTCGGTAGACCCAGTCGCCGCGTCACGACTCTCTAGGTTGGACGTTGACTAATATCTATGTCCATCAATAGGACCCGCCCTTTACTACATGTCGAAAGCCCCAGATGGCAGTGTCAAGGACTACGATGGCTCAGGTGACTGGTTCAAGATTGGCGAGACGGGCGTTTGCACCCAGAGTGGCGACTTCACCAAAGATGCTTGGTGCACTTGGGAAAAGAACACTCTCACCGCTACCATTCCCAAGGATACGCCCTCCGGCGAGTACCTCCTGCGCTTTGAGCACATTGGTAAGAAAATTGGCTTATTATCTACTTCTTGTGTGTGTGTTCTGACGTCATAACAAACTCTCAGGTGTCCACAAGTCGTTTGACCACGAGCCTGAGCACTTCGTATCTTGTGTCCAGGTCAAGGTCACAGGAGGCGGCAACGGCACTCCCGGCCCGCTGGTCAAGTTCCCTGGCGCCTACAAGTACACCGACCCTTATGTGAGCTTCAGCCTCTACAACGGATACAAGGCTTTCCCAATGCCCGGCCCTGCTGTGTGGACCGGTGGATCGAGCGAGGTCAACAGCACCTCTGCTGATGAGGTGACGGTCCCTAGCAACCTGCCTTCGACGACCCTAATCAGCGCTACTCGTCCTGCCACTCACTCTGCTACTCCCAGCGCAAAGGCTACTGCCCCATGCGCCAAGCGCCGCCACTAATGTGCCTGCTTGTCAGCAACACTAGGTGTCACGAATCAGCATATAGAGTAGCTGAGCCCCTTTTGTATGCCCATACCCCTGTCTACCCCTGTCTACCCCTGAGATATCCACTGCTATACCTCTTTCGTGACACTAGGCATCTGCTCTGTCTCTCATTTCTTTTGCCCCGAACGGGTGATAAGGTGGGCCAGAGTTGAGTCTCTTTTTGTTGAGATGTTACTCTAGGCACTACCTGAGTGTTACTTCCATTCTCCTGTACAATTTATTAGAAACAACTTTACTTAGCATAGTGTGGTAAATAAGGCGTAATTGCTGGCCGGCAATTACGGATTCGTTTTTGTACGACACATAGCTAACAGACTATGCATCATCCCACGCTCATGAAAATCATGTTTCCAAATGTGTAGGGGAATTGCGTGCGTCTCAATTCATTGCTTCTCATATCTCACCTACCTTACATGGTGTGGGACTGTGGATACCTGAGGCAGTGGCTGGTGCCCCAGGCACCAGCTGCCTGATCCACCTCCTGGTTGATCCAGCCCACCGCAGCCACCTCCACCACAACATCACCAACCAACCGTCAATACCAGTCGTATTGCCTCATTGCTTGCCTCGTTGGTCCAGATGTGCAGTGTGTACTGCCCACACATGGCCTGTCTTGATACAATAAGATAATATCATAAAGCGAGGTAGCAAGTGGAAGACTGGTATAGTAGAAAGTGGCTTGATTCCTCTAAGTGGAAGACCCGTATGAGGGTCGTATCTATATACCGTACAAGACGGGTAATCGGCTTGTGGAAAGCGGTATCGTACGGCAGTAACCGGCAGCGCCACGTGTGGCGCTGCGACAGATAACTAGCAACACCACTCATCGCCTATGGTAGACGAAGCGTGGGTCTTGTCCGGTGTTTCTTGAATGAACCTAACGTTCTCATGTGTCCTTGTTGATATACTTTGGCTTGAGCAGGTACGTGTTTAAGATTATAACTGAGCGAAGTGCTTCTCATATCGCTAGAATCCCCTCAATGCCCAATTCATTGCCAAGTGCTGGTTGCAACACGCATGGTGACCTCTTGCACAGTCAAGAGCTCGCGGTAAGCGCTCCCGAGCCGCCACCTAGACTTCAAAATGTCCAGAAGAGATTCCATATCGACCGCGGCCGCTCGATGGAGTCGATCCCCGCTCTCCCCACAAAGCCAGTGTTGTCGGATTGGAAGTCCAATTCGACCGCGGATAAGGGCAAGAGCATGGGCCACCTCGAGGTGGTACAATTAGACCGCGACTACCCAACCAACCTACGGTCGGAATCTCCCTTTTACACATTACGCAGAATCAATCAATACAGAGATATTGATACTTCGTCACCCCCAGGACCCTACGGTTCGAACTAACTTCCCTGTGATAGGGATACCAACAAGTGTAAAGTTGCGGCACCTGCGTATATGCCGTCCATGATGAAAGGGCTCACGAGACTTGAGGCGTGCAATTGAGTCTCGTCTCCCTCGGCGGTAGGAATATGCGGCAATATGTTGGTAGCCATGAAGTGAAGCTGTCGGCTTGCTACTTCCAACGGCAGTCTTTGCTCACCATCGAAGTCGAGCTCCTCCTGGCTCTTTGTGCCCTGTTCGCCGACGTATCCGGGCTCAACTGATATCTTTTCGGGGCATGTGAATCTATCAAGGGCGATAAAGAGGGCAGATCGCGCCAATGCTCTGGATGAGAGAAATGAAGAGCTCGCTTCTAGTCTCCAATCCGTATTTTCCCTGTCGACAGCTAAGGCGAAGCCATTCAGATCGTTGACGAGTGAGGTGATCTCTGGAATGCAAGGGGCAGAAGACCCTGAACGTGCAAATCCAATCACCCGACTTATGTAGATAGGTACTTGACAAAGTCTTGCGAAGCCTGATTGTTGCGTCTGATATGGTGTGCTGGTAGAATGTCCGAAAGCTTTGCCAACCTCGCCACAGTCCTGCTCTAGGTTTTAGTACCAACAGCGCGAAAAGATTTCACTAGTACCAGAAGACAAACGAAGTTTCGCTGTACCAATCTTACGTACCCAAGAATCATCATCAACAGGCAGTCTATTTTCAACTTGCGGCTCTGTGACGACGCATCGCCTCCGGCTACCGAGCGCAACGATCTTGTCCAAGATGAATACAGACCACCAGACTCTTCTTCTTTCTTCAGCCTCGGTCCAGGTAGTCTGATGTATAGTTTATTAGCAGAGAAAGGTGCACGAGTATCTAGCTCAACGATGCTTCAGACTCACATCTTGTCTTAAGGCGGAAAAGTCTCCGGGAGCTAGCCCTACAATGTCCGAATATCGAGCACATGATCCAACCGTCATCCAAGCGGCTGGATATATTGCGTGTCCATACTCATACAACGCAATAAGAATCATAGCTTGGAGGAGAATGAGAGATATGGTGCCATTCTCCTCAAGACGGGCTAAGGATTTCTTTGCTTCCCGGTACGGGTTCAAGTCAAACCCATGTGTTACCGGCGTGGTAACAAGCCTCGTTGATAAGAATAGCATAGCAAGGTCAGGACCTGCGTTCTGGAGCGAAAGTCCCATATCTATTCTCTTCTTAGATATCATCGGCAGCTATTTGTGTATCGTAGTGAAATACTTTTGTGAAACTTCGACGATGATATTTTCCTGGCCTAAAAGCGCCAATACGGACTGAAGGGTTATTTCAGAGCCTTCAACAGACAGTAGGGAGCTTGACTCGCTAATTGACAGTCATCATAGCTCATGTCCAAGTAGAGATGTATCAACGCACTTCAGGAATGGTACCAGGTCGTACTGGAGGCCGAGCACGGGACCAAGTATACCAGTCAATGTCTAAAAACAGGGATGCAGGGAAATCAGGCACGAAGTCCACATTTTGGATGTCGGTGTTCGGACTGGTGGCTATGGGACTAACGGACCAGCCGGTTGAGTTCGGATTCGGCTCAGTGTTCTGATCGTGATCAGACGACTCACGCAAGTTGATACCGAGTGTCGAGGATGATGTCGAAAGTGATGCTGATATCAGTTGGTTCTGCGCGCCATCTGGGATTGCTGAAGGTTCAGGCAGACGATTTTCCAACGCATCAAGACGCTCCTGCAAAGAGTTCCACTGACTGGCAGTCGGAATTGTTGTTGTTGTTGTTCTATTTAACGCCATGGCGGCAAGGGCGCAGCCGCCCTTGCGGCAGACCTCCCGAAGGGTATGTGGCGTGAAGGGTCGCAGGCTCTAGCTACATACTATATAGTACACGCCGTATCCTGACGTCCTCCAAATCTTGCTCGTGAGCTACTATGTGTTCTATCCATCCCTGGTTCCCACTGGTGCCCTAGTTCCGTTATAACCATCTGGTTTATTAATAGAGGTAGTTTGTCGATTTGGAGGATAGGTTATGACCTATCTCCTAGTACCGCGGGCAGATCTTCTGGAAGAAGTCTGTCACGCAGAGGAAGGCCTGGAAGCCTTCAGAGTCAGTGATTAGCCCCTTGAAGTAGCGATCGAGGGACCCTATAGGTCCTACGGGCTCCTGGCGGCTGTAGGGGTAGAGGGTGGGCCACTGTGAATGCAGTATTAGAAGATCGACTAACACATTGTAGGTATGGCATGTGTACGGAAAGTTCGGTAAGAAGTGAGGATGTCAGCGGTGGGTAGTCTGCTTTTCAATTACAAACTCAGGTCGCCGTGATGCTGCTCTTGGTCTCGTGGTTATTATATCCCCCGTCCAAGACGGGGAAGGGGGTTCACCAGGCGGTCAGCGATTCATGGATGTTGGAAAAGGGATGCCGAGGTGGGGGTCACGGATGAGAACGGTTGATGGAACAAGAATGGTCAAGGTGAAGGTGGAGTAATGACATTGAAGGCCAAGGAATACTCGCGTTAGGTCTAAGTCTCCCGTCGTGCCACCCTCTTTGGGTTATAGGAATATAATCGAATCCGAAAGGATAACGGCTGAAGAACGGATTCCTTGTCGATCGAGCACAGTCAACAATCACATATGCGGCTCTCAGGCTGACTGTAGCGATCCCTGAGAACTTGGCGCAACTGGAGAGTCCACCATCCCCAGACGAGAGAGGCTTACCCCAAGGTCCCCAACACATGACCCCCACATAGTCCCGCAAGCATCCCTGGCTCTGGGTGTCCAAGGAATCCTATATTTCTTCTTCCCTAACGCCGGATCTGATGCCGGAAATCTGCAAGGTGGGGGCAACCCGACGAGATGTCGGCTGATGTTTGGGGGTTCAGGGATGGCCGTCCGAGCAGCAAGGAACAAAGGCATCGTTTGGATGTTGGGCCCTACCCCATGGGGCGTTTCCCCGCGTTTGGATTGTTCTCCACGTTTGCCTCAGGATGGGTGGAAAGGGTAGGGAAAGAGATGATTGTGGGACGAGGAAAAAGAATGGGAGGTTGTTCCAAGGCTGAGAGGTCCGGGGAAAAGGAGATTAAGTTCAGGACCCTTCCCGCGTCTTTTCATCGATGCATGCTTGCTCATATTTACCTTGCTATCTGTCTTGTCATTCTTGCTTCCCCTTTCGTCGATGAACTATAGGGGAAAATATCTCTTCTCAGTCACAAAGTCAGACCAACACTGAAGCAATGGACATGGACAAAGCAGAACGATCTTCGGACCAGGTCGAGGACGTCAACGCCGATAAGCTGAGCCAACATGGCGGCAACCTCATCATGCCTGCGAGCCTGGCGGCCCTAGGCCAGGAGGAATACGAGAGGGTCGGCAAGAAAGCAACATTGAAGATGGACATGGTGATCATGCCCATCATGGTCATAATGTACATCCGTAAGTGCAACCTGCATTCTACAAGTATCTTCTCCAAGAGGAAACGACTAACACAATGAAAGTCAACTACCTCGATCGCCAGAACATAGCTAGCGCGAAGCTCGCTGATATCACCACGGACCTAAGCCTCAGCGAAGTTGAGTATCAGACCACCGTCAGTATCTTGTTTGTTGGTTACAGTAAGGACCTCCTTCTACTCTTTCAATGTCCTGTAAATACTGCCATATTTGACCTTTCTAACGCGGAAGCATTGCAGTCCTCATGCAAGTCCCCTCCAACATGATCGTCGGCAAGATCAAGTGGCCCGGGGCGTACATCTGCTGTGGAATGGCCGCCTGGGGTGTTATTTCTTCCCTCATGGCCGTGGTGCACAACTACGAAGGTCTTTTGATGGCTCGATTCTTCCTCGGCTTCGTCGAGGCTATATTCTTTCCCGGCGCTCTTTACTTTCTCTCCCTGTTCTAGTCAGTCATCATCATCATGTGCTTTTAGTCTCCTGGGATGCTAATACGTTTCTAGTAACCGAAAGCAGTTTGCCCTGCGGACTGCCATACTCTACTCTGGATCCCAGCTGGGCAATGCTTTTGGCGGACTCTTCGCCATCGGCATCTTGAACCTGGATGGTGCCCATGGACTCGCGGGTTGGCGTTGGGTATGTCCCTGTTCTTCCCCTTCTACCCGAGTAGCTCGTTGGATATCTCGAACTAACCATGACTACCGCAGCTGTTCCTCGTAGAGGGCGTCATCACCGTCGGCTTGGCCATCCCGTTCGCATGCATCCTACCCAACTCCAACAAGAAAATTCCCACTCTGACCCAGCTGGAGTGCGAATGGGTTCAGTACAACTTCGCGGCAGACCAGGGTCAGGAAGACGATCCGAGCGAAGTCACCGCTCTCAAGGGGTTTATGATGGCTGTTACGGACCCAAAGACCTGGATGTTCATGGGTGTTCTCTACTCCGTAAGTGTCATAACCTACTCCTCTGCCCTCTTTGCACACCTCTACCGAGGAGGCAAGGCCGAAGGGTAATCTTTCAAGTCCATGAATAAGTCTACTAACGCATGAGTATTATCTAGACCTACATCGTCGGCGCCGTCGCCAACTTCTTCCCCTCCGTCGTCGGCGGCCTCGGCTTCTCCCGTACAATGACCTATGCCCTCACCGCGCCGCCCTTCCTCCTCTGCGTCATCACAATGCTCCTAAACGGCTTCCACTCAGATCGTAAACAAGAACGCTCCCTACACATCGTCATCCCCCTATGCATCACCCTTGTCGCCAACATTATCGCCGTCTCAACGACTAACACGGCCGCACGCTACGTCGCTATGATGCTCCTTCCGGGATCTTTCTACGCCGCTGCTGTGGTAGTGCTCTCGTGGATCACGGGTAGTCTGGCACAGCCTTCGGTGAAGCGTGCGAGTGCTATTGCGCTGATCAATGCTATGTGTAACACGCCGAATGTTTGGGGTAGTTATCTGTACTATGGTGCGCCGAGGTATGTTACGGCATTTATTGTGAATATTGCGGCGACAGGGTTGGCTATTGGGTTCGCTACGGTGACGAGGATCTGGTTGAGGCGGTTAAATGCCAAGTTGGACCGGGGCGAAGACACGGGGAAGCATGGGCCGACGCAGGCGCAGGTTGCCGGAGGATTTAGGTATCTCACTTGAGACCCATGTAAAGATTTGTATAGTGCTTACTTGAGTAACTGTCTTGAGAGGGAACCTATAGTTAGCATCCATCTACGCCGGAATTTTCAATCGTGTTGATAAAGCGTCACGCATCAAGCCTTTCCAAACTTTCAACCACATGTGAACTTAGTCCGAGACGACTGGCCATAGAACCTGTGCATTCGACTTTCCTGCTCTATTGGCAGTTTGGGCGCCGGTTCAATAGCACCTTGGTCCTTAGTGCGAAGAAGGGTTGCCTTGCACTACGTATCTCTTACATACCAGGCTTGGCCACGAGGCGCTGTTCTAAGTTGACGTTTGGCACCTAAATAGTCTACAGCTTCACCCTTCCTGTAACTTCTTTTTCAGCCCGCTCGCTATTGACCATCTCGGGTACAACTTCCTCCACACTCGTGGCACCCGCAAGTGCCATGCTAGTCTGTATCTCATGCCTGAGAATCTGCACTAGCCGTCTCACACCAGCCTCGCCATAGCCAGCCGTCATCGAGTACAAAAATGGTCGACCGATGCCAACAGCCGTGGCACCAAGCGCAATAGCCTTCAGAATATCCGTACCACGTCTGATGCCGCCGTCGACGAACACCTGGAACTTGGCTCTGGTCTCAGGGGAAAGGAGGTGCGGCGCATATCTCCGAATCTCGAGGAGTGTGAGCATGGGCGCCTGCGCTGTGTCTTGGGACCTTCCCCCGTGGTTCGACAGCACAATGCCATCCACTCCGTGCTCGTGAGCGATGACCGCGTCCTCAACTGACTGGATCCCCTTGATGACAATAGGCAGCGAGGTTGTCTGCCGTATCCATGTCAGATCTGCCCACGTCAACCCCGCATTCAATAACCCAGAAGCCGTCGTCTTAGCCACGCCGCTGGGCTCCGAAAGAGGCTCATCGCTCACAGTCAACCTCTCATCACGCTCCCGCTTGCCGATGACGGGTGAATCGACCGTCACAAAGATCGCCTTAGCGCCTAACCTCTCCGCCTTCCGAATCGTAGCTTGTGCCTTATCTTGGTTCCGGTCAACGTACAGCTGGAAAAATAACGGCTGTGCTTCGTCCACCTTGGCGCCGAAGATGGACTCAACTGACGCGCTTGGCTTGGTGGGCATGCAGTACAGGATCCCTTCCTTGCCCGCGGCCCTCGAGAGAATCGTCTCAGCTTCGGTATGGGCGTATTTGGCCTGTCCTGTAGGCGAGATGTAGAAGGGAAGGGAAGAGGGGAGGCCGAGAATATTTGTGAACGTGGAGATGGAATCGACATTTCGGAGAATGCGTGGACGGAGAGCAAGCTTGCGGAAGATGCGGCGCGAGTCGTTGAGGCTCTGTTCGTCTTCTGCGCCCGAGTAGTAGTAAGCCCAGCCCATGGGCGAGAGGTACTTTTCCGCGACCTTTTCAAAGTCGTCGGCGTTGATAATGGCGCCTAGATGTGGGAAAGCTGGCTGTTGCTTGTCAGGAGCGTTCGACGAGGCACCTTGCGGCTCTGGCAGGGTTGCCGGATCTATTGGGCCCAGACAACGGTCTGGAGATAGGGTTTCTGTGATGAGGTCTGGGTTGTGGATGGAGTCGTAGTCTTCCGTTGCGTCTCTGCCGGCACATTTGATGATGAGCTTTGCGCCTCCAGGGTGCTCATTCAGGAAGTCTGATCTGGTGTGAGCTGGCGACGTGAGAATGGATACCAGAGCATGCGCCTACCTGTGACGTCCCATACTTGACCATGCACGACGACCCAGCAAGAGTCTTTTGTGTTGTTCTTCGCAACCTCCGTACCGCTCACAACCATGGTGATGATGATTGGTGAGTGTCAATGCTTTGGAGCAAGAGCGAGGCGTAAGAGAGATTGGAATGGTCTGGGTGAATCCAAGGATTTCCATATCCCCAGAGCCACCGTAGGATGGACCCGCCCAGCAGACCAAGCACAAGCTTAGTTCTCCCACCTCGCGAAGAGCTCACGATGTCAAACATCTCCACTGGCGGCACCTTGACCCCACGAATCCACGCCAGCCAGGCCTAGGTGGGGGTCATGCTGGCGTTGGACCACAACCCCATGACGCCGCTGCTGGTCCGATTCGAGACAAACCTGCTCCCCCACTCAAGCCATAGCTTGCTTCTCGCAGTGGAGTCCCCGCGAAAAGGTGGTGCGGCTCCGCCATATTACGAGATTCAATTCGCCAGGAGATGAATATGTTTGCGGCATCGAGGCTGTTAGTCGTCGAATCGTGCCAGGTTTGAGCGGAGAGGTGTCCGGCGACGACGTTGGAATTGGGGGAGGCTCGGGAGTTGTCCGGGGCACCGGGATGGGGTCCCTGCTAGTACCTTAGCTGGCTCGCTTCATGCGGGGAGACGTGAGCAGTGAGCGGGAATGATGATCGGAAATAGGCGTTGTTTCCAATGTTGGTTGTACTCCGTAGGCACACGTACGGATGCGGTGTACGGACTCATGGAGTAAGGTGGTCCACCGGCCATGCATGCATGTATGCGCCACCCACCTGCCTTAGCCGTTCTGAAGCTAGTTCATCCAATCCCCCAGAAGTCAGCACCAAGTGCCCTAGGCAGTAGACGTCATAAACTTCCTGTCCCGAAGGCATCGAATTGCGAATCGATGCGCGGCATTGTTGGTCAATCGAGAAGAACCCTAGCGGAACTGCTTGCTTTATCTTAAGGCGGGCCCGTACGGATACGGAGTGCAATGCCATTTCGGTACGTACTTATCTTATGGATATCTACTCCGTACTCTGTCCGGTTCGGCTAGGCCCCATAATAATTAACGGTTGACCCGAGCCGTTGGGAGCTTATCGCAACGCGTCCTTCTCGTTTCTCGGATCTACGCGGTTGCGACAGAGCTTCTTTTGCTCCCAGAACACGTAGGATCTCCCTTTGTATTCTTAACCGTCGCGCAAAACAACGACAAGCCTGAATGGCCTCCCAGAATGGAACAGGTACATATGTACAGAACTCGGCTAAATGATTTACAATACAGAACAGACATGGCTAATGTTCCACGGTCCAGGGAATACCAAGCGCACACACGCGCGGGGCGGCTCCCTCCACGCACCGTCGCCCAAACGACACCAACCTCAACCCAAGCCCTTTGACAACGATTTGACAGGATCCAATGACGCTGTCGACCGCTCTCAAGCTGACTCCAGCCATCAAGCGCAGACCGATGCCAGGCCTCCCGTCGACCCCCGGATTGCGCAGTAAGTGAACTCGGCACGGAACATCCTTACGTGCTCGTATCTCGGACGCAGCTCCCCCTCGCCCCGGGCTGGGCCATGACCATCCACAAGAGCCAAAGCCTGTCTCTTGATTGCTTAGTCGTCGACCTACGCTCTGTTTTCGAAAAGGGCCAAGTGACAGAATCCATGCATGCTCCTATGCGAGTCATGGGTATAACCCATTCGGAATGGTCTGACCATCACGAAACAGGCCAGACTGTCATTTCCACCTGGTCCTAGCTCTGCAAGACTTATTAGGATAGCATTAGGCCCACAAGCCTGTGGTGATTCCATCCACTCTTTAGTACGAATAGACGCTCTTTTCTGCTCACTCATATATGCATATTCCGCTGGCCACCCTGACTAACCGTCACCAAGCCTACGTAGCGCTCAGCCGTGCCCGTTCTCTCCAAGGACTGAAGATAGATGGTACAGACGAATACATGCTTCAGTCGAGCTGAAAACTTGATTCCGAAGTTAGGAGATTTCTGGAAGAGCTTGAAGAGAGGACTGCTGACGGAAGCGGAAGCGGAGATTCGGGTGGGCCAAAACTTGGGTCAAGATTCTACACAAAATTGATAGATTTTTGAGCTCGGCTGGGAATGCGGCTGCAAGATGGGAAAGCAGCATTTGAGAACATTGATCGGAGTTGAAGTGCCAGGTAGGTACATATAGCCTTGGATGAGATTGTATGAATACTTTGCAGGATATGGAACCACGCCCGAAACATTGATATACAATGTTTACACTTATCCTAAGACGCTGTGACATGGTCTGTGAAGTCGTTCAACTTGAGCCTCGGGGGATTAATCGAGTTACCCTGCCAATCTCACTATTCTCTCTGCCTTGTCATTCAACTCCGATACCTGTGACAGTGACTTGCTCTGGTGCAGACTGACGTACGATCTCTCCAGCTTGCGCCCTCATATCTTTGCAGAGAATTCCAAGCCTCTCCTCTTCAACTTCATTTCGAACTCGTCCTGCTTGACAAGCATGTGCGTTCCAGCTGCCATACCCTTCATACCCTCAACATCGTACAAGCTTTCCAAAGGTACATCACGAACCGAAATTTTGTGGTTTTCGTTCGTTCCTCCACAGAACACCTCAATAATGTTGGACAACTTCTTCAACGCTGAGCATCAAATCGTCAGTATGTACGCGCTCTCGGCTGTAGGAAGCGTGGAAGATCGGAGCCTGGAGCAGGCTATCAGCACTCATTTTTCTTTGCGATCATGACGGACTTGAGGTAATAGATCAAACATACATTGACTGCTCCGGGACAGACTGCCGCATTTCTGATGCCGGCAAACTTATTCAGAGATCCGAGGGACTTGCACATGCTGACAACTGCAGCCTTGCTTGAGTAGTAGAACGGTGTCAGGAGGCCATGAACGTAGCCCGCCATACTAGCGATCCAGAGGATGTTGCCTGAAAGATGTCGGTTTTCGGGACGGAGCCAGTATTCGACGGCGATCTGGGCAAGCCTGACGGGAGCGATGATGTTGACGGCATAGGCTTGGTACATGCCGACCTTGGCATCGGCTTGGTCTCGGGATAGAGGTGAGATCCCGGGCGGGTTCGAGAAGTCGCTGGAGGGTGGGTCATAGATCCCGGCCCCATTCACGAGCAGATTGACTCGTCCATATGTGTTCAGTGCGGCATCCCACAATTTGTTTATCTGAGACTCAATCGGTGAGGTCTGTCTGATGAAAGATTGCCGACGCGGTGCCGGGCTCCGTTGGAGAGTGAGGGTATTTCTTGAGTGTCTCTTCGGCTTCAGGACGTAGTCTTAAATCCGCCATGACGACTGAACAACCCAACTCAAGAAGAGCCCTAGTCAGCGCATGGTTGATACCTGAACTCTGTCAGTATTGGTCTAGTGCCTGAAGATTTGAGAAAAGATGCCAACCTACGGTCACGAGCGCGACTTTGCCATTTACTTCCCACGCGGTCATCTTTGGTATGTTCTTTTTGTGTAAGTTGATCAACTATCCGGTTAGTGATGCTTGCATAGTCCGAAGATAAGAAGAGGTAAGAAAGATGAGACGGAAGCGGTTCTTCTGGGTTTGTGAACTGGTGGTCTGGCTTAAGAGTCACGTCATTTTGTTTCACCCGAGCCTTGACCCGTCCGATTACCGAGTTGATGCCGATGCATGTCTATCCATTTCAGTCGACCGGTCTGAGATGCGTTCACTTGGCGGGGCTGAGCCGAAAAGTTGGTCCGGCATTGGCCCGGTATGTGCTAAGTGGAAGAGAGGCACAGCGATTGGGGTCGGCTGCTTGAGCAAATCAACAGTCAGAGGTAGCAACGTCAAATATCAACAACTAGAATTCATTGGTGTCTTTCAGGCGTTATGGGTCACGCTCAGTGGACTGTCTCTATTTCTTGTGTGAAGCAAGTCTGGAATGCATGCTTGTGTTGGTCAGGAGTCCATGGTTGATGCAGCCACACGGATAGTACAAAAATCGACTATTGGATGCCCCAAACAAACGGCGGAAGATTCTACCTCGTTATGAGAGACAAAAGCCATTTCCGATTTTCCCGAAGCGCATTACAACACTCTACTGCGACAGGATTCGCTGAACTATCTCCTTTGTGACGGCATGGAAGTCTTCCTCTTCCAGACCGAAACAGCTGAGATCCTCAGTCTTACTGTTGAAGTCGCCTCCTTGGCCCTCCTTATAATGTAAAGGGATAAATTTCGCGAGCATCACGGCATGTGCGTCAGCCCCGCTCATCGCATTGGCCCTTTCAAGAACCTCGTTCACAGATTCCTCGCGAATGTCCCAATCGTTCTTAAACGTTCCAGTCGCGAGCATTACGCTATTGAGCATCTCTCTCTGCGTGACGTGGAAAGAAGTTGTGTAGAAGCATCTGTTCCGATAGCGTGCTAGCTCGTCGTCTGGCATAGCCACAACCTCAGCGGTTACCACTCCAGCTCGATGGAGTGTAGTGTAATTCATCTTGACGTTTCCTCCATTCCAAAGCGTAGCCTTGAGTGTTTTGGCATTGATACCTAGAATATCACCCATAGGTAGGCAAAAATCGTACCAGGGGTTGGTAATGACACCAATCCATGATCCAACTCCCAGCTTTTGGATGAGCTCTCGGTATTTGAGCTTGGTGGCAATCTCCGGCAGCTCTTCGATGATTTTACCCTCTGGGTCACTCCCAAACTCGGTCGGAAGGATGTACGGAACATTGGCCTTTGCTGCTGCCTGGATGAAGACGTCGCTTAGGCCCACCGCTGTGATGCCGAGTTGTAAGACCAGGACCTCTTGACTTTTCAAAAGAGGGATAAGGGCAGCTTCATCGTCAAAAGCGGCCCTCTTGACGGCGACATTGTCAGGGAATCGAGAGGTGGATTCATTGCGGACGATGATGGTAATGTTGTGGATGCCATGGGAGAGCAGTGCCGTGAGAGTATGTTGCCCGAGGTTACCACTGGCGCCAACTAAGGCAATCTTACGGCCCTTTCGCACAGGTGACATGGTTTTGAGTAGGACTTAGTTTGAGGAGGAGAAGAACGGGCCTAATATTGATCAAGGGATAAGGAAGGTTATATTTCAGTCTGGTGTCTTGAGTTGAAGTATCAATGTGGTGGGCGGAGGTTCACTCATTTAAATACTTACTTCACATGCTCGATCAAGGGACCAAAACAAGAGGTATATCTTGTTCTCATCTTGGAAATATTGTCAGCTAAGCGCCGCCCGTGTATGATTTTTCTTAACAACCACGAACATTACATGTGTTCCAAGTCATTAGTCTCAACTCCAGGATTCTCGAAACCGAATGCACCAATGAGAGCAGCTATGGGGCAATTAGTACAGTGACGACGACGATTATAAATCGCAAGTTTCTTAGCGTGAAGCTTGATTGGCTCGTTCGGCTTTTGTTTGAATCCTCCACGGGTTACTAGGCATGCACCTATCGCAAAACAAAGGGATCTTCCGGGCTTCTAGCTACATCATCATGTCCATTGAAGCAAACTAAAGCTGGGTTCATTGCACCAACATCGGCGTATTTCTATGCCTTGACACTGCCAAGCTTGATGAGAGAGCCCGACGTTTATCACCCGATATCACCTTGCTATGACACGAAAAGGTTCCAAGAAGACTAAGACCGGGTGTCTGACTTGCAAGTACGCAGAAACCGGGATACCTCCGCAGAGACGCCTGTAATTGTACTGACTTGCTAAGGATTCGCAAAATCAAATGTGACGAAAGTAAGCCTGTTTGTCGACGTTGCAATGACACCGGCCGCAAATGCGATGGTTACTTGGCTCAGGTGTCACTCGAACTGAAAGTTCATTCATCCTTACGTCGTCATGGTACAGACTCTGCAAGTGAGCGAAGATCACTGCAATACTTCTATGAATACGCTGCGCCTCGTCTCTCTGGTCTTAGGAAGCCTATGTTCTGGACGTACTTCGTCATGCAGCTCAGCCAATCCGAGCCGGTAGTGAGATATTCTTTGCTGGCAATCAGTCATCTTTACGAAGCTCGCGAGATCCGAGATGCCCCGACCACCAAACATTTGCTTGCGTTGCGATATTATAATGCAGCAATCAAAAGTGTGAAGACTGTTCAGGACCATCCATTAGTCCTAGTTACATGCATCCTCTTTACATGCATCGAGCTGCTGCAGTCAAATAACGAAACTGCGATTCAGCATTGCAGGCACGGAAATGAAATCTTGGAGACTTACGGCAGCGGCAAGCCTTGGATACAAGAGCATCTCGTACCTGTCTTTCGGCGGTTGAGTGTTCTTCCCCTACTCCTTGGAAGGCCGCCTCCAGACTCGGCCCTTGCGCTTTTGCCAAGAATTGTGGTACCGACGAAATTCGATAACGTGGAGGATGCACACTTGATGATTGATGAAATTTACAGACGGCTGATGCTTTCGCAGCACTGGAAGCGGAAAGGGGCTCACTTCGATGTGGTGAAAGAACGAGATTGCGTCGGTTCATTGTTGCGCCAGTGCAGAGAGCTGATGGACGATCTTGATATTGATTCAACATCGCAGGCCGGCTGTGCTAGCATAGGCCCGCAAGCACTAATGCGGATGCGCTTCCAGGCATGCCATGTTTGCTTCAACATGCTATTCCCAGAAGACCGGCATGACAACGATGAAATGGACATCGCCAGCTTCCGCGAGATGATTTCACTGGCTTCTGACTTCAGCAAATTACGGACGATACGAGTCCCACGATTTGTTTTCGAACTCGCATTTTCCCCTGTACTATTTTTCATAGTCACAGAGTGCAAGTGCTTGGAAGTCAGACTTGCAGCTCTGCATCTGATAAGAATACTGGGGGCCGAAAGAGAAAGCTTGTTCGAGAGTCATAACTTATACACTCTAGGTCGACAACGAATTGAGATGGAACACGGGGTTGTTTTGGATGACTTTGATTGTCCCCAGGATTTCATCTTGAGTTTGGATGTGTAGCTTCGAGCCGGCAAGTAGTAACACGTCCCAGTTGCAATTCATGAAATACATTGATGCCGACGGGTTGGATCGACGAAACGTCTACACTTTCCCTCTGCAGCTTGAGTCTTTTCCAGTGGCACCAGCCTTGATACAGAGTTCCCTCATCCCGCAATTGCTCTGCCCAATTGTCGTGATGGCTTCAACCATCTGTGGCCTCACTACCCAATCATCGCTCGTGGAACAAGGATCATCCGGAATGTCCTCTCTGGCCCGAATGGCCCAGGCACAGAGGACCTGACACTTCACAATGTTGGATTCATTGAGAACTTCCATGTGAACGTCGTGTCAGAAGCCCTTCTTCGGAAGACGAGGATCTGGTACTCCGGTTTTGACTGTACTCTTCGCTTTGGAGATGAGGCCAAGAACGTCGTGGTCAAGCAGCTCGAGAGGAAGGTTAACTTAGTCTTCCTCGAATACAAGCCCTATTCGTCCTACTACGTACCAAGAAGTCACTATTCGCTCATCAATGTGATCCATGACCGTACCCAACATACATCTCGCTCCTCATACCAAATGAGAGGCGACCGTACGGACTCAGCCTGGCTCTGGCACCTACGATCTGGTCATCTCGCGCCCGAAGCACTCGAGAAGCTCGTGCTGGCCGCTCGGGGGGTGAGGATCAAGGGTCCCAGTCGCTTAGAGTGTCAATTCTGTGCGACAACGCACGCCAAGCAGGTCATTTCTAGACGAACCTCGGAGCGAAGAGCAAACCGACCTTATTATAGGATCTCGTGGGATCTCTTTGATTACCCTGTGGCGTACGACAGAAGCAAGTGGTTGATGCTGATCAAGGATGAGTACTCGGGCAGGATCTTCGTCTTCCCACGGGTCACGAAGACCCATGATATGGTATTCAAGGTACTCTACCTATTCGAGCGCTGGGTACGAACTCAGAAAGGCCTGGCCATCTGCAAGATTCGTCAAGACGTAGAACGCGCAGTAATCGCCATACAAGGCGAGACTCGCTACCAGACCAGCTAGTCGTAGGGGTAGTTTGCAGAAGTTGAGGCTGCGGAACTGGTAACAGTAATCGTAGTCGTGGAATAGTTTCAAGGAAACTATGTCTGTCAATCGTAAGGGTAGGTAAGGCTTCGGTGATCAATCGTAGTCTTGTCAAGGTAGTAGCTGAAAGCGGATGTTAATCCTGATACGAAGTTAATTGCTGAAGAAGCTATGGAAAGTCTGTCCTAGAGCCCAGCTCGAGTCCATCCTTATATACAAGTCCGATCCTAACTGAGCAGTGCTGAACAGTCCACTTTGTCTGGATATGTTGGATATGCCGAATATCCAACATATCCTTGACTCGGTTGGATATGTCGCATATCCAACATATCCCTATCCCTTATCATATCTCTTATCATCACGTGACTTGTACCATAGTTCTTCCGTTCCTGGGGTTTCCCCAATGTTCCGTCCCGTCCTGCATATATAATGCGCCGTAGCCGCTAGGCGTCAGCGGGGCACGCCCTGGTCTTCATGTTGGGTCGTAACAAGAGGTTAGTTATAGAAAGTTTATCCTAGAGCCCGGCTTGAATTTATCTTATATATAACTAAGTCCTAATCCTTAATATATTCTTTATCTTCTAGGTCGCCCTAGATTATTCTAATCCGGAATAATTACTTAGCCCCTAGATCGTATTAAATTATGTTAATCGTAAATATGTTATCGAGCAGGACAAGGCAACCAACTGTGGCATGAAGCAAAAGCTTCGATAATGATGACTCCGCATCATTTTCCCTTGTTCTGCATTATATAGCTACGCGCCCACAGTGACAAGTTGCGGCGGGCGTAACAAAATAATCCTTATGTCAGGCCCATCCCAGTACACTCGTTACAACGATTGTCACACTATGCCTATGAAACAATATGGTCTTACACAAGCATGATTAAGTTTGCCAAGGATATGCCAGCATAAAGGGTCTTCCACTCACTATATAGATAGTCGGGATATTCCCATAGCCACTCGTTCTTCATACTCATCAATACATCCCATTGACCCCCTACCTGATAATCGCTGCCCAACAACTATGTATGTTGGGTCGTAATATATAGGTCCACTTAAAACGGGGTGGCTAAAAGATGGGGGTGGCCAAAAAAGGGGTAGTCTGACTTATAATAGTTAACACTGATGCTCGGCAATAAAGCACTGCTACTTGACTTTGGGCCTGCTCTTATACTATCTATATGTATGTATCTATCTGAAAGTTCAGGTTGTTCAAGTTTTGTGTTGTAGCTGACCATGCTGACTTTAACTGAATTGAGTCGAAACGCAGGTATGCATTCAATCTTAGACGAGAGCTTTTTATGATTTGTCGTGGACTTGGCCATATCGTGAGTAAGCCTCAAAAGTCTCATTGCACGCAAGTAGTAACTCATGACAGCTTCTCAATTTCTATTGACTGTTTCTCTTTGTGATAAGTTTTAAATGGTAATGTTATGAGGTGTCCCTTTCGGATAGGCAAAGAATAAACAATTCGTCAATGAATTAGAAAAGGTTTGTGAGACAACACAATAGACTGATTGAGCTGACTACTAATATCACATTCACAAGTTAATTGGGCGGCAAAGACAGCCAGGCGAGAGCTTACAGTCTGAAGGGGTAGAATAGATTCAAAGCTGCTGATTTCTTCCCGGTGACGGCTCTTCAATCACCTATTATGCAACTAGCAGGGTAGAGCCAACGACTTCTTTGCAATCCATCGTGGTTCATGATTACTCCATGCTTGAATATTATCGAGTCAGGCCACATCGCGTGCAATCAATGCTGCCATTTGCAATACGAGTGTGTAAAGTTTTAAAGATCCAATTAATTCAATCAAACCTTCGTTATTGTTGTTGTTGTTGTTCTATTTAACGCCATGGCGGCAAGGGCGCAGCCGCCCTTGCGGCAGACCTCCCGGAGGGTATGTGGCGTGAAGGGTCGCAGGCTCTAGCTATATACTATATAGTACACGCCGTATCCTGACGTCCTCCAAATCTTGCTCGTGAGCTACTATGTGTTCTATCCATCCCTAGTTCCCACTGGTGCCCTAGTTCCGTTATAACCCTCTGGTTTCTTAATAGAGGTAGTTTGTCGTTTGGAGGATAGGTTATGACCTATCTCCTAGTACCGCGGGCAGATCTTCTGGAAGAAGTCTGTCACGCAGAGGAAGGCCTGGAAGCCTTCAGAGTCAGTGATTAGCCCCTTGAAGTAGCGATCGAGGGACCCTATAGGTCCTACGGGCTCCTGGCGGCTGTAGGGGTAGAGGGTGGGCCACTGTTGCCTCCTCAGTAGGGTCTTTCGGCAGTAGACTAGATGGTCTGCCTCCTTAACCCACCCACAGGAGCAGGTGAGTAGTGCTTCTGTGTGGTTAAAGCGTTGGTGATATTGTTTAAAGTCCCCGTGGCCTGACCGTGCCGCGAGGAGGTGATGAAGGGCAGCCCTAGGGAGGCCAAGTTCAGGAGGGCAAGCAAGGGTAGCCTTGAGCCCTAGTTGGGTATAGCGGGGAGTTGCCTCTTGTTTCCACCATCGTCTATATTGGCGTCTTGGCCGCTCTTTAGCAAGCCACTTGATACCTGATAGAGTAGCTAGTTGGCCCCTAAGGACTGGTAGAGTTGTTCCCTCCTTAGCTAGGCTGTCTGCTTCTTCGTTTCCTTTAATACCTTGGTGCCCAGGAGACCAATGGGTTTGTATATCGTGTATCCTAGCTACCTCCTGGATCTCAAGGAAGGCCGCTTGTGAGGAGTCTGGGACCTTACCGCGAATCCCCTGAATAACGCTGGTATTGTCGATGCAGATGTGTATAGGCTGGCCTTGGGAGGTCTGAAGGGCCCGTCGGAGCCCAGCCCTCGCCCCCTCCGCCTCACCATCAAACACTTCTGCTAAGCCGAGACGGCCGCAGCCCTGGGCTATACGTTTATTGTTGCGGTAGATAACAAAGCCGTACCCTGTAGCTCCGTCAGGAGCTTTGGAGCCGTCTGAGTATACGACTGTATGCTGACCTGGCACAGTCTTGAGCCAGGCCTGGAAGATCCTAGCTGCTACTTCCTTCGTCTGTGTAACTATAGGGTCATAGGACCCTGGGAGGTATTGCGGCTGTAGGAGCGCTGGCCTTGGACACTTAGGTAAAAGGCCAGCTGTTCTTTGAAGCCTGGTCTGTTGCCGCCCTGACTGCAGCAGCCTTGGGACCAAGGGATGCTGTTGGTCAACCTTCTGCAGGCGTATAGCGAAGCGTAGTCGCGCTGCTTCGAGGGCTACCTCTGCTGTGGGAAGGCCAGCGTCTCGGATGAGGCTACTGGTCGGTGTGGTTCTCCAGACAGGCCAAGACTTCGTTATGATGCACATTGATATCCACTCAAATCTAACTCTGATAGTTATGCCTCTGCGGTAATCGTCTTCCTATTCTATAGCCTAGAGCATGTAAGTTCAACATGACCACTTTAGCGTTTCTTCACACGAAATTAAACACCGACGGACTTTTCATGAGCAATAATTACAACTGCGTGAACCCGAGAGCGACACGGCTACCCAAGATTGTGTCAAGCCACGTTGCGCCGTGTGGTAAGTATTTCCCATACATATATTGAACGTTGTCAACAGAAAGAAGCCGTATCGGCAGTCCCTCTTGCTTTGCACTCGCGATCTTAGTCTTTCCCAAACTGCCCGCCAGATATCACCTCTGCCATCAGTGAGTAACCACTTACACAGTCAATTAAACCTCCAAATCCATATAAACCTCATCTAACCCACTTAGTGCATCTAGCAGCCGTAACCACCCTTTTTATGCTCGCCAGTCTGGTGATGGCTGGCAACCCTCGGTACAAAGTCAGTTGCGACCCAGCCGTTCCAGCTGCCTACCAGGCAGGCTAGCATGAAGGCATTTGAGAAGAAAAACTGTGGGCAGTCCGAGTATTTCGGGCGCCCGGGCACTTGGCATGAAGACACGCAGTCTTGCGAAGCCCCCGGTCCGGAGGGCACCAACACCGAGAGATACTACCATCCACTCTTTGCTGGCTCATCAGGTGGTCCCAACATCACCTCGTGTTGCTACTGGGTTCCAGCATTGGTCTCTTGCGGAAAACCTACATACCGTACGTCTGGTTTTCGGCCTCACTCGTTCCTAGCATGGTCGGTGACTGGTATTAGTTACAGGCCCAGTCCCAGTCGGTCAAACCCCAATTAAACATAGGACACTGGAAAGACGCAACTGGAGAATACTAGGGTTGCGATGGCATCAGATCTGTTATTGGTTGAAGTTGCGTCGTTGTGAAATCCTGGAGTTTTGAGATAGAACAGAGAGTAGAAACGAATTCAAACAGCATGAGGCTTTTCTATTTGCACTCTCCAGATCAAATGTCTTGGTCGCCTCTCAAATAGGTCGATGATTCTCTCACAAACAAAAGTTGACGTGGCGGGTTTGGAAAGAGATCGAATTCGCCTAATAGCAGCAAGATGCCATAATCTTTAATGATATCTTTGATGCTAGTAGTCTCACATGTATAGCTGGTCGTGCGCGCTATTGAGCCTTGCCTATTCCCCCCAATCGCCGCCGAATGAAGTGGGCCAGATCGACGGCGGGCCTCGGACCCGGTCCGGGAGGATGAACCCGGTAGAAAAGCCCGGCTCATTGTTTGCTTGTCTGGGTTGATTTGTGCCGGCTCTCAATCTGTGCGCTTAGCTCCGAAACATTCATCTCTGAGACGAAGCCTGCCCAAATGAAGGAAGGGTTGATGCCGTTTTGCCCTTGGTAAAGAAAGGAACAGGCTACCATACTCGTTACCGCTGAGGCTCTTGCCTTAATTCTTTAGTCGGTATCTCACAAAATTTGCTAAACCCTCACCCTCCTATACCCGACTCAGTTCAGAGAGGGGTGGTTTAACATCCTCCTTCCCCCGCTCTCATCCCCGTGCAGCAAATTGACAGCAGTCTTCAGAACCCATTTCACGCCACCCGAGCATTTCGAAGAAATGGCTACCCACTTGTCTCGTCTGCCGTAGCAGCCCGGCGCTCCACCTCCCTCATGAACTTCCTCACCTCGGGGTCCAGCGGCAGCGTACTCCTCATCTTGGTCTTGTTCCCGACGACCTTGAGACCGCCGAGCGATCGCGCGCGGCTCAGGGCCACATACGTCTGCCTGCCGTCCCAGACATTCTGCAAATTGACGCTAACGCGATCGAGCGACAGGCTTTGGCTCTTGTGGATGGTCATGGCCCAGCCCGGGACGAGGGGGATCTGCGTGCGCGCCGAGTACGCCACCAGGGTCTTCTTGTACCCGTTGGCGGTCTGCTGAATCGATGTTTCGATGTCGTGCATGTTGCAGTGGGGCATTATGACGCGTTGCTCGCCGTTTGCGAATCTGACTTCGGGGACTGTGGGGCGGAGGAAGGAGGACGAAGGTCAGCGGTTCGTGGCTACAGCTTTCTGGATGACCCGGGACACGGGAGAACTCACAACACTCCACGCCCGACGTACCCGCGACGTAGTCGCTGATCTGGCGGTATCTCGCCCATGCGACCTCGTAGCCATAGCTGTCTCCCTTGTAATTTCTCTCTTCGGGCTCCTTAGGCTGGTCGCGGAGGTCCAGCTTCCGTATGAAGCGGACGAGCTTGCCCTGGCTGCCGTTACAGAGACCATTCTCGACGTCGAGCTGCGAGCTATTCATTAGTGCCTCATTCCAGCTTACCTTGGAACGGGTGGCACGATGGCGCGGCGAGAGGGGAGAACTTACGTTAGCCAGCAACACAACCGGCATGCCGGCCTTGAGGGTCAGATGTTTATCAAACCGGTGCTTGTCGTTGTTGTCGCCATGGTCTTTTGGGTAGTCCAGGGCAAGAAAGGGTTCTGGCCGGCTGCGAAGCTTGTCGAGCTCCTGGTCGTTGTAGTCCTTGGCTTTATGCTTGTGACTGAACAGGGCTATGCCATCCCTGACTTCGCGATGTTGCAGCAGGACGTTGAGATCGGCGTCGGTTGTGTGGCCCAGGCGGATATTCTGGAGCATAGTGATGAATTGCCCATCGGTTTGCCGATGGATCTTGGTTAGATGGATGTAGCTACTCGCCGATATTGTCAGGTCTGCGTCCTCGGCTGTACCGTCAAACGGATCATGATACTCACTGGAAGTTGCACTGTTCCCAGGTCCATGAGTTGAAAGCCCATTTTTCGGCATCCCGAAACTTAGGGTGCTCCTCGTCGCGAGGACAGAAGTGCAGGTTATCTGCCTTGTCAAAGTCCATCTTCCCACACGGCGTCGAAGTACGGCTAGCCTCGTCAAACGCCACCTCCACAGTGCAGTGCCCAAACGGTTTCACGGGGGGCAGCTGGCAGAAGTCGCCGACGGCGATAACCTGGATACCGCCGAACGGTCGCTCCACCGAATCTTCGGTCTGGGTTCTGATCAGATGGTTGTAGTGGTGGGCGAACGCGTCCCGTCGGAGCTGGCCGATGACGTCGGAGAGCCGATTGAAGAACTCGCTGTCAACCATGCTGATCTCGTCGATAATGAGGACGTCGGTGCTCCTGATGCGGTCCCACACGGTCTTGCGATGCGCGTCTTCGATGAGAGTCCGGACTGTTTCCTTCGGAGCATCGGGGCCCCATCCGGCGTAGGAATATGTTGTCCTGCCGTTGATGTTGGTGGCGGCCTGACCCGTGGGCGCGACGAGGTAGACGGTCTTCTGCTGCGCGTCGAAGGCCTTGTTGAGGGCCTTCACCAGGACCGATTTGCCGCAGCCGCCGGATCTGAGAGGGTCAGTCATGGCCTGGTTTTCCTTCTCTTTAGTGATGAACCTACCCAGTGATGAAGAGATTGTGGCCCTGCATGGCCAGATCCAAGGCGTGCTGCTGTTCAGGACAGAGGGGAGGCTCTGGGGCCGCCTCTGGCGGTTCTTCCTCGCCCGTCTGGCGATCATTTTCGCGTTTGATGTACTCATTCGTTTGATCGGAGTAGCCCCCGAGAGGTATAAACCCCTGGGCTTCCCTCATTGCTTCTTCCTCGTCATCAAACCCATCCTCCTCTTTGATTGCCTCCTGATCGGAGTCATCCTCCACCTTGATCGGTGACTCAGAAGCACCACAATGGTGATTTTCCTCATGTTTGACGGTTTTAGATGGACGAACGTCAAAATAAAAGCCAACTGAAGTCTCCGGGTCAGGTTCGTCCTCCTCTCGGGGCCGCTTGACCGGGGCAGGCGCCGACGGGGCTTCAGGGGCGGATACGGTAGACCGACTTGGATGTGCCGGGCGATAATTCATCAAGGAGCCATTATCGATCTCAAGAGCCAGGCCATCTATGAGAAGATTCACCTGATATGGGTAAGTCTCCTGGGTCACGAAAATGGAAGCCTTTACTCACAGCCTGGTTAAAAGTCGAACCAGTAGTGTCTGGGTTGATAAATGGGTATTAGCATGGTGATGCAGACGGACTTCATAACCAGTGTCTGCACAAACTCTTGTTCTTGCAGCCGTCGGTCTGGTCCTTGGCATCGTCCCAATTTATGAAGATGCCGTACTTCCTGCCGCGCGCCTGGGGTCCTCGCAGGCTGTAGACCACGTAGTATTTGGGGGCATGCCCATTTTTAAGCACGACCGGATTGCGCGCATCTTTGATGTAGTCCGCTGCGGCCTGCCTCGCCTGCTTTGATGCAGGGCGGGGGTTTCCGACCAGCGCATCCAGGGCCGGCCTGAGCTTGGCCATGGTTGTAAATGTAGGCGGTGCAATGGTCGTCCTCGAAACTGATCACGAGATCGCGATAAGGGGTCGCGCCAGAAGGTTTCACGGACTCCACATCACGTATTATGTAAGCAAACCCTGGTCGCGCATTGGTCACTGAGCTTTGCTTTTCTAGGCTGCCCACCGTGCCACCTTGGATGCATTTTTCGTTCCTCGACGACTCATCGACAATGGCTAGGCTGGGTCTCTGGGGATTTCTCGAGCCCAATTTGCAGCATCGATGCTCGAATTCACTCCATGCTTTGTTTTGAATGTAGTACAGCCAACCCAAAGCAGATGTGGCAGTTCTTCGAAAAGCTTGGCATAAGGTGGCCATAATTCGAGTAACCTCAAACAAATTAACAGATGCACGACGACTCTAACGCTAGCCAATCTCATTTTTTTACCGCTACCAATGGCAATCGCGCTTCAATATCTTGATGGATTTAATTGTACATGGACTTCAGTCAGGAAGACTCACACATGGTTCTTTTGGTCACTCAGAGCAGCTCTTGCAGAGCTTTAAGCCTCTCATTCACCATATCTGAGTCTTGGTTCTACTTGCTTTGCCTTTGCAATGCCAATACCGAGCATTCCTCTGGAGATCGTTTGTCATCGAGCAGGCTTACTAAGAGCATAGATAGTTTCACTTAACTGCTAGTGTTTTCAACTCGTCCAGATTCGAGTCTACTTACAAGCAACGTGAGTGCCCATAAAACAGTCCTGACTCTCAAGAGAGTGCCGTTAGAACATCTTATCTCTTCAGCTGAAACGCTGCCCAATTGGATAAGAGCGCCAATCTAATGAAGATCTGGAGGAGCGGCTAGTTGTCGTCGGAAACAGCATGTAGAAATCATGCAGAGTGAGAGGTTGATCGCAAGAGCCAATGACAATTGAGCGCCAAATCTACCAACATGAACCGAGCGGGAACGTCTATTCTGGTTGGTGCCTGCCACAGTAGCTCCTCCAGCCACATCTCAGTCAAACAACATCATCAGAACAACTACCAACAAACTAAGATCGACTCAATTTATGGTGTCTAGCTACACGTAAAGAGTGCATCATGCAGGGCGCAAACTTATCATCACGATCGCAAGGGTTCGTCGATCTGCCGGTGGAAATCCAAACTCACGTCCTCGAGGCCCTTGCCTCATCACACCCCGCATCGATCTGTGCCGTCCTCTCAACATGCAAACATCTCTACAAAATCGCTCTGCATTTCTCAGTCCGAACGTACGAGAGCGCCGCCGGTCCAAAGAACACAAGCGAGTACGCACAGAAACGCAGCCGCAACCTTGCCTTCCTCCGTTACATCGTCATCACCAAGCCCGAGCTCGCACAACATGTGCGCCGCATCACAATCAAACACGTCTCCACCAGCCTCATCTACCGCACCGCCCCATCAAGCAAGAAACCCTTGGGTCCTGAAAGTGATGAGATTGGCGTGTACACGAACATGATTGATGCCTCGGGCCTCTCCGACCACGTCGAGGATTGGGAAGCTGTGCGACACGAATGGCTTCGAGGCCTTGCCGACGGTTTAGTCGAGCAGCAGATTGGGCTCATGTTTCTCGCATGCCCGAAGATCCAGGCTCTCGAACTAGGAACCCCTCTCGCGCCTAGACTCCTGCCTCGCCTGATCAAAGCTGCAGCGTTACACGGGAGGAGCATGAAGACCCCGTTACTCCATCACTTACGAGAGTACTGCGGCGAGCCAGAGATGCCCAAGAGTCTTTTCCACTTCTTCAACATTGGAAAGGAATTCCTGCAGCTGCCTCAGTTACGGACGTTCACATGCGCCAGCTTATCGAGCAGTGGCCCGAACGGGCATCTCTTCGACGAGAACGCCAACCCGCCCGGGTCTTCAAACGTTCAAAATCTTACTCTGCTGGATGCCAATATCACACAAGAGGGCCTCAGCACAGTCATCCGTGCTTGCAAAGAGCTCAAGTCGTTTCACTGGACCCCAGGCGACAGCAGTTTCCTAGACATGCAGATCAAGCTGCAGGATCTAGCCCAAGCCCTGTCGTCGCACCGAGAGACTATCGAGTGTTTACACATCAACTACCAAGGTCAGTGGCGCAATCAAGAATGGTATGTCGAACAAGAGGGCTTCTTTATCGGAACCTTCCTGCGGGAAATGATCTCGTTGAAGTCGTTACACATCGGTATGGAAGCTTTTACAGGCTTTACCGATCTCTGGACCGTCCCAAGCCTCTATCGCAATCTTACTCAAGAACAAATGGTAGTGGAATTGGAGAGAGTTCCGCGGCTCGTCGATCACATTTCTCCTAACCTCGAGAGCCTCGAGCTGTATGGGTGCACCATGGAGATATTACCTCATGTTCGGGAACTCGTGGAATTGCACCAGACAGGAGAAAGATTCACGAGCTTGCGGAAGATCCGGCTACGCTTCAATGCAGAATTGGTTGATCCTAGCAAAGTCAGCATGGAACTCGGGGCAAATTCGAGTCGCTTAGACTTGGAGGTCATGTACGACCGAGTGAGTTGAATTGAAGGAGGGTAGGGTGGCTGGAGTGGTGCCCTACCTTACGTAGCCACCAAACTATTGAGTCGAACTTAACGACGGCTGATCCTATCAGACCCAAAGAAGTTTTCAATTTCAAACCACACTGGATGATCGGCAAGCATTTGTCGGTCCGATTGCCGAAGCCCTTGCCGTGTGAAGAGATTGCTCATCGATGCATGTGCCAAACATGCAATCGGCTTGATTTGAGCCTATCTGCAATTATGACGATAAGTGATGTGGTCGTCGCTGAAGAATCCAAAGGACCTTTCTCTTGAGGGCATTCCGAGCCTTGCAGTTTGCCAATATGCAAGGTCTTTTTGTGAACAGGGGTTCAGCCACACCCCTCTTCTTCAACGCTGCATCACATCTGCACGGTGATCACGAGGCACATCCCACCTACGCAATTCGTCAACGGCAGCTTATCTGAGGGTCTCGAAAGGTGGGATCTGATCCCATCCTACTTCCTGATCGATCCATTTCTGATAGTTCCTCGTCTGCAGATCCCCTCTCTTCGCTGCCTTGGAGGGCTACGACGACATGGGTGTAAAGGTTGGTGGACATGGAGAATCAGGCTGTGATATTGGATGGAGTTCCCTGGATGCAGCCATCTTCCGATTATAGCCGGTCATGTGGCAGCCAGATGCTCGTTAACGTTCCGTATCGAGGCATTATTGGCAAATGCGGCTATCACAAAGATGTGAGATGGTAGATATAACACGGTTATGTCCCCTCAGACCTTCGCTTTGCATACTAGTAGGACCAAGAATCTCCTGCGGTCTCATGCCCCCCTGCTTCTGTTGATCAACTATATCATACTTCTCATCTCGCTGTCAACCCCTACCTCTAGTCGCTGCGACTATAAAGCTCTAAATAGTCCATCAGCTTGTTGACAGAAATTCCCACAACTTACAAGTCATCAGCACCAAGGGTTAGTAAGACCTCACCAAGCGCCACCTGTTCTTCATCCTCAAGCTAACACGGCTCATAGATACACGCTGCACACGAGTTCGAGGCTATCATGTCCGCCTGTCTGCGATGCCACATCGCTCCTGCCCTACACGGTCATCGTTTTTGCAGCCCTTGCGGCCAGCAAATACACGCCGGCAGCATTCAGCGTTCGGGACTTTGTATGCGTGGCTGTGGTCGGGCCGCGAAGCAAGGTCACCGGTTCTGTGTCCCTTGCGGTAGATCGTACTACCGTTAGTCTAAATTGAGGGGCTTATGTGTGTTGTTGCTACTATTAAGGCATGAATGAGAGTTGTTATGAGTGTGTTGTAGTTCAAGCATCCATCTTATCATAATTAAAGAGCGCGCATTATTTGTCTGTTTGGAAATCAAGAGCCAACTGGCTTGGAGCTCAAGCTTGCTAAGGTGAAGCCCCATAAGTTCTAGTAAGTAACGCCACCGATGTCTGTAGTCAATGCAATCAACCTGTTTCTAACATGTTCGATCATTTCCATTTCGGTGCTAAGTTTGCGATCTCCCGGTCGACAATGGAATCTGATCGTGGCCCAGGTATGCCAATAAGAGCAACTGGCAAGGCTTGAAGGAGTCCGTCCCTCTTGCTACATCGTCACAAACCACTACCTATTGAGGAGTAGATGGGGGCTTGCAGGACAAGAACGAACGTAGTTATTCCAAGAGCAATGCACCGTCCTTAAAACGAGCCAAAAGAAAACAATTAGTGATTAGAACGCACATTTGGCAAAAGATGAGGTCCATCCAGGATTCGAACCTGGGCCTACGGAAATCCTGACAATCAGAATCCGACGTCCTAACCAACTAGACTAATAGACCGATGATAACCGGCGCTAATCTCTTGCGCTGGTTGAGCGTGCTCTGAGCAGGCTTGAGACTCCTGTGTGACGGCCGTAGTCCTCCAGCGCGGCAACCATTGGGCTGCTGGTCCAAATTTGGCATCGCGAGTTGAGTTTAAGCGGTGCCCTTCTCATTGTGCTTCACTGAATGTGTCCAAAACTTTGAGACTAATGGGAAGAACTGGTGGGGAAAGTGAAGAGAATTTGGAGAGCTGCATGTCGACAGCGCAGGGTAGCGGAGGTGCCCGGAAGACAACGAAACTGTCGTGCGTCAACATCCCCAGCGCTCAGCACAACGACAAGCGGAGGAGCTCTTGGTTGCAACTTGCAGCATCGGCGATATCGAGATCGTTTCGGTCCCGACGTTTTCACAAATTCGAACGCGTCGTCTGAGCTTGCTATGCACAGATGCACACGTTTGTTTGCCAATCCGGAGATGCAGGGTCTGGTGCCAGCCCATGTTCGTCACTCACTAACCCCGAGGGTTTGGAAATGAGTGTACGCTCAGACGAACCATGTGCTCCGTTTCAAAACGCAGCCGATAGATGAACGGCCTTTGTTTCATCGGATGTCAACATCGGACACCGCCAGGGAGCCAGCAGCGATGGAGACACATTGACTTTTGGACATCTGTGATCCAACTGCTTGCTTGCCAATACGGATACCTTTTCAGCTTTCTTCTCAAGGCTGTCGATGTTTCTCAACTCAGTGGCTCGCTCGGATGAAATTCTAGAGACAGCTGCGTGAACACTGCCTTTGCCAACCGAATCCCACTTGGGGGCCATCCTCGCGGCACGGTCCATAGGTTGTCTAGTGACTCTAGTCGCTGTAATCAGTCTGACAGTCATGCCGACGATGGTTGATGACGACGCTGACGAGGAAATCTGCCGCTGGTAGCTGGGTAATCGGCCCAAGGATCGGGAGACGGGGGCGGGGCTCCGGACATCGCTTCGCATCGAGTTAATGGGAGGAGGAATCTTCGTCCAGATCCTTCAGGAGAAGGTCCCCTAATTCGTACCCATGGAATCCATGGATTTGTCGTCTTTTGACCGTAGCCCACATGGCTGTGTTCCCACTCGAATAGCAACGTCATGTTGTGCCGGTGTGGAGAGCCACGAGTCGAGGTTGCCCTTGAGGCACAGGGAGTCTGAGGGAGAGCAATCTCTTGTGAATCGACCAGTGTTGGAGGATGCTCTCACGGCTCCAGGACGATTGCAACCTGGCTCAAGGTAGTTTTGCTGTGCTGCAGGTCATTGTGCGTGCAGTGCGATTGGGATTCAAATGCCGAGGAGGCAGCGGCAACGTACGTTGCGCATAGCCATACGGGCTGCAGGCCGCTGCATGTGGCCGTTAGGACGAACGGTCCGAGACATGTTACGAGGTGCAGACTGCTTGATATTTCAAGTTCGCGTACCACAGCTGACGCTGCAACTAGCGAGCGTGCAGCTTAGAAGACGGGTCCTCGTGTAGAGATGAGCTGAGAACAATAGGCCAGAGAGAGACTGAAGGCCAGGCCCAAGACCAACAAAGGTCACATCAGCGAAAACGTTAGGTGTCCGCAAAGCGCCGGCGCTGCGACGCACCGTTGATCCTGGACCCACCGAAAAAAAAAAAGCGTTGGAAGCTGTCTAAGTCTATCGTAACGTCTCATTCTTGTGCTCGGTAGCGTGCAACAACTCTGAATTTTCTTCTTTTGCCCCCTTTTCGGTCCGTTAAAGGGCCAGAGCGACCGGCAAAATGTCTTGCCAAGAGACGTTTCCTAGGTCGTAGAGGTTGAGATCAGGCCCGGAACAAGGCGGAATGAATGGACAGCATTTTGGACGTTGGGAGAAGAAACCAACCCCTAGTGGGCTTGAGTGTCCCCTATCTCAGTTTAGCCCACCGGTGGAGGCTGCGCGCTTACCGCGAGTTTTCAGCCTTGATACGCAGGATTCACAGCAGAGAATCCTCTGTGTCTGTACTCAAGTCTTAGAAGGTAGCGTAGGTATTTGAGGAAGAGTCTTCTCGCTGGTCGCTGTGATGGTAGCCGCGGGTCTCCGCAGGCCTTGTGAGCGGCCTAGACGATTCAGCCCAGGAAGACTTTGACCAAACGGTTTGCTCGCAGACCCTCAACGCGTAGTATATAAGCGCCCGGAAGCCCCTCTCAATGGCTGCACAAAGTCGAGTTTCACGTTGTGGCAGCGAAGCACCGAGAAGCAACGTGTACGGGGTAGCGGCCGGTTGTTGTGCGTCTGAATGAGCAGTATCCGCAGACACTGGTGACGGGTTGGTGGCACGAAAGAGGAGTCACGATGGCCCTGTTGCGACGAGGGCCTGTTGCGACGAGGGCCTGTTGCGACGAGGGCCTGTTGAAGTCCTTGCAGCTTGTGCCTTAAGTTGCGACGGATAGGGGCGATGGTCCGATGGGGAGGAAAACGCGACGAAGGTCGAGGTTCTAATTAGTGCGAGAGATGCGCGAAGTGGGAGGACAGCTCGGGCCGTCCAGAGTCAAGACTCCCATGTCAAGCAACGTGAGGACCTAGGCAATGCTCATGGTCCATTATTCATGGCCAGCCGCTGGTCTCTGGCGAAAAGGGAGTCTCCCGCTTGAGCAGTTCACAGCAATGCTGGCCCACCGAAATCGATGATCTCCGACGTGATCTCCAGAAGTTCAGGTTGGTCCATGTTGGTGGACATGACGGTGGGGGAGGATTTCGGGTTTCATCCGAGGATTTGCGGTTGCAGCTGCAGCCCCCAAGTTTGATTGTCGTCGAAGTGCGAGTTTGGACAGAGAGACAAAGATGGGACCGAGACACATGAGACGATTGTGCCCGGGTTGTGTTGCTGCTGGTTACCATCGACGGTCGGGTCAAACTTCACGATGGAAGGGTTGCCGGCTGCGAGCTACGAGCTGCGAGATGGAATTCAAATCGACCTTTCTCCCCGGACGAAGAGTATCCGTGGGCTGTAGCGGCGCAGGTCAGTGAAATTGAGAAAGAGGAATCGAGACTAGAAGTGGCTTCTCCGCAAGTGATCTGAACGGGGAATAGGGATGAAAGGATGATGACATTTCCCGGGCGATGAGCAACTGCGAGTGGTTGCGACTGCACAGACCGTCGGACGAACGTTCTGGGAAGGACGGAGAGAATCCTAAAATTTGACACTCGAGTTTTGGGAAGGAACCCGGGGGGGCAACCAGGGTGAGTCCTTGCTGACTGCCCCGACAGGAAGTGACTTCCTCAGTGACTTTCCTCAGTGGCTTCCCACTTGCTCAGTTCCTTCCATCTTCCAAAATGCCGCACTGACGGCAAACTCTTCTTTCTTTCCCGTCCCCCATTAACTCTTCTCTCCCTGAGTCTCCACCCATGAACCAACCAACTGGCTGCAGGCACTCAGGCACCCCCGGCTTTTCAGAGCGCACGAGACACACTGAGCTGACCATCCAGGGCTTAGCGTCAGGAACCATTTTCTCTTCGAAATGCAGGAACGAGCTGGCCAGCCGCGAGACGAGCAGAGAAGCCTTAAGTCTCACCAGCTAGGCCCCGCTGCTACCGCGACACAGACCAATCATCAGGTGTTGGTGGTTCGGGGAAATTGTGCAATTCAATCTTTTATGAAAAGCCCACTCACACTCACATTGTCGCTGGATCGGGTATGGACAATTCGCGCTCTTCTTTCCTCGCGTGCCACCCATTTCACCCAATTCGCGGCATTAGGTGTGACAATTGGGAGGGGATCCAAATGACAAGGTGTAAATTATGCCATTCTACTCTTCAATAATGCTGCCGCTATTTCGCCCCGATACAGAGCATTGTACGAACAAATCCGCCTACTAAGCCCGTTTGCGGCTGGCGACAATGCCTTTCTCTTCCTCCCCTCTGTCAACCCCGGCTCGACTTTGTCTTGGACAATAAGAATAAGCAAGCCGAGTGATGGACCGTTGGACTTGTCTCGCCCGGTACAAGGTAGTGTTTCCGTCTTAGCTCGGCCGAACGACTTCTCAGGAGTCGGACCATCTGGAATCAAGAGGAAGAATAAGAAGCAGACAAGAATGGCGCTATTCATGGCGCCGCTTGTCATCGCCCCGCGACGGATGTTGCTTATTCTGGGTTTCTGCTTCTATTGCTGGCTCTTGAGACTTGCGGATCGTGCTCAGCCCGCGTCAGGATCACACAATACTTCTAAGAAAAGCGCTGTCACTGCGTCAGGGCAAACAACGAACGGCTTCCAATCGACGCCCTGCCGATCCGTCGTTGCTGGCGTGATGAATAGCTGGCGGTTGGTTGTTTGCACAATTATCCATTTGACTTTGCACTTCGGCCATTCACAAAGCGCACCGAGGCCAGGCGCAAGGTAACGTGGTCGACTGCCAGCGAACGCAATGCTGTGCTTTTACGCCTTAATTTCCCGCGAAGATCCAGACCCCTGCCTGCATACGGGTGGTCGCGTGTACAAATCATTATTGTTTAATCTTGGCGGGCAGAAATGTCTACAGTACTTGGAGCCTCCTGGAGGAAGGTGGGCTTGAAGCATGGCCAACAGGGTTGAACAGAGAAACCTTGGACACGGGTACCTTGCAGCTACATTTGCGATACCTCACCGGCCGAGTGATGATGGCCTCCGTTGCAATGATTTGGTTGGTTTTTGCAGACTCTCAGTGGCAGACCCGGTCCGACTTGCGACTCGCACCACAGCAAGCATCTCATCTCCTTTTCCCTCCTGTGTCACTGTCCCGTCCCAGCTGTACCTGCCGTACCTACCTTACCGTCTCTTCTCACTCCTTCCCCGGGATACATCGGGGCTTTCCTTTCCATTTGGGACGGAAAAGAACAAGCAGAACAGGACAGGGAAGGTAGGGCCGAGCACCTCCACCTCTTGCCCTCTTACAGGTTTACGGACCACAGCTAACGTCCTCTCCTTCCTCTACCTCTTTCGTGGGCCGGGCTTGGCTTTCATTTTGGGTGTGAGCGCCTTCCCTGTCGGCGCCTGCATCGTCGTCGCCCCTGCCAGTCACCTCACAGTCACGGGGATGAGGCCCTGAGGGTCGTCGTCTCCCAGACTCCCAGGTTGCCAAGCCCCCGGGTAGAGAGAGGTATACCTCGTCGTCGCTCATTTTCACCCGACGCTTGCATCCGTAACCCTCGCCTGATCCGCCCTCCCCCGTCGCTTGTCTCCCCACATCCAAAACCCACGTCTTTTCCCACTTCTCGTCAGTCTGGGTCCTCTCTCCAGCATCCTCTTATTCAAACCACTCCCCCCCCGACCCATAACCCACAGACTTCGTTGGCAAAGTCTCCTGCTGCTTCACCCTTCTTTCGCTTCACGCACAGTCGTTGAAACAAACATCACCAAACCTGAACTACTCGAAGTATTCGGACTAACACTCATTCCTATTTACATCCGCGGACAGACGCCATCTTGTCGCAAACCAACAACAAGCGCTCCCCGCCAAAACCACTCACTGCCCTGGCTTAGACACAACAGCAAACACGCCAATACATATAAACATCTGGCCGTTCCATCTCATACTGAGAACTTAGTCAAGCAGTACGACTTGCACCACGATCTTTGAAAGACCAAACACCAAGCATACGCTTCATAGTGTTGAACAGATTACTTCCGACGCACATACATCACATTCGATTCAGCCCTAACTTATCAGGCTTCGGCAGTTGACCAGTACAACTACAAACAACACCACTTACAGACACGATGAAGGTCACCACGATTCTCGCTGCTTTCTTACCCGTCTTGGCACTGGCCCAGACCTCGAGCGGCGACACGACGACGGTTACTTCCACCGCTACCCAGACCAAGACCATCACTCTCGAGCGCGCGCATACCACCACCATGACCTACGGCACCGGCAACAGCACTGCGACGTTCAAGCCTACCGGCTCCGTCGTCGCTTCTGCCACTGCCGCGGCTACCGCTGCAACCACCTCAAAAGCCAACGCCGGCGCCGCTCTCAACGCTGGTAACCTGGCTTTCGCTTGTGTCGCTGGTATGGTCGCTGCTGTTTTGTTGTAAAGCGGCATCGCTGGATGCGCTAGATGGAGGTGTGGGATTTCAAGGAAATGGAAGATGGACTAGGAGTTGCGATGTGGTTGGAAGGATGTTGCCAACTGCGTCTTACTGCCACCCCGAACTCTTCGATGCGACATCTCTTCAGCCTTTTCTTTTGTCATCGCCCCCAACCCTGGTTCGGCGCACTATCGCTACCGATGTGAGCGCTGCCTATTCTTACGACCTTTACGACCTTGAGAATCGGGACACTACCTGAGTTGACGGCACACTATATCCTGTTCCTCTTCGACACCAACCATATGCGACGCTTGCATCGCCATCCTGCAGGAAAGGAACCGACACGCTAGTCAACTGGGGCTACTTGACAGCGATCAACATTTTTCACTCTCACTTCAAACGACATCACCTGTCCGCCGCCTTTCCTTATGGGTGGTGGACGGCTTGTCACCTCATGTTTTAATGTTTCGATTCTTCCCCAGCAGCACAAGGGTCGCATGGAATGCGAAGTCGATCTGCCCTTCATGCACGTCATTGGCCTTGATCACCCTGGGCCATCTCCAACATTACCGCCAGTCTGGTGTTCTAGACTGACGAGGCGTGTTGGGGGTGTGACTGAGTCATTCCTCGCTTGATAATTCTCAGGCTGGGGTTGACTTGAGTCCCTGGCCAGGCACTGATGTTGCTGCAGGTGTGCTTGCTGGCTGGAAATGATATTTATGAGATCTTTCGCAACGTCATTCTCGAGGGAGGATCCAAGACGGAAATGATCAAGATGGATGATTTAGGGATTTACCGGAGTTCTCGTGATGCAACAAAAGTTTCACTCTTCTTCGAGTTGTTGATACCCCTATTGCTGTATGGTTGCCGACCGGGGTTGGACATTTCAAGCAGCACTTCTGAGGTTGCCCTTTTCCAAGGGTCAACTTTGGCTTTCGCTTGCTTGAGTTGCCTGACATTACCCGCTCGGTAGGAGGACGCGATGGATTGATTTGCTTTGATATTTTTCGGACTGACGACGTTTTTGATTGAATGATGGCTTAGTCCGAGACGAATATGCCTTGCGAGGGGGGCTTGGAGGCCATTGAAAGGAGTTTTAAGGACTTGTGGAGAGGCATTTACTGGTAGCATAGTTGAACGAATTCATTGACATGAGCTTATGGCTCTGTTCCATCAAACCCTTGCATTCATACGACACAGAAAGTGACCAGGGACGAAAGAGTTCGGTTCGTAATCCCTCATAGCATTGGCAATCCTCATCTCTTGATTATAAAGAACCGGGAAGCGAGTAAGAAAACGACCCCTCGGCCCTTGAAAATCGAAACCGTTGGGACGGAAAGCCCCGGCACGCCGACATTTCGATAAGACTTCTTAATAAGCATTGCCGCTGTCAGACGGGTAGCCAGTTTTGATTGGTCGAGCTTCAATCACGGCCCCCCCGATATGCCGATTCAATCCGGGAACCGGGGGGTAGGTAGCCAGCTGCAGGACCTAATTTCTAGTGGTCATATTTTCTTGGGACCTGTTTTTTTGCCCCATCACAGCTGTCGACCGCATCAACCTCTCAACCAAGCTTCTCGCCAACAACATCGTCGGCTGCTGCAATCACACGGGCAACTTCGAGGGGGAACCAAACGAAACACCAAACGACAATTGATCACAATGCCATCGCCCATAGCACCTCTTGCCCGCGTGCAGGCTCCTCTGCGGAGGGCTCTTGCCTCGTCGGCTCGCTCCCGAGCCTTCGCCACCGTCCCTCCCACCTTCGGCACAACATCCGAAGCCGCATCGCAGCCCCCGAAAGCCCGCCGACCAACATACTTCAAGGACAAGAGCCTCGCGTCGCTGGACGACTTCATCGCGAGCAAGGGCGACCCCGCGGCTCTCTCCGATGCGGAGGCCTACGAGATCCGCACCGTCGAGGTCACGGGCCCGACGGGCAAGAAGAAGACCATCACCCGTCTCCCGGAGTGGCTCAAGACGCCCATTCCCGCTGGTAACGAGAACTTCAAGTCCATCAAGAAGGATCTGCGCGGTCTGGGATTGCACACGGTGTGCGAGGAGGCCAAGTGCCCCAACATCTCCGAGTGCTGGGGCGGTTCCTCCAAGAGCGCGGCGACGGCGACAATCATGCTCATGGGCGACACGTGTACGCGCGGATGCCGATTCTGCAGCGTCAAGACCAACCGCGCGCCGGCGCCGTTGGACCCTCATGAGCCAGAGCACACTGCCGAGGCGCTGGCGAGGTGGGGCTTGGGATACGTTGTTCTGACGTCCGTCGACCGCGATGACCTGGCGGATGGCGGCGCGCGGCATTTCGCCGAGACGATTAGCAAGATCAAGGCCAAGAAGCCGAGTCTGCTCGTCGAGGCGCTGACGGGCGATTTCATGGGCGATCTGGACATGGTGAAGATTGTGGCGGAGAGCGGGCTGGATGTGTATGCGCACAACGTCGAGACGGTGGAGGCGCTGACGCCGTATGTGCGTGATCGGAGGGCTACCTTTGCGCAGAGTATAAAGGTGCTTGCGAGGGTCAAGGAGGTGAAGCCTGACATGATTACCAAGACGAGTTTGATGCTTGGGTTGGGTGAGCAGGAGGAGGAGCTTATGGATGCTTTGAGGCGTGAGTTTTTCCCTACTACCCATGAGTTCACTCGGGAAACTGCGTGATTTGGAACCAAGGCCGGAAAATCGCTAACATTCGGGGAACTACAGAACTTCGCAAAGCCAACGTCGATGTCGTCACTTTCGGCCAGTATATGCGCCCGACGAAGCGCCACCTCAAGGTCGAGAAATACGTCACCCCCGACGAGTTCGAGATGTGGAAGCAGCGTGCGCTGGATATGGGATTCCTGTACTGTGCCAGCGGCCCCCTGGTGCGAAGCAGTTATAAGGCCGGCGAGGCGTTTATCGAGAACGTGCTGCGCAAGAGGGCGGGCGAGAAGGCTGGCATGGCGAGCGAGAGGCTTGGCCAGACCGTTGCCCTGGAGGAGGGTTTCAAGACGTTGTAGATTCTTCTCCACGAGGGCTCGTGACGGTTTGGGGATGTACGATTTGGGAGGACGGTGATGATATAGACCAGGGGATGAGATGGATAATAGTCCAAGGGGGTTTAGATGGCATGGTTGGCGTTTATTTTTTGGGCTGGACGACGGGGACTTCATTCATCATGGGCATCGCCATCTTTTCCCCCGGGCGGTATACTTTTCGATATACAATCTAGGTGCATATTAGACCTAGGAGAACAAACGAGTGCCAGGTGGTCTTCAACAATGGCCACTGAGAGCTATGAAATCACTTCATGGTCTCACGTTACTCCATACGTGCCTTGTCCAAGGGGCCCAGCGATCCAACCAACGCACGATGGACCAGTAGCTCAGTATGGCTCGCATGATCTTGTTTCACCCCCCTTCCCTCTCTTCCAATCCGAATGGGCGGTTCTCGGCGTTTTTGAATTACGATCATAACTCGGCCGGTGAATCGCCGGAATCCCCGGCTGTAAGACACGGAAACGAGTTGTTTCCGTTGTGGCTGTACCTGTCAATCGCATACCAATCAAGGAACCCTCTGTCTGGGCCAAGATCAGATTCAGTAGTCAGGAATCGAAAAAGTCCAGAGTTGTCGGATTTCCGCATCTTCAGCTGGTAGAAGGGAGAAGAAGGAGGGGGGTTTAAGGGAAAACTCCAATTTCCCGGCGTTCCTGATGCGTGTTCCGTGTTCACAAACTTACGAGACAGGGCTGTTATCTATGCATCAAACCGGGTTTAGTATGGGAATGGAGAGACACCTCAGCCTAACGGTCGAGTGTTCAACGAGGGCTCTTCCATTTGTGTTTCTCTTGGTGTTCACATTACCCCCCCTTCAGATAGCTGACGGGATGCTGAAGTATGAGCGTCTGGGAATGATGGCATACGCGGCTCATATCTGCTTGATCTTGGCTTTTCCAGCTGAACACAATACGGGCGAGCTGTTGGCTTGGGGGTTTTTTTTATAGCGATGCTACCCTCATGCGTCGATGGACGGTCAAGGACCAACTGCATCAGTGGTCAAGGGAGGTATCCGTAAGGCGGAGAGAAAGCTCGCCTGGACCACCCCCGGCCGACATCAATGCACCAACCCGTCACTTTTCTTCTAGCCGGAGAAAGCTTGGTTCTGTTTCCTGTCAGCGTTCCCGAGAAGTTTCCTTTTCCATTCATCCTCGACGCCGTCCAAGAGTTGCGATTATCGAAAGTTGAAACAAACGAGACCATAAACGTCCTTGGTCAAGAATTAGCATCAACATACATTGCGTTAGAGCAACGCGCCAACTCTTAATGTGGGTACACCCCAACGGCCAACGTCCAGTCTCCCCTCGTTCCCACGCGAGGAGTGGAATTCCCCTCCGTACATCGGCTCCCTTCAGACCAAGACAAGCCTTTTTATGGTCCTTTCTCACCGCGAAATGCCCATCCCCTTAGGCTCTCATGCTTCTCTCACTCACTCACTCATCCACACGACATCATCCACAGATCATCAGCACCAAAGCCTGCATATGCATCCTGCAATAATGATGCGCGTTCACGGTCCGGGGAGGCGTCCCTCATTTCCCCCCTCATTCATCATTTCCCGCCCCGACCTATCCCACGCTGGTCTAGCACACCCTTCCAGTGCACTCCACTTCCCCCCGTCGTGGGTTGCCGGTGAGGTATCCGTAGGCTGGATTTACACTAAAATACCGGTAATTGAGAAGCTTGCTTTCTTTGTAGACGTCTCGCGTACCTGAACGGCGTGGACAGCCAGCCACGAGACGCCAGCGAAGGCCTAGCGGATGACTGCCTCATCAGCGCGTTGGTTCGTGAGGTAAATATTGGAAGCTTTGCGTATTTTTGATTGAATCTTGTAAAGGATGAGATGCAGCAGATCCCCTGGTTGTTGCAGAGGCAAGCAATGTTTCCGAGCCGGCATGATTACCTTCTCACCCGATGGCGGTCATTGCTTCCTGCATGACATCGCATCTATTCGTACGGGGTACGGTGATGTTCTACCACAGTAGGGAATTGAATTGAGTAAGACGCGCGCGGGGAATGAGTGAGGGAGTGAAGCAGGACCAAAAGCTACGGGAAGCTAAGCAAATGAGACACTTCCTCTTATTTTCTGCCCACGTTCATCCCCCCCAGTCTATCCCTTTTTAGAACCTTTTGTGATAATTTCTTGGTCTATCAGTAAGAAGAACGGCAAAACGTCCCGCAAAAGCGTGGTTCTTGGTACCTGAGAGGCTGAGTAGCGTTGAACCCGTCGTTCCACGGCTCCCACGTCTTGGTCGACCTCGTCTCCTCCACTTCAGCCCAACTCTAATAAAGTATCCCGGGCTTGTCGTCCCTTTCACCCCTTGTCGCTCCGTCAACTTTGTTTCCTTCCCTTACGCCTATCCGTACTCATCTTCCACTTACTCGGGTTGTCCGGGCCTGAGAGCTGAGTAGTAATAATCTACCCGATCTCAAGGTTCGTCCCACCGCTGGGGGTCCCTGAATGTCTATAGCTTTGGTCCATTGCCTTTATTTTTGATTCTGCTGAGAATCGTGCCACTCCTTATTTCTATTACTTGATTGACTTTCCTGCTCGCGCCTCTCTTTTTCAATTATCTTACTCTCTCTCAGCTTGCTGGTTTATTGTCCAGAAGGAGGAGTGACCACGTTCATTACACAATCGCTACTACGAGTCCCGAACTCATCCACTCATTGAAAACTCATCGGCGTCTCTCGCTCCCACCTGGTTCTTCACCACACACTCATTACAACTTCTCGTAATCATATTATTCTCACCTGACTCGACAAAACCTTCAAGCACCAAACCGTCAAAATGCGCGTCACAGCCGCCTTCTGGCTCGCGGCCGCGACCCTCGCGAAAGCGGCGTACTGGATGGAAGACATTGCCCACCAGGGCATCTCCCCCTACCACCCGGACCCGAACTACAAGGTCTTCCGCAACGTGAAGGGCTTTGGCGCAAAGGGCGACGGCGTGACGGACGATACCGCGGCGATCAACCTCGCCATCAGCTCTGGTGAGCGGTGCGCGCCTGGCAAGTGCAAGGGTGAGACGACGTCGCCTGCTACCGTCTACTTCCCTCCCGGGTGAGTCTTTGGAATTGCAATCAACTGAATAAGAAAGTAGTGAGAAGGAATGAATTAGCTGACGAGAAGGTGTAGAACGTACATCATTTCTGGCTCTATTATTGACTACTTTTACACGCAAATCATTGGTGATCCGACCGATCGCCCGGTGATTAAGGCCGCGGCCGACTTCCCCACCAACACCACCCTCGGCCTCGACGGAAACCCGGTATGTTAATGATATCTCTCAATTCTTCCATAATTCACAGTTTGGAATTGAATGATTGTTATCAATCGAGTCAATCGCTTCAATTGTTGTGGTGGTGGACCGAAGACTAACACAACCTACAGTACGGCGCGAATGGCCTCAGCTGGGGTGCCACCAACATCTTCTTCAGACAAGTCCGCCACCTCATTTTCGACACCACAGGTATACCTGCCTCTGCTGCTGCTTTTGGAATTCATTGGCCCTCATCGCAGGCTACTGCCATTACCAACTGCGTGTTCCGCCTCGCTAAGGGCGCGGAGAGCAAGCATGTCGGCATCTTCATTGAGGAGGGCTCCGGCGGCCTTCTCAACGATCTTGACTTCTACGGAGGTCAATACGGCGTCAATCTTGGCAACCAGCAATATACTGCCCGAGCCGTAAAATCAGCCTTTTCCTGGATGTAATGAAGTGTAGAATGGTTGCTGACTGGTTGTGTGTGAATAGCTTCGCTTATGGAACGCTCAGGTCGCCATCAATCAGCTTTGGGACTGGGGCTGGACCTACAAGAACATCTATGTGTAGAACTGCGGAATCGGTATCCGCGTGCAAGATAATAGCACCTCTTCCATCACTCTTTTGGACTCGGAGTTCGTCAACACCCAGACCGCGATTCGCACCAGCCGCGAGCCCGGCGTCACCGTCCCCGTCACGGCCGGCACCTTGGTGATGGAGAACGTTGCCTTCTCCAAGGTCCAGACCATTCTCCTGGGCCCCAAGAACAACACGATCGTCGCAGGAACGTCCAGCGCCACTATCTCTCAGGGCTTCGCCATGGGTCACATCTACACCCCCTCCGGTCCCACAGACTACACCGGTTCCGATGCTGGTTACTTCCCCGTCTACCCAGCCCTCCTCGGACCCCCCGCCAACGGCACGACAAAGTATTACGAGCGCTCCAAGCCGCACTACGAGAACGTGCCCTCAAGCCTTGTCATCTCAGCCCGTTCGTTCGGTGCCCGAGGTGACGGTGTGACGGACGATACTGTGGCCCTGAACAACCTGTTCAACTACGTCGCCTCGAACCCTGCTGCAGGCCTCCTCGCCTTCGTCGACGCGGGCACCTACTACGTCTCCGACACCGTCTTCGTCCCTCCCGGAGCCCGCATCGTCGGCGAGGCCCTCGCATCCATCATCATGGGCGACGGTGAGAAGTTCCAGGACATCGAGAAGCCTCACCCCGTTGTCAAGGTCGCTATCCCGGGCCAGTGCGGAACGATTGAGTGGTATGACATGATTGTGTCCACGCGCGGATCCGCACCGGGTGCCAAGGTGATCGAGTATAACCTCAACACCGTCGGTGAGCCTTCTGGTATGTGGGATGTGCATATTCGTGTTGGAGGATTCGCTGGGACGCAGCAGCAGCTCAAGGAGTGCCCTACCACGCCTAATGCTACTGTCACCGCGGATACCATTGACAAGAACTGCATTGCGGGGTGGATGAGTATGCACATCACCAAGTCGGCTTCGTGAGTTACCCCTGATTCTTCTTCTGTGAATAGCATACTGACAATCGTAAAGTGGACTTCTGCAGGAGAACTGCTGGATCTGGACCGCCGATCACGACCTCGAGGATCCCGACTACAAGCAGGTCACCATCTACAACGGCCGTGGCTTGCTGATCGAGTCGACCGCCGGCAAGATCTGGCTGTCTGCCTCCGGCGTCGAGCACCACACCCTCTACCAGTACATGCTCTTCAAGACCAGAGACGTGTACATGGGCCAGATCCAGTCCGAGACCCCTTACGTACGTAATCCCTCGTGAACTCAACTCTTAAACTTGACTGACTCTCTGCGATAGTACCAACCCAACCCACCAGCCACGATCCCCTTCCCCCGCGCAAAGGGCTACCACGACCCAGACTTCGAGACAGAATGCAAGGACGCCGACCCCAACGGCCCACCATGCAAGATGGCGTGGGGCCTCCGCGTCATCGGCTGCCAGAACGTCGTCGCGTTCGGCGCGGGACACTACTCCTTCTTCAACAACTACAGCACGGCGTGCTGCCAGATTGACGCTGGAGCGAGGTGCCAGCAGCGCATTGTGGATTTGCGCGATGCGCCTGGTAACTGTACCGCGACGGACAACTTGGATATCTACAACCTGCAGATTGTGGGCACGACGGCCATGGTTACGCGTTATGGAAAGGATGTCGCGTTTTACAAGGATAATATCGCTGGGTTCACGGCTGGTATTGCCTTGTATCAGCATTGAGATGTTTACTTCTTGGCTGTATAAGTAATGTTATTCTTAGTTCTTTTTTGTGATCACCATACTGAGGTACTTACCTCTGTTCCGTTGGTATTCATGCCCATGATTCATCCGTAAATGAGCGATGAGACTGGAGTTTTGATATCAGAAATACCAGCTCAGCATGGGGTTTCATTCACTTCTCGAACGAATGAGCCATCCTTCATTCTTCCAGCCAATCGTGAGTAACCCTGATCGGCTCTCATTGACGTCTGGAAGTAACCACACCCCTAGCACTGCAACTTTAGCCGCCCCCAAGAAGACAGCAGTCAAGAGACAGTGCGAGATCTGCCGATGTGACCCTTGTGGTTGACTCGGAATTCGCACTGGATGAACTGCTCGCCCCTTTGCAGTAGTTAAGAATGCAGTGAAGATTGGGAAAATGGATAAGTAGAGACGACCGCCGCTCCTTTTCCTGTGACTGCAACAGGTGATGACATGGAAGAGTCTTTTAGTGAAGAGCACCGGCCATTGATTGCTTTGGTCAGTTTCTGGACGATCACTGGCATGCTTTATGCAGCACCGAAACAACCAATTCTACAACTCCCTGTGAACTCAGATGTGATCCTGCCTGATGGATGCTCCTTCATCTATTTGGCGTATTCAATGATGGCGTATCGCAGAACTGTCCTTAAAATAGACAGTACCTCCATAATCCTTCAACGGCCTGCACTATGCGATGTGATTAACGGAAGAGTTGGTCCATGGAATCAAACTTTCATTATGGGTATCATGTCTCCGTCAAGATGCCGGTCCAACACAGCGCCCCTGAACATCGCAGAGCAGCATCAAACCTCATACCACAACCTCCTCATGCTCGTCAACGCTACCCAAAGAGCCTCGTCCGTCCTGATGTTACGGCTGCCCTGACCAGGCAAGATGTTGACCCAGTGGTCAAACAGCTCCTTGGCCTTTGAAGGACCCATATCCATACCCTCGAGCTCCTTGTCGTTCAACGCCGCATATTCAATACCTCTGGGTCCACCAAACGCAATGAGAAGATGCTTGAACTCCAGGGGCTCTGCACTAGGGAAGGCCTCAGAGAGTGTCCGTCCACGCTCCGAGGTACCGATGCTGACGTCGTAACCGCCCTCGTACTTGCACTCCGTGAACAGCGCCGTCAATGAGTTGGCGCGTCGGACCTGGTATCCCCAGTAGAAGCCGCCCTCCTCCCTCGGCGCCGACGGATCGCACGCCTCGGCCTTTTGCGACCTCTGGTCCGGGTGGTACAACGTCACGCGGGTGTTGGGAGGCACCTCATCCTCGATGAGGACCTGGTCCTTGAGGCCGATATCGATCATGGTGCCTCGGGGTGTTCCCTTGCCGGCGACGCCTTCGCGGTAGGGGAGCCATTCGGCCGGGTTGGGGTGGTGCGGCATCTCGAGGGATGGAAGCTGACTGGCGAGGCGCAGGTTCGGGTGGAGGGGGAAGAGCATCTTGCGCATGAAGGGCGGGACCTCGAGGTAGCCGAGGAGGTGCTCGAGGAAGTGGGAGGGGTCGATGTCGCCGGTGTAGGCCTTTGTGTCGACGCTCTTGGGGCGGGATTCGGTCGGGCTGTCGTCGAAGATTACGATCTCGTCGACGGAGAAGACGGCGAGGGCGCGGGCGATGCGGCCAGCTACGGAGTTGCGGCGCTCGGCTGTGAGGGCACTGAAGAAGAGTCAATGTCTATACTACAAGTCATTGAATGGCATTCGTCAACATACTCTGCGAGAACACTGCTGGGAATGGCAATGGAGATTGTCCACTTGCGGCCGCTACCGCCTTCTGACGGGAACGAAGCGTCGACATAGCTGTCGTCGTCAGTCTTTCTCCTCTACAACAGGTTAGTCAATGTCTGCAGACGTTCGTAATGGCAGCAGTACCTTTGCTCTTTGATCGTAGGCCATTTTGAAGGGAATTGGAGCGCAGGTACTTGTAGTAACTCTGGAAATGCCGTCTTGGAAAAGAATTCGGCACAATGTTAGCGGCGTCCCAAAAAAGTTTCTAGAAGATGGTCCCGCTATCGAGAATCCTGGGGTAAATCCGGCAGAACTGCGGAGTCGAGCCTGCCCGCCTTCCTATTCGGGTACCCGCCACCTTTCCGCTGGGACCAGGCCGCGAGCTATCCGTCAGCTACGCCGCGGTGTCTCCCAGACGGTCATTCCATCTTCTTTCACTTCGCAACACTTGCGCCAAGCTAAAGATCTTCCTCGTTGTTTTGTACCAAGTCATTGAAGCCATGAGTCTTATCAACATTCAGTCTGCCGGTCAATGGCAAGGCATCCTGAGTAGCAACAATGTCGTAATCGCAGACTGTAAGTGCACCTAGCAGCCGTCCCCCGCGCATCCGAGAGATCGCTGACAAACATGACGATAGTCTACGCCGACTGGTGCGGCCCTTGCAAGCAGATCGCACCGCACGTCGAACGCCTCGCGAAAGAACACTCCAAGCCGAACAAGGTCGCCTTCTGCAAGATCAATGTCGACAACCAGTCCACCATCGCCCGCACCCACGGCGTCAGCGCCATGCCCACCTTCATCATCTTCCACGGCGGCCAGGCGATCGAGACCATCAAGGGCGCGAACCCGCCCGCCCTCACACAAGCCATCCAGAATGCGTTGAAGCTTCCCGATAAGGGCGGTCGCTCTGCGGCCTCGTTCAAGACTCCCGGCCGGACGCTCGGCGGGGATAAGCCCGCACGCGCGAGCCTCCAGAGGCCGTTTGCGTGGCACTACCGCGGGATTCTCAGCAACATCATTACATTTATTGGGCTGTATCTGGTTTCGCTCTTCGCGGTAGGTTGGTTCACGGTTGATCCGAAGGGGAGCAAGAAAAACCGCCTGCTGACGGACTGGTAGATCGATCCCCACAAGGCGGCCGAGATGTCGCAATTTAACCGCGTGAACCCGCCCCCACCGACGGCCAAATCCACAAAGAGCGCTGGCCCAGGCGCGAGACAGCCGCCGAGGGGTCCTGCCTTCAAGACTCTCGCTGACCTAGGCGGCGATGAGTAGTCTGATATTTCCGGTTGCATTTGGCGTATGGCGTTAGCATGGGCAGTTGGGGAAGCATTCGCTTCGAAATGCAAGGAGCATGTTGAATGCGTCAATCCAAATCTTTTCTATACACCCAGCTGAACTTTGCCGCTGTTTTCTTTTTATGGCCAAACACCTTGGACCAGGGGCCGGAATAGCCTGTGCGATATCTACACCAACCCGACCACTCCGTTCCTAGCTTTAAGCGGTTCTATTGGTCTCCATTGCGTGCCTTTGGAAGTCAGCCTCGGCGTGGTTTACTCTCATTGGTTACCCGGGTATCATTCGTTGGCGAGGTAGCTGTGGTCGAGCATTCCAAAAAGGACATTTGAAATGGTATGAACACCGTAGGCAACCATTAAAGCCCTGCTTCCAGCCGTTTGTACCCCTCCCTTTTGTTGATACCTTCGTCTTTGCAGCGCCGTGCACGCCGGTTACAGAGATCATGCATATCCCAAGCCCCGGTACGTGTTCCATGCTTAAGCCTTGGAGACGTTGGAGCGTATGAGCTTTGAAGCGCTAGGCCGCGTACTCATGCGGGCAGCAGTAGCAACTGGCGCGCCCAACACACGGGAACTGTCCACCAAATGGACCGTAAATAGAGCCTCCGACTTCTGGCTTGTCTGCACCTTAGTAATCTGGGCATTGCCCCTTAGCAGATTGAACTTCCCCGCTCTAAATCGGAGCCCAACCACATCACCACCCTCGTCCCTTAATGGTCGACGATGAACTAAATTCTTCCCCCGTCTTCGAAGGCAACTCCTGGTCTGAAGGATACAACAGCTACAAGCACGAACTTCAACCGTTCGTCATAGCGGCGGAAGCACTGCTACATCGAGGGCGACCATGCGGCTTATCAACGTCCATACTGGGAGGTTGGAGGAATTTCACAGTGCCGTTCCCCCATACGCGATTCACTCGCACACTTGGGGTTTCGATAAGGAAGAGATCTCGTTCGAAGATATTCAGAGTGATGAGACAACAAAGCAGGGGCCTGGTTTACGGAAGCTCCAGGGCTGTTGCAAACAGGCTATACGCGATCGTCTGCAGTACGCCTGGGTCGACACTTGCTGTATCGACAAGAAGAACTCTACTGAACTTCACGAGGCTATTAACTCCATGTTTGAGTGGTATCGGAAAGCAGAGGTCTGATATGCTTACTTGCCAGATGTGTGCGTAAACATCGATGGCCAGGAAGCTTTCGAAACCAAGTTCAGAAGGAGCCGGTGGTTTGAACGGGGTTGGACTCTGCAAGAACTTCTAGCACCAAGGATGCTAGCCTTCTACGACCACCATTGGAATGCTTTAGGTACGAAGAAGGAGCTGGCGGATCAGATCCAGGATATCACAGGGATTCCAACGGAATATCTGGTGGGCAGACATAGACTCCAAGGGGCAAGCGTGGCACAAAGGATGTCGTGGGCTGCCACGAGAGAGACCAAAAAGGCGGAGGATATGGCATATTCTCTCATGGGCATATTCGACATCAATATGTCCATGATCTATGGCGAAGGAGGAGCAAAGGCTTTCGGCCGACTTCTGAAGGAAATCATGGTCAGGTCGGCAGACGATTCAACCCTTGCATGGGACCTCAACACCATCCCAACCGACATCAACGGTCTAACCGTCTCCGGAGATCGCCATGGTGGGGTTCACCCAGTAAGCCCGGCGGCATTTCGCTATAGCGGTGCCGTGGTAAGCTCCTGGTCAGCTCCTGAGCCAACAGTAGAAGGCTCGGGCGTTCTACACGGCAACTTAACCATCCGTGTTCCGCCCATGACAACATCGAGTGGGGATACATACGGCTTACTTAATTGCTCCATTTCGAATCGACCGGAAACTTTCATTGGTATTCCTCTGTGTCGCATTCCTCACGGGTTGTCGAACGCCGAATTTGTGAGACCAGCTGGAAGTGAGGCAGTCGCCATTCCAGCTCCTAGACGGACGTTAGACCACCAATCCATACGTGTATTCGAGTCGCAGAATCTGGATGACTGCAGACGGATGGACCGACAATATGGGTTCTTCATTGAGATGGCTCCCGGATTGGGAATATTGGAGGTCTACCCAAGCGATCGATGGGAACGAGAAAGATCCTATATCCTCTCTGGCAACATTGGCTTTCGACACAGAAATATACAGCGTACATGGGTTAGATTTCGTGATACTGAACGCAGTACAAAAGACTTCTTTATTGCGCTGAACATCGAAAACAAGGAGACCAAGTCGGAAGCTCGATGCCATGTTTTGGTCGCATCCAGAGATACAACATTGCGCGCGATAGCCCTTGAGTCTCCAGGGCTGACTTTCAACATCTTTGGGAAAACCATGGCCTCAAACGGGTTTTACAGACTCACGGCTAACGTAACCGAAAAGCAGCAAGGCCAGCAGGTTTATTTTGTCATGAAGCTAAAACCTTCTGACAAGTCGCCGCAGTCGACTATTAACATATCCGCGGCGCTAGAAAGCCTTCGAGAGTCATCAAGTAGTCGTTGCTTGGGGCAGGACCTTCTCGGGCTTGGAGTGGCAAACTCAATTGGTCGCGCCAAAGGGGAAGTTGACAACAAAGGGAGACGACTCCGAGCACTCCAACTGCAAATTTCGGAGCTGAAAGAGGAAGAGCGGAAGTTGTCAGATCAACTGAGGATAGAAAAGGAGGATCTGAAAGTTCTACTAGGAGACAATTCCGAACTATGAAAGGACGCCATGTCAGTGTCTCAAGTCTTGTTCCGAAATCCAAGAGCACTGATTTCTGAGAAAGTGTGCTGAACTTTGAAGACAGACAGGGCCGGGAGATTTTGAGGAACATTGTGATCATTGCTACCTAATGAGCAGCAACTTTACACTGATCGAACAGCTTGTTCAACAGGATAGGCTTGACGTCACTACTGGAAGCGGCCTCCCGGGGCTTCACGGCGGTTAATGCTATACGACTACTTTTAGACTCTGGCGCAGACCTGGAGGCGAGAGACGACAAGCATCGTACCCCGCTGGCCTAGGCAGTTTGGTCAAATCAGCGCCAGAGCATCGAGTTGCTGCTGGCGCGCGGAGTGAATGTAGACGCATAGATAAGCGATGGCTCTACTTCCTTGGACCTGGCCAATTACCACGGTCACTCATACGCTGCCCAAGTTCTGCTCGAGATTGGCGGTAGCTCTTGGAGACCAATTCTCGATCTTGGATCAGAGCCATTCTCGTCAGCGTGATTCCAGAGATCGCCAGGCTGGCAATGGAACGACATCACCACCAGTAAAGGGCCAGGCAAGAACCAGCCGCCGAGCAGTCCGGCTTCGATGAACTTGATGGACTTGGGAGACGACACTTGACTCGATTGACTATGGGCGAACGGGGACCCGGGAGATCTCTTCGAGGGCATAAGTTAGATTACAAAATTCGATCGACTAAGCACCCTTACATTGATTACAACGACTACAATATGCGAATGCAATGTTTGACTTGAGCCAAGAATGACTTGCGGTCTTGCCGCCGCGATTTATTCATGCAAAACGATATAACAGGCGTGGGCAGCGTCAACACCAATTGAGTCTCGTCAGAAGGTGAGCATCAGCCTATCAAGACTACGACTTGCTTGCTATCATTAGTACCCGGTCCCAGGTGTATCGCGTTGCCAAAATTACACCCAGGCGCTTATTCGGGCTGCGGCTGCCTTCAGATAACGTGGGGCTGACGAATAGAATGAATGTACGTCGATGGGGCTTACAATTCTTACCCCTCCACCCGGGATCGTGGCTGCCTGCTACGGCCTACTTCAATTCCCTTCCCTTCCGTTAACCTTTACCAGGCCTGATTGAAGGTAAGCACAGGTGCATTTCTTGTCGATTTCATCCATCTTCTGCATCCTACATTACACAACCTGTTCTGCTGTCTGATATCCCGATTCGCACCGCTCCTAGGTCACCAAAGGGGTTGACCCGACAACCTCCGTCGACTTCGTCCTGTCAGCCCAGCAAGCTGCTCTGGTCTATGTTAGATTGCCACCGGCATCCATGCATCTCATCAACGTTCGGACACGGTTGTTGGAAGAGTTCCATGCAAATATACCAAAATACGCCATCTTATCGCATACCTGGGGAACTGATGAAGAAGAGATATCTTTCCGCGACATCAAATCAGGCTTCATATCTAAGCCGGGACTCGGAACAGTCAAGTTCGATGGCTGCTTGCGGCAAGCCAAAGCCGACGGGCTCAGCTATGTATGGATCGATACTTGCTGTATTGACAAAACCAACGCCAATGAGTTGGGCGAGGCGATCAATTCCATGTTCCGATGGTATCAAGCAGCCAAAACTTGTTATGCTTTCCTCCAAGATGTGCCCTCGAAGGACGAGTCCGCGTGGAAGACAAGATTCCGCAAAAGCCGCTGGTTCACGAGGGGGTGGACCCTGCAAGAGCTTCTAGCTCCCAGCGAGCTAATGTTTTACAGCAGCGACTGGCGAGCCTTGGGGACAAAACTGCAATTATCAAGCGTCGTGGGAGGGATAACAGGCATACCGGCCCAGTTCTTATTAGGTGCCTCCAACCTACGCGAAGCAAGTGTAGCGCAACGCATGTCTTGGGCTTCTCGTCGGCAGACCAAGCGGGTGGAAGACATCGCCTATTCCCTTCTGGGGATTTTCAATGTCATGATACCAATGATCTATGGTGAGGGCACCCAAGCCTTCATACGGCTCCAGCAGGAGATTATCAATGCCACCACGGACGACTCAATCTTGGCTTGGGACCTGAGCTCCAAAGTCGTAACCTTCGACCCTCAGAGCCGCCCGAGGAATTTAACTGGGGGCATCCTGGCGATAAGCCCTGCGGCTTTTGCAGAGTGTGGAAAAATTACGTCTGGGGAACATCGTACTCCGACGATAGAGCAGGGTATTTCACGGGGCTACCTCAAACTGCAACTACCTCTGTACTCTGGTCCTTTGGGAGAGACTTACGGCCTTCTCAATTGTTCTTTTGAGGACGAAGATGGGGAAAAAGTTGTGGGGATTCCCCTTTCACGTGTTGCGCCTGGAGATGCGCATGATGAATACATCAGACCAAGAGATCGCAAAGCCACTCCGTTGCCAGACATTGTGCCTGGGACTCCAGCATCTTCCATACAGACTCTGGCTCTGATTGGCCACGATGAAGCTCGAGCAAAGGACTGCCAATATGGATTCTCGATTGAAAACACGCTTGTCAAGGGCCTGGAGCTGATCGATGTGTGGCCTGCTGATTACTGGGACGAGAAAAACGCTTTCATCTACACTGGTCTGGACTTTCATCAAGCCACGACGCAGCGAACTTGGGCTAGATTCAGACGCTCTAAGCCTGGGTTTGATGACTTCATCCTTGCACTGGAGCTCGAGTCAACCAAAACCAGCTCGCTGGCCCGGTGCCACGTCATGGTCGCATCGAAAGAGACGAGTCTAAATCGAGTCGTAGGCGCCCCTCTTGCGGCCGAGTACACATTTGGAAAGTCGAGTGCTTACAATGGTTCCATGAGTATCCAAACAAAACTGAGCCAGAAACAACGTGGAGCACATCTGATATACAATGTGAAGCTAACATCTCGGACTAGTCCGCCAAAGGACACCGTCAATCTGACTTCGGAGATCGAGCTTCTCGACCACAATATGAACGTTCAAAGTATATTCCAGGAGAGCCAAGAAATCACACCCCAGCTCAACTCCTTGAATCGCACTATGGAGACCGAGTCAGCCCGACTCGACGCCGCGAAAACCCGACTCGACGATGTGCAGCGGCAGCTTGATCAGCTAGAGGCAGAGAAGAAAATGCTCGTGAAGAAAAAGGAAAGAAGTGCCAAAAAGCTAGAGTCGTCATCTCTAGAGAAGGAGAACTTCGCTTCAAGGGAGAAGAAACTGCTTGAAACACTTTCTATAGCGCAAAAGGTTCAGTCCGCCAGCGGAGAGAACAGAGCGTCCAAATGGCAGGACTCCATCGTGACCTATCTATCCACAGACCTCTTCAAAGCTAAGACAAAGGACAAGGCGGCATACAACACAGAAGGCATTCAATCTATGGAAAACGTATTGCAAAAGACATTTCTACAAGCAGTCGTCAAGGGAAACATAGCTGCCATGCAGTTTCTGAAGGACTCTCTTCCAAGCCTCGACTTCAATGATTCCGAAGGGCGTGGCGCCCTAGGATGGGCGATTGTCCAACAGGACTTATCAGCCGTTACTTGGCTGTTAGACAATGGCTTAAGCGTCGACACAAACGATGGCGACGACAAGACACCTCTAAGTTGGGCGTGTTCAGAAAGCTTCCTGCTAGGTGTTCGGCTGTTACTTAGTCGAGGTGCACAAACCGAAGACATGGACCCGGATGGTTGGAGGCCTTTACATATTGCCGTGAGCCACGACGATCTTTCGCTTACACGGTGGCTATTAGATCATGGGGCAGATATCCAAGGCAAATCGAAACACGGTTCAACGGCATTCGAGCTTGCAGTCTCAGAAAAGTCCATCTCCATGGTAAATTTGCTCCTTGACCGGGGGGCAGATCTCGAAGAACAAAACTCGCTTGGCGCAACTGCTCTGTGTGGAGCTGCCAAGCACGACCATAGTCATGACAGTGCTCTCCTACGAGCCTTGATAGATCGTGGAGCCAAGATCAAAGCAACTAGCAAGAAGGGATGGACTCCCTTGCATTTCGCAGCACGATATGGAGTTACCGAGGCTGTGGAATTGCTCCTAAAACAAGGAGCCGACACCACAGCCAAGACCTTGAGAGGTTCTATTCCGTTGAAATTCGCAACCCAAGCAGGCAACAAAAAGACAGCCGAAGCCCTGATCAAGCAAAACGCCAAAGTAGACTGCAAGGACTCGGACGGCATGACTGCCCTCGCTTTAGCGGCGCAAGGTGGACACGCAAGCCTGGTCGCGTTGCTCGTCGAGGGGGGTGCCAGGGTCGACCAGAAAGACGATACAAACGGCCGGACAGCGTTGCATTGGGCCGTTTTGAAAGACCAAACATCTGCCATTAAGGAGCTCCTGAAGAGAGGCGCCGATATCGAGGCTACCTCGAAAGCCGGACACACTGCAATTTTCTTCGCCATCCGCAACGGCCTAGAGGCGTCTTTCAAGCTTCTCCTCAAAAAAGGCGCAAGCCTTAACGTTGAAGGTCCCAAAGGGAAAAGTCCTCTGTCATATGCCCGGAGTAGTGCTAAGAAAGATGAGGAAGTTGGGAGCTCACCGGCGATGAAGGAAATCATAAAGTATCTAGAGAAAGCTGAGAAGCAGACCAGGGAAAAGGATGGAGCCAAAATGGCAGAATCATGATGTTTCTAGCAATCAAACTTAATAAATGTAACGAGAAAGTAACTACCTACCTAGTATCTCGACACGCTTACTTGGTCTTTTGACAGAAACACATGTTTACTCCTTAGAACGAATAATCTTCCTCTATAAAGTAGCGTTGACAACCAACCACAAGTTTACACACGTATAATACACATCAAGTAAATCGATTAACGACGGAAATACTAAATTTTCGTTGCTTGAAATCACTATATCGAGTTGAGCGCGTGCTTGGGGCACATTGCGCGTATTGTCATAGTTTATTGCGTACCGTATTGTGTGATTTCCCTTGAAAGTGATCCCGTTGAGGTTGATCTTTTGCGGCTGTAAAGCTGGAAAAAAACCACCACATAGCAAAGGAAGCAGGTCTACCCGTCAAGTCAATCTAATATAAGCCTGTTGCTTCCAGGCCTTTCTCCGCGTGACAGACTTCTTTCAGAAGATCTGCCCGCGGTACTAAGGACTAGGTCTTGACCTAGGCCCGACTAACGAATTTCTCCTCCTAGAGGGACAGACGGTAACAACGGAGCTAGGGAACCAGCGGGAACTAGGGACGGATAGAACAGACAGTAGCCCACGGGCAAGATTTGGAGGACGTTAGGAAGAGGCGTGTACTATAGAGTATATAGCTCGAGCCTACGGCCCTCCACGCCATATACCCCTCGGGAGGTCGGCCGCAAGGGCGGCAGCGCCTTTGCCGCCACGGCGTTAAATACAACAACAACAACAACAACATGTATTCGATGACCCACAGCCTTCGAAGAGAAAAGACTGGGACTTGAATTGAAGGTAGCCAGTCATCCAGAATACTACGGAGCAGATGAAGAAGAAACTTACGAGGTAGACTGCAGTTGCCAATTTTCATGGCGGAGGAGCCAATGAGGATCAAAGTTCTCCGGCATGCACCAAGTCACCGTCACGCTTCTTTAACTTCATTTCTGCATTTGCTGCAGATTGAGATCTTGAAGACCTGAGGTTGCTTGAGTCAATGTCACGGTTGATAGATCACACTGTTGGTGTTGAAGCCAATCGGAAGTGTTTCATTTCCAACAGGTGGGGCATCGATCTTTGAGCTACCCAAATTTCAATGATCCATGCGACAGCTCCTAAAAGTTCATGGGCGACTTTTTTCTTCGACAACTTCGCGTTGCCACCAATCCACACACAAGAGGCAATCATGTTGACAGCAGGCTGTATTCGGAATGCCTGTCCCAGCTGTCGAGCTCGATTGTTGAGCTTGACAGGAACTGCACTCGCTAGTTCATCACCCACCGGCCGACAGCCTCGATTGAGCTTCTCGCGACAGAGCAGCCTAGCTTCGACACGATCATTAGACCGACGTGCAAGCATCCGCAGACCTTTTTCGACCACATCACGAGTTTTACAAGATCCCGAGTCCAACAGTAACAATGCCGAATCACTCGCGCGCACCGCCGAAATCGAGAAGACGGTTCGAGAGGCAAGGCAGCGCTTCCGAGATACACTGCCCAAGGGTTACCTCAGCGAGGAGGAATACACACTGTACGAGCGTTGGTATGGGCCGCCTCTGCGCGAGACATCCCCCGAGGATGTAGGAATACAATACTTGAATGACGAGCAACCGGGAGTTCGACGACACAAGTCGGGTGGCCCAACCCTGCTGCGCCAGGTCCAGGGCGGCACGCTACAAGAGGTGCAGTACGCTCGCAAGAAGGCGGAAGAGGCAGCGGAAAATAACAACGAACCGGTATCCGAGAAGAGCGAGGACTCTACTGCTGCTGCTACTGCTGCTGCTGCTGAAGAAACCAAAGAGGCTGAGCCGACCGAGGAGGCCCCGCCAGAGGATAGCGACAAATACATCAACATGGTGGCGAGAAACAAGAGGGAGTACGACGCGCTCAGGATGCTGCAAAAAGATTTCGAGGCCAATGCCCGCGCTGTGGAGGAGGAAAACAGGGAGATGCTGGAGGAGGACGAACTGCGGGACGAGGAGCGGGAGTTCGAAGAGGACGAGGAAGAAGAAGAATTCGACGAGAGTCAGGATGGCATCCAAGACCAGGGAACATCTAAGCGCCCAGGACGTCTGCACCCTTTCTCGAGGGAGGGCCATTTCTCCACGAACCCGAGCACAGTCAGCCTGCCGTACGCCGGATACATTGGGCCGGTGACATCAATTCTCGACAGAACAGACATCAAGCACGTCAAGGAGGCTGCCGAGAAGGCATTTGGAGGACCTGGTCTACCGCACTCTCCTGCCACCCCGGCGTCCAAGATGGGCATGGAACAACAGGCCATCGGCATGGCTGTCTGGCAGAACAAAATGTCCGACATTGAGGCGGACGCTTTCGTGTCTGCTTTCCTGCCACCTGCCTATGCCTCGGCTATGGGAAGCTTGGTCGAGGTCCGCAAGCGCCTGGGCACGGACTGGCTGCGCAACCTGTTCAACAACGGCAGCGGGCCTCGTGTTCTTGATGTTGGCGCGGGTGGTGCTGGTCTCTTGGCCTGGCAGGATGTGTCGCGCGCTGAGTGGGACGCCATGAAGTCTCGCGAAGAGGTCACTAGAAAGAACCCTCCCGGAAAGCAGAGCGTGGTTGTGGGATCGGAAAAGCTGCGGACCCGTGTCACCAGATTCTTGCAGAACACAACTTTCCTCCCCCGTCTTCCCGACTATCACCACTCAGTTGAGACAGCGCATCTTGACCTGGATGCCAACGAAAAACCCCAGCCGAGGAAGATGTTTGATATCATCATCGCATCTCACCTGATGCTTCCCGTGAAGGAAGGCCATAGACGCAAGGCTATCCTCAACAACATCTGGTCACTCCTGAATCCCAACGGCGGTGTCTTGATCGTGCTGGAAAAGGGACAGCCCCGCGGTTTCGAAGCCGTGGCTGAGGTTCGAGAGCGTCTGCTTACTGAGTTCCTCATCCCGCCAGGAGGCGAGGACCTTACGAATAGCGAAGAGAAGAACCCAGCGTTTGAGAGAGAAAAGGAACCCGGCATGATCATTGCGCCCTGCACAAACCACCGCGGGTGCCCGATGTACCAGGTTCCCGGAAAGAGTACTGGACGCAAGGATTTCTGTCACTTCAGCCAGCGTTTTGTTCGCCCGCCATTCCTACAGAGAATCATGGGCGCGACACACCGCAACCACGACGATGTGCAATTCAGTTACATCGCCATCCAGCGCGGTGTCGCAGCAAAGGAGGGACCGCTCGCCGGCGCAGAAGCTGCCGACAGGGCGTTTGAGGGCTTCGAGACATCAGAGACGGCACCCGACATGCTCTCCCTGCCCCGTCAGATCCTCCCGCCCATCAAGCGCCGCGGTCACGTCACGCTCGATGTGTGCACACCCAACGCGCAGATTGAGCGCTGGACGGTGCCCAAGAGCTTCAGCAAGCAGGCGTACCACGATGCGCGCAAGGCCAAGTGGGGTGACCTCTGGGCGCTGGGCGCGAAGACGCGCAACCGTCGCAACGTGCGTCTGGGCAGGCCCGAGGTCCTTGACGACGGCGGTCTTCGAGCCCAGCGCCAAAAGGCGGCTGCTAGCAAGAAGAAGAAGGTGATTGGTGTCGATATCAACGAGTCGGGTGTTGTTGGCGGCTCGGATGAGGGCAGGACGCCTGGGCCGCAGCGCAAGACGAGCAGGAAGGCTGCTCGCCAGCAGCTGCTGAAGAGTCTCGCCAAGGCGGACGAGGAGTAAGTGTAAGCTTCAGGTGTAGTAATAGGACTGTGTACAACAATGTGTGGGAAAAGTATTGTATCAACACCACGAAAACTGAATAGATCTTGGATGGGCGGGAATGGAGGCATATCACGGTCTGCCTCGCCTTAGGTTAGTAGGCACACAGCTCAGAGGATGAGCCAACTACATCATGTTACAATACCACAACTCAATGATTGACAACTCTTTTGTAAGACCAAGCATGATGAGTACAATGCTATCTGATGTCTAAACCAAAAGTGGCGGAACCTGGGTTTTGACAACCGGAGATGCATCGGCGAGCACGGGTCGAAGGAGGGACGGTAACTGAAGGATCTCCGGCGACGGCTCCGCGGGAGTCGGTGATGGTGCCGCTGATTGGTCACGCCATCGCCTTGGGCTTTCAGGGTGTTTTTGCGGTGGTCACGGTGCGGGTGGTGCGCCGATAAGGGAATTGGGGTCACTGGGGCGGACGGCTGTCGGGATGGTGTCATCGCCAGCGAATGAAAATTTGGCCAACCAACGTTTTTTGCCCGCCGCATGATTGGGTCCCACGGCGCCCCGGCCGTCTTCGGGCTTTGGCAGATTACCTTATTAGTTAGCTTCACTCAAATCTTGGGGGAGCACAATGAGTGAGTAATTCATATCAATGCTTTATTTCTCTAGTTGATCGTAGAATTGTGAGAGTTTCCTGATTCTCCGTCTTGATCTCTGCTCATTCTCGACTCATTCTGTCTTACTTGGACTGATGGTTCTGCGACTACACACTCTCTGTCGCATACTCCACTTAGACGACTCTCACTGAACCATCACGACAGACGGGGGTCGTGTACTTGAACTCAGCAGAGGAGCAAGAAGAAGAAAAAAAAGAAGACTCATCGTCTTCACTCCCACAGCCCAAGATGGCGACAACAACATCCCTCCTCACATCCCTCAACTGCAAGGGCAACACCCACCTCATCATCGGCACAAATCCCCTCGCAGCAGCCCGCTGCACACAAACCATCAACGCCGGCGCAACCCCGATCCTCATCGCCCCAGAGACACAAGACCTCCACTACGGCCTCCAGAAGCGCATCGACGCCGGCGAGGTAACATGGCACAAGAAACCATTCGCCGATACAGACCTCTTCACTCTAGGCCGCGACGAGGTCGATGACGTCGTTGACGCCGTCTTCGTCACATCATCCTCCACCCCGCAAGCAGCACACATCTCAGCCCTATGTAGGCGGCATCGCATCCCCGTCAACGTAGTCGACGCGCCGCATCTCTGCTCATTCTCACTTCTATCAACACACACCGATGGACCTCTACAAATCGGTGTAACGACGAACGGGCGCGGCTGCAAGCTCGCCTCCCGCATCCGGCGCGAAGTTGCCGCCGCGCTACCCCGAGACCTAGGCGCAGCTTGCGCAAGGTTAGGCGATGTCCGCCGGCGGATCCAGACGGAAGATCGTCTTGCAGCAGACGAAGTCGACGATTCGTTCGACCAGACGGCATCATTCAACAAGCTGGTCACAGAGGCCGGTCTCGACGCGGCGAAGAACCGGCGCATGAGGTGGCTGAGTCAGGTGTGCGAGTACTGGCCCCTGAAGCGTCTCGCCGCCATCAACGACGAGGACGTCGAGTCTGTACTGAAGTCATACTCTGGCTTCGGAAACCCATCCGAAGAGGCGAGACCATCACCTGTCATCGCGGCAGGTGGTAACGCACGCCCGCAGCAGCAGGGGAGAATCATCCTCGCCGGCAGCGGGCCCGGACACCCGGACCTCCTAACCCGCGCAACGCACAAGGCAATCCAAACAGCAGACTTCATCCTCGCAGACAAACTCGTCCCTGCAGGCGTGCTAGACCTCATCCCGCGCCGTACCCCCGTCAAAATCGCGCGCAAGTTCCCCGGAAACGCAGACCAAGCCCAAGAAGAACTCCACGAGCTTGCGCTCGCGGGCGCGAAGGAGGGAAAGACGGTGTTGCGGCTGAAGCAAGGCGATCCCTTCATCTACGGCCGCGGCGGGGAGGAAGTGGCGTATTTCAGGGAGCATGGGTTCGGGGACTGGGTGACGGTATTGCCTGGCATCACCTCGTCGCTGAGCGCGCCCTTGTTTGCGGGGATTCCGCCTACGCAGAGGGATGTGGCGGACCAGGTTCTTGTGTGTACGGGGACGGGGAAGAAGGGCAAGGCACCGACGCCGCCTGAGTTCATCCCCAGTCGGACGGTTGTGTTTTTGATGGCTTTGCATCGGATTACAGGGTTGGTTGGGGAGTTGACGACGTACCTCGATACGGAAGTTGCTGAGGGCGAAGGGGAGGAGAAGACTACGCCGAAGAGGGCGCTGTGGCCGAGGGATACGCCGTGTGCTGTGATTGAACGGGCGAGTTGTCCTGATCAGAGGGTGATTCGGACGACGTTGGGGTATGTTGCTGAGGCTATCGAGTCCGAGGGGAGCAGGCCGCCCGGGCTTCTTGTTGTGGGAAGAGCGTGTGAGGCGCTGTATGAGAAGGAGAAGGGGAGGGCGTGGGCTGTTGAGGATGGGTTCAAGGGATTTGACTTTGAGGAACTTCCTGGCTTGTCATGATATCTTCCATTCCTTCTTGACAGGGGGATTTCTCGATCCGCTCAAGGGGCTACGGCTTTTGAGTACGGAGTAACCTTATATCACGGGTTCATGTGCGTGAGGTTTAGATCAATGCCTCTGAGGGAAAAGGCAGCATCGCAAGGCGCAGACAAATTTAACAAGCGAATTCAGTTCAATCTAGAACCCCCGTTTAATGGCCACGAATTTAAGCAAATAAGACATGAAACCGAACGCCGCTCTCTTCAGTACTTGCGAGGTGACCTTTACAATGCCAGCCGATCCTGAACTGATTGTGGGCCCCCTTAAATCCAGACCTCAAACAGCCCCCTGAGCTCTCTGCAAATTGTCGTCTCAAGCACGATTGTGTTCCAAGGAAAGTTCAAAGAGGTGGCTAAGAAGCCATACTGCAGTATTCCATGTTAGCAACATTCCGACACGGGGACTCTCGCAGGAATTGAGGAAGCATTTACTTACCTGACACCAGCGCAACAGCGAAACGAACGACAATACCATGTGCGAATAATGTCGTGTGCGCACCTGGCTTATTCAGAGGCTCAAGTGCCGCCCCAATTTCGCCGTTGACCGCTTCATGCCCCAGGTCCCGGTATTCGCTTGGCGGCGGGGCTTGTGGCCAATCTTCGTTGATCCCCCTTTCTTTTCTCTGAAGCATGTCTTCTGAATTGCCTGCTTTCTCATCGAGTAACTGAAGAATGCGAGCTTTGTTCTCGAGGGACGACGGTTCAATGATCTGTCGTGGGCGTAGGCACGAATAATCTTTGTAGAGACTACTGAGGATGCAAGTACCGTACGGCAGGTAGCATTTGCCGTCCTCGTGTTTATCGTCAAACTTGGCAAATATTCGTCCATCAGGAAGTTCCTCGATCGATACCTGGAAATCAAGATCTGGATTGTGATAACAGCTCTTCAATAGCATGACCAACGTTGTTGTCTTCAAGGCTATGCGAATGGCGCAGCATAATCATCCAGAATAGCAACTCTGAAACTTTCAACCCGTCAATGGGTTTAGCATAACAACCTGAGTGTTCATTCAATTTCCAGGGAACAACTGTGTTTGGCGAAATGAGGTCGCGCTCAAGAAATGTCTTGATCAATTCACCTGTCCCACTGCAGATGCTACTGAGACGGGCCCTCTTAGCGGCCCAATAGCCGCGTTGCTTGGACATGTGCATTTCAGCAAGTGCAATTTGTACTAGCAACAATGCCTTGATCCTGCTGCCCTGAGTGGTTCTGGTATGCTCCATCGACCACAACATGTAGTTCAAATCCATGGATTTTCTACTATGCCATAAGGGTGGGGCCTCCCAAGCTTTCCATTCTTTGCCCTTAATTGGAGCCAGGCGAGGTGAAAGGCATATTCCACTCTCAGAAACGCACTTGCGACACTGGCAACAAGGGGCTTCTGCTTTGAGACATACTTCTTGAGGAGTTATCGCAGAATAGGGCATGGAGTAGTTTCTTTCCAGCCAGGAATCGATAGCATTCAAGTAATCGTAATGCTTTGTCTTTACGACAAAATTATCACAGATCTCCTCCCTGCGTAGTAGCATCGAAGTGATCGAACAAAAAAAATCTGTTTCTGATTTTTCCGTGGATTGAAGCAGAGCAGCCGGAATGTGGCATTCGATAACAGAACAGCGCCACCCGTTTGAAGGCTTCGTGTCAAGTTGGGGTGCTGACGCAGGGTGGAAGCTCTCAGAGGCCAACTGCAGTTAGGGGTAGAATGATGAATTACTGAAATCTGCTCCTCCCTCGACGTGTACTCCCTGCGCTGTATATATATATCTGAGCTGCTCCTTTGTTGCTTGGACTCCTTACTACCTCTAACTAGCCCCTATCCGGGAGGGCTCTGACACTTCGAAGGAGTCGAAATTCCCAAGACATGTATTCATTTCTGTTTTGGATGAAGCGTTGTTCAAAAATTCCTTGACTGAGCGATGTGCAAAATTGATTCCCATAGGCAACTCATTCTCAAGTTGAACAAGTCCTTTGCAAAACCCATTTACCCTCCTCCAGGAACGCTGCAACTCTTTGATCAACTGCAAGTCGTACTCCTTTTCTGATGAGTATCGACCGTCTTCCTGGTGCTAAAAGGCGGAGAAAAGTTCTGGATAGGGAATTCCCTGTGATTCCTCGATCATAGCCGCTCCCCATACTGTGATTGTCATAAGATCAGAACGATTGTCGGTCTGAGCTCGTAGCAACACAGCGAGGACTTGGTAGGCCCGTCTTTGATCTCTAGCCGTCAATGAGTGCAGTATGTGGGCAAACAAATCGTTGATCTCCTCAGGAAGCTGGTTGATTTGCTGTATCAGATTTTCCGGATCGTTCCCGTTCGCAATTTGTTCCCGAATGTCTTTGGCGACAACAGCAGTCCAGAAGAAGATACCCTGTGCTTTCTCAACAATAGCCTTGCTAATAGAAGCAAGGATATCGTCATCTTCAATCCCTTGCAACTTGCCACTGACATACAGAGCCATGTGCCGTTTGGTTAAGTCGTGCAGGCAGATTGTCTGCTGCGGCGGGGCCATCTCAGAGAATGCGTTCAGCGGACGGCTGGCAACACAAATCTTGACGTTCCCAGAACTGGGGGTAGACCAGCTGTAGAGTCGTTTTGTCAGATCGAGATGAGAACATTCTGTCATTTCTTGTAGCTCGTCCAGGCCGTCGACAAATAGAGAAAACCTGTAATGCCGACTCGGGCCGGTGTCTTGTAACAGTCTGTCAAGCCCCTGCAAGGCTTCAGAGGGAGAGATATGCATCCGTTCTCCATGCAGCCGAAGGGAGGTGTGCGCCTTTTCCCAGAGTGAAGAAAAAGCATGGGCTCTAAGCTCAGGATGAGCTGAGAGGACTTCATGGAGCAGTCCAAGATACAGGCCAGAAATGGACTTTTGTTGCTCGCTTCCAGAGTTCCAAAAGAAGAACTTGGCGCATATCAAAGTCTTATAGCCTAGTTATAGGATAATTAGAATATTGTTTGAATGACAGGGAAACTTTATGATCAAGCTGTGAAGAATAGCAACTTACCTGCCCAAGTTTCAAGCAGCTTTTGAGTCTCATGATTGCTGGCTACCATCTTCATCAAGGTCGACTTGCCAGCGCCAAGCTTAGCCGAGAAGTGAAATACCCCACTGCCTGAAGACAACCACTGTGTGAGCTGGTGTCGGATACCGCGACGCTCTTTGCAAGCCGAGAAGCATTGTGATGCCGGATTTTGTTCTGAGCGGAGGGCAACATCTCCAGCGATGTGCGGAGGCTTACCGCCGCCATCTACCGTGCATATCGCAGGCGCTTTCTCTTCCGCAGTAGTAGATGTCGTTCCTATGTTGGGATCTGCAACTTCGATGCTTCTGCTCTTTACTCTTCAATGAAGATTCCTTTTGCTGGCGATTCGGGCAGTCGGCATTACACCTCTCGTCAAGCTTGTCGGACAAAATCCACCTGAACGTCTTTTTATGTGCTTCGCAGACCATGTCATAATGATGGTACATAGTGTCGAATCGAAGGCCTTGAAGGATGGAAACCTGAGCCAAATGTTCAAGCCTTATTTCGGACACGCGAACAAGCTTCTCGACGTTTTCCTTTACAGAGTCGCTGAGACTGCAGAGGTGGACCCCGGCCCGTAATTTCTCGATGACGCTTTCAATCTCCTGAAGTCGAGCAGAATTATCTCTTGCGTCTCTGACTTAAAGGTTGAGTTCTGTGATGGTCTGCTGACTGAGGTGTTCAAAAAAGTCAGTGATATTAGATCTCATGTCTCTGGAAGGGTGAATGGACCTAGTCAAGTCGATGAGCTGCAATTGGATCCGGCTGCGGTACGAGGCGAGTCGAGCCTCCAATGCAAGCATATCCTCTCGGTAGAACGCCCTCTTCCAAATCGAATAGTAAGTTTGAAGAATGGAAGACGTGTCTTGAGGCCGTATCCTCTCGATTAGCGTAAGAATCTTGCCCGCCGCTATGTCGCATTCGTTTGCCAAGTCGCAGAGATCTTGTTCGCTGTCAGCGAGGCTCCTGGGACCTTTGACTTGGAGTCTGTCCGAGAAATCGTGCATTTCTTTGGCAGCTTTCTCTAGGCTCTTGGTTTCTTCATCGAGGCCCGATGGCGATTTGTAGATTTTTTGGCTTCTCTAAGGCTTTTGACGCCAACATCTATAAAGGCCAAGATGTTTGCCGCCAGCCCGAAGCCTGTCACCGGATCCATCTAAGATCTCTGATTGCGGGTGGCAACTCGCAAAGTTATGATGATAATATGCCAACCAAATGATCTAGCTGTAATGATTTCTTGGAAATGGGCCTGTAGGAGGGACATCTGTCTAGGTTTATATTCACTTTTGTGATTGCATGTAGTTGTCGCGGAACCGTGGCAGTCCTAAGTTGACATCGGTCAGTATCCGCGCAGAGTCATGGCTTAGGCCATATCTCTGGGCACAATTGTGAGATAGCACAGAGACGTAGCAAACAAAATCGTCGATTCCTTTGACAGTATAGTGAATGACGAGAGTTTTAGATAGTTGATCGTACAGTACTTTGTTGAAGAAGATGAGAAGCTTTGAAAAATGCTCGCGCTCGGTGGTAACTCCAATTGGGCAGCAGAAACTCAAGCTATAGGTTACGTCGCTTCAGATGTATGACTGGCTTTCCATCACAATCAACCATCAAGTGTCATCTTATTTACGACCGTGTACTATGGATGATCATTTTTCGCGAAGATTCCAGTCTGAGTAAGTTTGATGAGCTGAAAAGTAGTCCACATTACGAGGTGGTTGGAATCCTACCTTGCGGTGTGTTGACCATCGACCCAGAGCATTGACAATCTTACCACGTCAGGTTTCAAAAGCTTCGGGATTGGCTGGCAATATGACTTTCCTGCTACTGGATTCTTCCGTCAATTCACTGCAACGCTGCGATTGCGCTGGTGATGTGAACTGCTCTCTGACTGGCCAAGAAATGATCGAATCGACAAGAAGACGACCTGCTAGTCTCATCACACCGCGGTAAAAAAGGCTTCCGTGCAGTCGATCAGCCTTGATTTAGTGGATCGCGTTCCTCTCAGAGTTTAGTGATGGAGTTTTAGTCTGGCCTAGCTCAGGAATCTAAGCCACCGCAGACCCCTGCACCGTTGGATCGGACATTAAACACTCGGCTGTGTCGGCGGCGTCGACCCCGTTCACAATCTCGCTGGGAACAGATTAATGTCTCTCTGGCCACCCCCCGACTTATCGACCCCGTGTCCGTACGCCAATTCAACTCTTTTCACCCCGTGTCCGTAGCGATGCTGCTTCGTCCACGACCGTTTGGCTAACCACACCGAGGACCTCCGAACCGCCTAGCCCCCTTCCCTTCCCTCCTCCGCGTTGCGCCGCCGCCGCCGCCCCTCCGTCAGCACGTATCCCATTGTGTGTCTGCGTCATGGAGTCTCGCCAACGCAGTCCAACCCCGCTTTTGAAGACGTGTCGCACATGCGCCCACGCCAAAATCAAGTGCGATCGTTCACAGGACTCCAACGTCTGCGATAGATGTCTCCGGCTGGGCAAAGAGTGCACATATGCTGTGGCCCGCGGGAGGAAGCCGCCCGGGCCGCGTTCCAGGTAGTTCTCACAAGTTTCCTTGTCCAATGTCGGGCGGTTGCCGTCAAGAACTGACGCGAGAGACGGCACAAAAGGACCAACAAGCTGCTGCAGGTCCCGGAGAGGCCGGCCCAACCTGCCCAACCCGTGACCGAAAGTCCTTCCGGCTCTGAAAGCCTTACGCCCGATCAAAGCCGGACCCCTCCGCAACCTGCTGCCTCATCTGGTATTTCATCCACCCAACAGCCCCGAACCGGTGATGCCGGTCCAGCCGGTCCAAGCCTTGGCAGCGGCGCTGATGACCCGTTCGAGGCCGGCCAACTTTCTATCGACAAAGGACAGAAGCTCCTCGAGAGGTTTCGTACCAGGTTGACGCCTCACTTTCCATTCATCATCATCCCAGCATCAGAAAATGTGAACTCTTTGAGACAGTTAAGGCCAGCCCTGTTGCTTGGCCTTCTCGCTGTTTCGTCATACGATGATGTCCGGCTGCAGCGAGCGCTGGGTCAGATGTTCAACGACCTCATCGCGGCCCGTTTGGTGAGGGGTGACTTTGCCTGTCTCGACGTACTCCAGGGCCTCCTCGTCCATCTCGCCTGGTAATGCGAAACTGCACTAGCCCTCCCTCCATGTCCCTGGCACTAACCTCGTCCCAGGGCCCACTTCCAACCAAGGCCGAAGAGATACTCACAGCATCTTCATCTAGCTACGAGCATAGTGTCTGATCTGCGTTTCGATAGGCCAAAGAATCCAAAGCGCTGGAATGTTGAAGGGATGAGCACTTCACAAGACTATGTCGATTCTTTGGACGAACGTAGAACGTTCCTTGGGACGTATTATCTCTCTTCCTGGTATGTCTGCCAAGTCACCAATTCCCACAAGCTCCTACATTGGGCTAATATTCGTATTCTCATAGCACAAGTATCGTGCTCCAGAAGCTTCGCATAGTCACCCTTTCCAGTTACATCACCGAAACTGCCGAAAGACTAGCGGAGATCTCTGAGTACCCCACTGATCAGTACCTCCCGTACATCATTAGCCTACAACGGCTAGCAGAAGACATTGATGACATCGTGAAGAACGAGTCGACGCTGGATCCTATGCAGATTCAAGCTGCAGTGTCAGAAGCCAAGGAAAGGGTCGACGCGTTCAAGGAAGGGTTGACCTTCGCTCTCGGCGATTGTCGTGAGTAGATTGCCCGTACCTTTCAGTCTGAGTAGGCAACTAATCATTCCTCATAGCAATCTTGGTACCTCAGTTGCACACAATTCAGCTCTGCCTGAATCAGCTGTCTCTGCCAGAGACGCCTTTCGGTCTCATCAACCCGCAAAATGCCCCAATGCAGCGGTTCATCGCAGGTTTGTCCGAGAGCATAGTATCGGCCAAATCTCTCGTCAGTGTCCTCCTCCATACGCCTCATGGACAAGAGGTCTACTTTCCAAACATAGTCTGGGTAATGCTGCATTGTGGCTTCACTCTAGCTGCTCGGCTGGATCTTCTAGCTGCAGATCCCAGGGTAGGGTTCATGGCGGAGCACCTCAGGCAGTTTGCAGACATTGGACACACTATCCGCCAGGTCGTGCTAAGGCTCGACGCTGCGAGTTCACCAGAACTTGACGACAGAGGCGACCGCGACAGTTTCTATCACTTTGCGATTCGGGCAAAACGTGTCGAGAAGTTTTACCTACAGGCACAAAGTCAGGCTACTGCTGCCCAACAACAAGAAATATCGCCCCATATTATCCACGCCAGCCTGCCAGGGTCTACTGCAGGATTTACGACGATGGGCACACCAAGCTCCGATTTTTCGAACCAAAATCCAAGCCTGGATTACACAGTCGCGTCCTCCATATTCTCGCAGAATATGGTGCCGTCGGGCGGAAACGTCGCGTACCCGGACTTTTCTATGGCCAACACGGCGACACTGGTCTCAAACCCCGATTTCGTCATGGATACCCTCTCCTTCTTACCAGAATCTTTCATTCCTTTCAGAGGTTGGGGCAGCGGTATGGGCAGCGAGCACAGTGGCGGAGCGCAGTTTTAGTGCAATCCTTTTGAAAATGAGAGGGAGCAGCAGCAATTTAATGGTTTTAAGTGACGATTACGGCGGGGTCGGACACGGACTCGGATACGGACTTTGAACATTCTACCTCTACGTAGTATTGGCAACCGGAATTATTGTCTGCCGAAGCGAGCAACGTTTTTTGCAGGCGGGAGAAAACTAGTGTCAATCCACGTGATTATCAATAGAGGATCGGTGTATCTTCAGTTGTTGCTTTAACAATACTGCCTGAACTCGGTAGGCTAGAGAAGTGCTGCGTGCGTGGCCTCCGTGTCCGTAGTTGGGTAGGCTGCCTACTTACTTACTGCCACACGGACAGCGAGTCGTCATCGAGAGGCATTGAGAAATGGTATATAACACAGTCAAAGTCCGTAGTGAAGATGAAGAATAGAATTCAGTATCGCCATCTCATATCGGAAACCCTTCTTGCTTCAAATCATACATCTCCTGATACATCACTAGAATTAATCCATCATGCGCCAAAACCTGCTATCAGTTCCTTCAGCAGTAGCTTCCCTGTCTCTGATTCCGGGAATTCTTGCAGCAAACCCTGTATACCAGCCATGCCCCCTCTTGAGAGCTTACTATCCTATGCCGACCATCGACAAGAACGCTGAAGCTGTCAAATCGTTCACCAAAGACTTTACCACGCTGTTTGATCAGCTTGTAAAAGCGGGCGGGTCCGAAGACTTTGGTGAGATCACACCTAATACCACTTCCTTTTCAGTGGTCTTGTTCTCGGGCACAGATGAGGCCGAAGAAGATCCCGTGTTCTTTGAGTATCATTACACAGCCCCCGAAGCCCCGCAGAACTCGACTCTGCATTCCAACACGGTCTTTCCCCTAGGCACTCTTACTCAGCTCTTCACCGTCTACGCATGGCTCGTGGAGGTTGGGGATGAGCAATGGGGGAAGTCCATCACGGAATATCTGCCAGAGCTCAGAGATGTTACCACGGATGGAATGAGAGTCAAATGGGACGATATAACTGTTGGGTCACTGGCAGGTCACCTGTCCGGACTGGCGAGAGAATGTGAGTTTGAGAATGATGTACTCTGGCGCGTTTAGAGGCTAAGTACTTCTCCTCAGCTTATGCTTGTGTTCTGGGCAAATCTTGCGGTCGTAATGAGTTCATTGAGAAGTTCAGCAATGAACCACCCCTTTTCCTACCTGACACTACGCCCATTATCTCAAACGCTGCATTCCAGCTATTAGCCCTGGCACTGGAGGCAAACAAAGCTGAAGGTAGCGGGAACACGGTATTCGACATCATTCTCGCGGCTAGTGTACTTGAACCCCTAAATATGACGAACAGCGGTCTTTTGTCATCAATAAAAGATGCCAAGGTGTTTGCTCGGGATCTAAACGTCTCAGCTATCGGAGAACCAGCGTAAGTGTCTCTTTTTGTGTCTTACTCGCTCAAGACTAATTTTTGGCAGCGCTCTCTCGATGCTTTCCACCACCTCGGATCTTGCACGCGCTGGCCACGCCATGCTCAGCTCTCGTCTAATATCACCTGTCGCCACTCGTCGTTGGCTGCAGCCGGTGGCCGACACATCAAACATTCGCAATGGCGTCGGCCGGCCGTGGGAAATCTACCACGCTGGTCAATATGCCAATAGTTCCATCCTGGATGTCTTCACCAAGACTGGTCTGATAGGACACTACGCCAGCTATTTTGGCTTAGCCCCTGACTTCAATGCCGGCTTTGCCATCCTCGCGCACGACACCGAGGCAGCCCGCGGTCCGGATCTGAATGTCTACGCTGACATCATCTCGCTTGCTGTCGTACAGCTACAAAAATTCGCTGCAGCTGAGATGGCGGCGCGTTATGTCGGCACTTTCGATGGTCTGGGAGGACTTGCCACTTTCAACACTTCGCGCGACGGGCCTGGGTTACTTGTTTCGACCTTAAAGGCTGGAGAGGCTGATCTCCGTGCTCAGATTGCTGAAGTTGCGGGCATCAAGCTGGAGAACCTGGACTTCCGTTTGTATCCGAGTAACGTCGGTACCAAGACTCAACACCAATTTGGGGCGGTCTTTCAGGACAAGAGTGCACCAGTCGACATGGGCACGCCGACTTGCATTACTTGGCAAGACGTTGACTCCCTGGGGTCAAGTGTGGACGTCCGATTGGTTTTCACTATTGACGCATCTGGCAGGGCTGCCAATGTTACTTTGAACGGCGGTTCGCTGTCATTGGCTAGATCAGCTTGAGATATGGGATGAGTTCGGGTTTCTGGATTATGTCTTTGGTATTCAGTCTATTGTTCACAAACCAGTTTTCTTCAGATAGTAACATGCTTCTCCTCTCAAACTGCACCCATATCAAGAAAGCTTTTACTCCAGAAGAGCGATACTGTCCGAGGACTGTGATCGTCTTAGGTATGCCCTACCTAGGTTGGCGAATAAAGCAGGAGGGGCAGACAGAAATATTGAGTCTATATGGTATTATCTCATCGAGTGCCACTTGACGCCATTTTCGCCAAAGCCCCAAAATACCCATTATTTACACTTTATTACCCCGCATTTAAAGGGGTACTTAACAATACGTCACTTATCCCTATGCTCTTTTGCCTATTGTCACGGGCTGGAGCCCAGTTGAGATCTCCGGCCTTGTGTTACGACCCAACATGAAGACCAGGGCGTGCCCCGCTGACGCCTAGCGGCTACGGCGCATCATATATGCAGGACGGGACGGAACATTGGGGAAACCCCAGGAACGGAAGAACTATGGTACAAGTCACGTGATGATAAGAGATATGATAAGGGATAAGGATATGTTGGATATTCGACATATCCAACCGAGTCAAGGATATGTTGGATATTCGGCATATCCAACATATCCAGACAAAGTGGACTGTTCAGCACTGTTCATTTAGGATCGGACTTGTATATAAGGATGGACTCGAGCTGGGCTCTAGGACAGACTTTCCATAGCTTCTTCAGCAATTAACTTCGTATCAGGATTAACATCCGCTTTCAGCTACTACCTTGACAAGACTACGATTGATGACCGAAGCCTTACCTACCCTTACGATTGACAGACATAGCTTCCCTGAAGCTATCCCCGACTACGATTACTGTTACCAGTTCCGCAGCCTCAACTTCTGCAAACTACCCCTACGACTAGCTGGCCGTAACACTTATCTGGGATTTTATAGTCTCGGGTGGTCGGATCACTGATCGGTCCTGCCAGACTCGGAGTCGAAGTAGCGATCATGGCTCTTTGCGTGGCGTATTCCGGTCCGGAGTGGGTCCCGACAATCTATTTCACCGGCGGACGCTTCCCGAAGCGGAAGGACAGCACCTTATTAAGCCCCGCATGTGCGTCAGGGAATTTGGGAACCGACTCGTATAAGAACGACGATCGTTTCCTCCTTGATGAATACTAACTTCGACCTACTCACGTTCAACCTATTTCTACAGTCTTTCTCGTCAAGATGCAGTTCACTCAACTCCTCTTCGCGATCGTGTAAGTGTAGCTTCCGCGTGGGTACATGTACCTTTCATGCGAGCTTCTCTGACGCCAAACTCAATAATAGCCCGTTCATCGGTGTGTCGCAAGCCATTCTTTGCTCGTGCGATGGCAGCACAACTGCATCAATCACTTGCTGCCCTGACATTCAGAAATGGAGTATGTAGTGTTTATTCCAAGGCTACTTAAATATGACTGACCCGTTGTAGATGGCTATGAATGTGAGCCAGCTGATCGTCAAGCCTACACCGATTGCTGTGCGGATCAGTTCTCCACTACGACCTTCTGCAGAGATGGTAGCGTTTAAGCTGGTTGAACATATGTGGTCTTCCTGATATATTATTTGGCATAAAAACAATTACAACTCAAAGTCTCAAGCAAATTAGTTGACGTGCTGGTTGTGATCCAAGTGGTATTTGTTCCCCAAAGCCATATTTCTTTCTGGATCCCTCACGCATCTTCGTCCCACAAAGCATACTCCTCAAAATAGACGTTATGGATTCTCTTTGCATAGTCGACCAAGACAGGGAAACTCATGATGACACCTTTACTATCCGGAGCCCTATCATCAAACATGTTAGTCAGTTCTTCGTGTATAGCATCGTACTGGAATGGTGGGACCTACGCTGCACACCCCAGGTGTTAAGGGCCCAGCCCTCGTGTGGCCACGTAGGGGTGATTTCTGTATATAGAATCTAAGCTGACGAGAAGAGATTTACAAGCGGAGCTTCCGCGGAGGTGGAGCGTAGGCGTAATGGAGCCCGCGTGGTCAATCGTGGCAGAATATCCCGGCGCTGGCCCGGATCCATTAATCGGGTCCAGCCCGTAACACCAGGCCTGAGGAAATGAAGCCAAAGACAGTCGCATCCGCCTCAGAGGGACTCTTGCCACCCAAAACCCAAAATGGGGTCTGAATATCAGGAGCTGTAAGGCGAGCCTCGCTCAAAAGTGCGTTAACATGCCCCCAAACATCCCGACGGAATCCTGCAAGCTCTTCGCTGGAGAAACGACCAGTGTCTTGGCCATAAAGAGTCCGAGTCACGCCACGATAGACAAGGAGACCAATGAGGGGTTGAATTGGCTATAGGATTGCCCCCATTACACCTGAACGCATGGTTTCGTAGTTGTCGTGCCATCTCTCCGAGCTCTGTTATGCGAAGAAGGATTCGTAAGCATATTGGTAATACCTCAGACGATTCCGCTCACTTACTTGGTAGAAGGCTAGCTTATCCTCGAGAAGGGCGCGGATGGCAGCATCTTGAGCCCTGACGACTGGTGAGAGGGATTCGTTCAGGTCTGGGCAAACATCATCGTCGATGAGTCGTTGGATTATGAGGCTGGTATCACTCAAGTTCGTTGGTTGATCTTGATTGGGGTGGGTGATCTCGATGTAGGGTAATTTACCACGGGGTAATTTGCTCATTGAACCTTGGTCGATGCGGAACTGGAGCTTGGCGAATCGAAGGCGCGCTTCAAGCTTTGTGACAAATGGTGACCACACATAGGTATTAGAAACTGGGAATCCTCGATATAGCACGAGATGAAGCTGGCTTTTGACTGGCGTAGACATGTTAAGACTAGCAATATGGTAGTTGATTGATATGTTCAATGTTCTGTCAGATAGAGATCAGTGATGAGATGAAGATGAGATGAGATTGATAAATTCGGTTGAGAAGAATACGAGAATATCGCATAGATATATATCCTGTCCTCCGGCTTCTGTTCGGACTCTTTTTGCTTTTTGCTGCTGAATGAGGCTTGTCTGCCTAATCGGACCCGATTGAAACGCCGCTGAGTGCGGCACAGCGGCCGTTCGGACTACGGGGTGGACCTGCGCCGTTGAGCCGTGATCATTACCCGCGCGGGTCGGACACGCTTACGGTAGCATACCATGCCTAAAACGAACTTACGAGCAAAAAGATGTACACATGTCTGACACTCAGCCGGAATGCCACTTGAATTGCCATTGAAATTACTCTGAAAAAGAGCGTGCGTTTTTGAAGCCTCCGGGCTTGAAATCCGATCAGACCACTCAGAGGCGCATTCGAATGGCGACAAAGCTTATACCCAGCGTCAAAAGGCTGAGACAAAAACATGTTTTAAAAGTCGCAGATCCAAGTGCCAAAGCCATATGTACCTAATGGTAGCGGGATTCTCGATGATCTGGAGCGACTGGATGATTCGGATGACACATCGTCGACATATATTTGCCAGCCGTTCCCCCAGACCGTCTTTAAACAGCGCCAGGATTTAAGCGTTGACTCATCGGGGAGCAAGCAGTACGCCCAGACTAGCTAAGATCAAGTGGTCCCCACGAAGTAGGGTTCTTCTCTCTCTTGAGATGATATAATCGACTCAAGTATCTAGGCCGACTTGATGGCACAAATAAGGTGGATCTAGAGCGACTGGAAGGCAGACGTGATATTCGAATGGTGTACGTGTACACAGCATCACTTGGACCCAACACGATGCGATTCTCAAGAAGGCAGGATACAAAGCGAGCGTGGCTACAAGCTTGCGTTGACGCACAACAGCCCAGGGCTAATGAGCGTTGGGCCCATCAGAATGCTTTGGCCATGTCCCTTATTCTCGTCGGCCAGAAGTTCTCCATCATGTCAACCCATCGTGCGAATGACGGGCTTGAAGTATCACTCAAGCAACGGAAGAACCAGTCATCTTGTTCCCCGGCTTGAATTCGCAATCTTTTCTGTTCATCAGATTTATTAGCACGATTCTTTTTGTCTCCAAGGAGAATTTGAGGGATGGCTGGGGCAGTGTTGTCAATGCAATCAACTTACCCAGGAAGAAACTGAATCAATGAAGAATTGGAAGACCTGACGTCGCTCATCCGAGTACATCGTCAAGATCGGGTCGACAGGTTTGCCGTCTTTCAAGACCAGGATGAGAGCATCGCTAAGAGCAACAGATTCCATTAAACAATTGCTCAGACCCAAGCCGCCAATGACCTGTTATGCAAAGATCAGCTCAAATAGACCTGCTTGGATGTTGATCACCATCTCCTACATTGTTCACATGTGCGGTGTCACCAGCCAAAAGGCATCTCCCTCGCCTCAGATTGGACGCCAAACGCTGGTGGATAGTGTACGTCGCTGCTCTGTCGATCTTGTATGTAAAAGGACGTGGTCCAGCCCAAGCGCGCTGGTAATGGTGTGAGATGTATTCTTCAGAAAGGAGCTCTGCCTCAGTCTTGGTCTTGAGCTCTTCGGGGTCAACTGCAAAAGTAAGTCTCCACTTCGTCACCTCGCCTTTCACGGGTGGTGTAAGAGGAGTGATGATGGTGTAATGCACCGGCTCCATTAAGATTGTTGTCGTGACGGGGCTATCTTCTGTGTTTTGCAGCCAGACATCTGTCGCAATGAGCTTCTCGGGCCAAGTGTGTCCAGGAAAGGATATTCCGAGCAAGGACCTAGTCTTGGACCTGTTTCCATCTGAGCCCACAAGAAACGAAGCAGTGTGCTCCTCCACTTGCTCAGTTTTGACGTCTTTGACTGCTATCGTAACGACTTCGGATCCGTCGGTGCCATCTTTGAGGATCGAAACCAACTCTTTATTAAACAGAACTTGGACCCGTCCTGTCTCAGTTGCCTTTTCCATTAAGACTTTGGTGAGCTCCGGTTGCGCCATGTTGAGCATGCTGATTGCTGGAGGCCTGCCTGGCGGGCCGATTGGGTCATGCTTTGGGTCTTTCGGGAATGACCCTACAATGTTGCCAGGTTTTTTCCCGCCCTCCCCATCAGAAATGGGAGGTAGACGGATGTCAAGGCCAGTACTTCGGAAACCGCCGCCCTTGATGATGGCATCCCAGATTCCGGCTTCTGCTAGAGCAAACTGAGGCTGAGGATAAAACATGCAGGCCCTAGGAAGCTGAGAGAGCCCGCTGTCTTTCTCCAGTATTGTCGGATTGGAAGTCCAATTCGGCCGCGAGTAGGGGCAGAGCATGGGCCACCTCTAGGGGGTACACTCAGACCTCGACTACCCACTCAACCTCCGGTTGGAATCTCCCTTCTACTCCTTACGCAGAATCAATCAATACACAGATATTGATACTTCGTCAGACCCAGGACCCTACGGTTCAAACCAACTTCCCTGTGAAAGGAATACCAACAAGTATAGTGACGCTGACACCTGCTTGGCCTAGACGTAAAGCGGCGAAAAGTCCTACAGGACCCGCGCCGACGATCAGGACATCAGGATTAAGTGGTAAAGATCCCATAGTGTCGCGAATATGATGGAAAGAGCCAGTATTTGACAATATAGGTAGAGTAGCCACTTTTTGGTGTAGGATACTAGCTGATGGTACTAGAACCAGGAATGTTCACATCTGTTATTGGAGGCTTCAACGATTCTTATACCTGGGTTCAATACAGAAAGTCTTCTAGTCCGTAATTTTGAATACTGTGGTAAATAAGGCGTAATTGCTGGTCGGCAATTACGGATTCGTTTTTGTACGACAAATACTCTTTCACATGGTCGATAATGTGAGAGGCCAGGATTGGCGTATGGCCATTGCTACATGAGGGTTGAATGCCGAAACCCCCTTTGGCCAGTGTGATTGTCATATTCCGGGTTTAGTTGTGGGGAATGCGATGCCGACTTACGCAACGAGTGTACAGCTTTTGGTTTGAGACAGGCCACACTTTCTTCGCCGAAGTTGCATGCATTTGTCAGCGGACCGCTCGGCATCGAATTAGGCCCCGAGATTCTCAAAAGAGAAGTTAGAACTTAGAGAACCACCCCGGAACGCCGTAGTCTCGGGCCCTCGGCTACAGATGACTGGGGGTAGGCGCGCCGTTCATTGATGCAGGCTTGACAAACTCTATCTGGCCTCACTCGCTTGCTTATCTCGTATATATCCAGATATCAGTGGTGCCGCCATCCCTGTGTCGCCAGGTGGGCAAGCAACCTTATTCAAGACCGCCCACATCCCGTAGGTGCTTGGAGAGTTCTGAGACTATCTCCCTAGCATCATTGTGCATTTAGAACAGCCAAGGCCCAAGAGATTGGTTGAGCTTGTAAGATATCTTCGGCAATACCATACGGCGAATGTACGGAGTAGTCCGGTACGATTAGCTAAAATTGGGCTAGTATGGCCCGTCGAAATCTACGTGGGAATGCACCTTGGTTTCCTACGGAGCCGCCCTGCATTATTATGCAGTTCAACAGTTGATCCATTATCTGATTCGAGGAACTGATCTCCGTATGAATTAGAACGACAACTTATCGCGGATCAAAGAGCGTGTTCTCTAGAGATCACGTACGAAAATCGTGGTCTATACCAATGAAGAATTCGAATGAGGGATGCGATTTATTCTGAGGTACGAGATACATGTCCTGTGAAAACGAAGGCTCTAGCCTTTTGGGGTGAACTGACACAAAGTTGGCACAACGCGAATGCGAAAGTTGAATTTCTCTTGAGTACAGCCTCTAATTACTACCTGGCCAAGAGCCAAAGGGCTCATCAATCGATTCCCAACTTATATCCAACCCATGGACGACCATAAAGCAAGCAGCCACCAGCCCCGATAATAGCCCAGCGGAAGAGTGCACCGGTTTCCGAGTCACTACCTACCCGAAGAATAGACCCCACCAAAGACTTGAGCCCAATGATTTGCCTTCCGTCACGATCGAAATCAGGCTTCACATCGCCCAGCCACTGGGACATTCTCAGCTCTGACTCCAGATAGGGCATATAGCGAACGCGGAAGATCTTGTCAGCCCACCCAGGGGTCTCGGCGACAGTGCGACGATGGGTGAAGCAATTAAAGGAGGCTTTTCCGCGGTAAGATCCGTTCCCAGAATATCCCACGCCACCAAAGGGGAACGTATGAACGGCGGCGTGCATGAAGGCATCGTTGAGAGTTGCGCCGCCAGATGTAACGCCAGAAAGGACTTTGTTGTGAGCCAAGTATTAGCGTCAACCAGGTCATTCAGCTGGGAAAAAGGGGGGGGGGGGGTGTGTGTTTTTGCCGTTTCGTACCTTTCTCGTTTTCCGCTTGGCTGCCAAAAGCCATCAGGGCAAGGGGAGTGGAATCGGTCGCACTCGCCACCGCAATCGCAGCGTCGATGTTGTCATAGGGCAGAATGGCCCAAATGGGCCCGAATGATTCTTCCTGAACCATAATATCATCTTCGCTCTCCACGAGTACTGCCGTTGGAGCAATGTAGAGATCATCACGGTCTGTCTCTCCGCCTAAAACAGTTTGACCGCGCGTGCTGTCTAGCATCTTCTTCATGCGGTCGAAGTGTTGAGTATTGATGATGCGACAGAAATCGGGGCTTTCTCTCGCGCCTTTCGGGAAGAAATCAACGTAGGATTCTTGGAGAAACTTGATGAAAGGCTTAACCAGGGCTCTCTCGATCAGGACATAGTTGTGCGAGACACACACTTGTCCAGCATTGAGCGTCTTCCCCCACAGAAGCCTCCTTGCAGCAAGACGAAGATCTGCATGACTGGTAACAAATGCCGGATTCTTGCCGCCGAGCTCAAGACAAACCGGCGTGAGTGTTTCTGCAGCTTTCTTGGAGATGATCTTGGCCACGTTGACTCCACCCGTGTAGAGAATCTTGTTCCATTTCTCGTTGAGCAGAGCAGTTGTCTCTGGAACAGCGCCATTGACAATCCTGTACGAGTCAGGATCCAAATAGCCCTCAATTATACGCGTGAGAACCATAGCCGTTGCTGGTGCATTTTCAGAAGGCTTGACAATTGCTGTACATCCCGCAGCTATCGCGCCAATGAGAGGACAGATGTTCAGCTGCACAGGGAAGTTGTAAGTGCCGATGATGAGAACCGCGCCAAGGGGCTCCTTTCTGATCCTTAGTCTGAGAAGAGAGAACGGCAAAGCAACGTCAACGTTTTTGTCGTCTTTGACCCAAGTCTTCAGATTTTGAATGGCGAACATGCAGTCGGAGATACTCCAATCGATATCCGAAACATGCGCATCGTGAACTGGTCGGTTCAAGTCGCGCTTCAGAGTCTCGAAGTAGGTCGATGTTGTCCTTCAAGCCCCAATACAGCTTTCGGAGCTGGGTCAGACGGAATTCGACATCCTTGGTTTTCTCAGGCTTGAAGGTTGTTTGAACCGCTTTCACAGCAGCTGCGATATCCTCAAGCGTGTTTGATTCAAATGAAGGGATGTCCGAAGATCCTAGTCGTTGCTTGTGTGCCATGACGGGATTTTCCGAAGATGGATATATTTGGAAGTATCAATTTGGATGTGTCAAAAGAGATAGAAGTAAGAAGACGATTCGCAGACTTGATGATGAAAAGGTCTGTTGCAGAAAGGTTTTGGACCTTCATCGGGGCACGGCAAGCTTGAGCTCTACATGTAATATCGAAAGTGATTCGACATTGATAGGAGCCATCCATCTATCCGCGTGCTTAAGCTGACAAATGCAGCAGTCAAATGACCGGCATAAGTTATGATCCAATTTTTCAAGAGAACTGTCTGATTACCAACCATACTGATGGTTCATTCTGGTAAGTTAACAGGATGACATAGTCTACACTATGATACAACTTCGAGTCAATGTGGGCCAAGTGTGTTCATGTTTTTGACCTGGCGCGATTATCAGCAGTGTTCTCTATATCCACCCACGCCCAAGTAAGAGAAATGAAGTTCAGTCCCCCAAGTGTAGCGAAGAGAGGGATGGGCAATTTTCCTTTGGCGTAATCGATATAAGCCCGGAACATTAGTACAACCATGCCTGGAACGTTCCCAACGATGAAGGGCGCATCTAGACTGCAAATATGGAACTCAGGTCCAGCTAGCGACTTCATTGCATCTGTAGCAAGCCTTCTAGATCGTACGTATGGGCTAGTCGGGATGGACTCCGGTATGATATTTGGGTAGGCGCTGCCGATGTGAACAAACTTCCTGACTCCAGCCTGTTTGGCGAGCTTCGCGAAGTTTGGTATGGCCTGGCCGTTGGCTTGGAGGTAGTGCTCATCGGCATTCTGTCCCTCAGGCACATGCCGAACGTCGCTGCCGGCCGCAAAGATTATTGCGTCGAATTTGGAGAGAATTTCTGAGCTGAACTCCCCGTTTAAATAGTCTCCTTGGATGAAAGGAAGCTCGGACAACGCAGCAACGTTGCTGGGCTCTTTACGTCCAGCGATAGTGACAATGCTTCCTTTGGATCGAAGGTATAGCGCAGCATGGCCTCCAAACAAGCCAGTACCGCCAATGACGAGTATTTTTGTTGCCATATTATGAGGAAACGAGATCTAATTGTGGTTTGTGGTGTTGTTGGTGCTTGCATGCCGTATTTACCACCTAACTAAGGGATGCGATATTCGCCGTCTTATCCCATCGAGTGCCACTTGACCCCATTTTCGCCAAGGGCGGGGTAGAGCCAATAAGGGGTTGTGAATCTATTGAGTTAACCAATAGGGGCATAGTACCTCAATTTCCTATATAATTTGGGTGTGCCAGAGGTTCCAGCACTCTCCATCAATACACAACGGTATATTATAACTAATCTAAGTAGCCCCTCCGTGTTTTCTTCTTTTTTTAATGAGGTTATTCCCAGATATCTCACCTAGGGTCTGGCGGGCCCTTAATGCCCTCAGATTACTACAATAAGAGCAAGGCGAATTAACCTTCCTCGACCCCTTGCTATGCTGTTCCCATGGAATAGAGGTATTCTTTTTATCTGCAGCCCGTCTAGGCCGTGACCTCTGCCGTCCTTGTGCTAATGGTCCGAACTGCTGGATAAGCTGGGCTGTAAGCAGCTGCCGCTAGCGGTAGTGGGTTTTTACCTTCTGCTACCTAGGGCTGCCCGAGAGCTGCAGTAAGAAGCTATTCACAACTACCACTTCTAGTAGGAAATTCTAGGTAATTGACTGCTAGCCCCCTTAACAAATAGGGTAGCTATATTGATAATAGGACCTCATCTGGTTACTTATATTAACCCTATTCATCTTGTGGTTATATTTATTAATTGCCCTAGGGATTAGTAGGTTCTTGCGGACGTCTGGGCCAAAGACTTGTCGGGCAGCCCTCTTAGCAGTGGAATTCCCAGCTGGGCGGCGGCGGCTGCTGATAACTTCCTCGCCGTTCTGGAAGACAGTTGATAGAAATAGTACAAGGGCATTATCCTTCCAGGTAAACTGGTTAACCTATCTACTAGTTAGCTAGGTAGGTAAGCTGGCTAGGCTGGGCTAGGCTGGGCTGGGCTGGGCTTGGCTAGGCTGCCAGCTTACCTCCCCATCTAAAGTAGGGATACAGTGTACTTCACCCCAGGGGATATCTCCTCCCTCAGTCTCTTTCTCTTTAACTAAGGTCTTATCTATCCCACAATCCTTTCGGCAAGTACCAGAAGCTCTAACCTGTTGGTTCCGTAAGGTACGAAAGAGACGTATAGAAGCAAAGAGGTTGTCAAGAAATACGTTGTAGGTTACAGCTGGAAGTAGGGAAATAAGAGTAGTTACTACCTGCTGTGTTGGTGTCAACAGAGCCAGCTTTCCAGCAGCCAGCTGGGCTGGCTGGGCTGGCTGGGCCTGGGGGACTACTTCGTATGGGCCCTTTCCATGTACATGCCACAGCCACCGTATACAGTAGCCAGATTGGGCAAGGATCCAGATCTTATAGCCAGTTGGGATAGGCTTTGTTAGAATTGTTGTTGTCTCAAGAGATCGACCTGTAAATCGGAACATAGCCTCATTAACTATAAGGTCTGAACCAGGTATATAGAAGGAATCCCCAGTCTCTTGGATGTGGGCTGACCACTGGTTAACCTTCTGGTATACGTCTGGCATTTGATCTTGGGCCTGGCGCTGGCCCCGGCCCCGGCCCCGGCCCTGGCTGGGCTGGCTAGGCTGAAATTCAGCCGCGCTAAATATCCGTAGTCGCCGGAGTAGTAGTTAGAATCGGTTTCTAGAAGTAAACCGCGTAAATAGGTGGATAGGATCCTCCTTTTATTGTTGGGTTGACTAATAGGTTAATAATATAGATTCCCTATAGATCCCTATGTATAATAGGATCCCTAGGAAGAGGTAGATCTCTTCTACTGAAGTCTGCCGCCATGAATTCACTCTAGACGTTCTAGCCCTAGGGCCAGATAACGGCACCGTATTTGTCCACTGGGCCCACTGCTCCACGAGGCTCTGCGGAACGTATTGGACGAAAAGGTCCAGCGGGCTTGCCGGCAGCTGCCGTACCTCTTGAGCCCGGGCCGGCATGTCAAAGGGCCGGAAGGAGCCCGGAGGACCATGCTCGGTAGCTGGAGGTTTGTGGGGCCGGACTGTTGCTGCGTCATAGCGCTCTGGCATACAGTCTGTATTATAGGCAGTAGTAAGGTCTTCTGGAAGGATCTCAACTACTATACAGCTGCGTATAGAAGTATCAGAAGCATCAGAAGTAATAGAGGTATCAGAATCACTAGAAGACATCGCAGCATTAATCCAAATGGTAGTAATAGTGGTGATAATACGCAAAAGAGCATAGGGATAAATGACATACTGTTAAGTACCCCTTTAAATGCTGGGTAATAAAGGGTAAAGGTGGGTATTCTGGGTCTTGGCGATGATTTCATCACCGCATACATCAAAAAAATCTTCTTCACGACCGATTTATAAGCTGAAAGACAATTTCCAAGCTTCGGTCGTGCCAATACTGGGGGGAATGCTACAAGCCGCCGCGGAAAGCGCGGAAGCCACGCGCCGGGATTGGGATCCCGCAGCTAGTGAGTCAAGATAGAGTGTAAAATCCAATGGCGTGGCGACGACGTTCAAAACTAAGATATTCGCATTCTCAATCTCCCAAAATGATAACTTGGCTAAGTTCTCCGCCTGTTGCTATTTGTCATTAATTGATCCACTGGACGCACGCATCGGTGGAACTTTCTTGTAAAAGAGCATCTAGTAACTACCTTAGCTTTAGAATAGTATGTCAAGCTCTTTTACACCCGAAGGAAGCGGTCATCAAGTATCGCAGTTAATGCAAAGCATTGATAACCTTCAGTTACCGTTCCGCTTAATGGCGCATCTTTTGAGGATAACTTGAACCCTCGCACCACTGTAGATGGTTAGTTAGTCACTGTTAAGCATTAGAAGGCCTAAAAGGATTACTAAATAGTAGCACCTCAAAAGCATATCAGTTGATCTGCTTTGTTTTCATAGTTTCCCATGTGAGTGCCAGACTGTTTGCTAGGGAGGGGTGACAGAATCCATGCATGCTCCTATGCGAGTCATGGACATAACCCATTCGGAATGGTCTGACCATCACGAAACAGGCCAGACTGTCATTTCCACCTGGTCCTAGCTCTGCAAGACTTATTAGGATAGCATTAGGCCCATGAGCCTGTGGTGATTCCATCCACTCTTTAGTACGAATAGACGCTCTTTTCTGCTCACTCACATATGCATATTCCGCTGGCCACCCTGATTAACCGTCAAGGGGCCATGGGCCAGTCAAATATCGGTGAAATTCGTTAAAGAATGAGCAGCCCTAGACTTTGAGACAGTCACTTTCTAGAGAAGTGACTTGAGTCTTGGTTCTCAGATGATTGTCAAGACGTGGGTGAGGTACCTTGAGGTAACTTAAACAAAAACTACGAAGTATCGGGTCAACAGGATCAAAGATACTCTTTCCGGATTAGATATTTAGGCTCTTGGATATGTGCAATTCAATACCTCGAACAAACTAAAGAGATGTTGCCCACGATAAGGCGAAGAATGTCCAGCCTCTCATTCATCATTCAATTACATTCAGCAACATAGTAATACTCCATTGGCAGACGTGCACACCGCCCTAACCAATAGCTGACAGCTCTCTGCCGTGCGCTTCATCAGTAGAACAGACATACGAATACGGCCCGAGTTCGGATCGCCGTCGGTCAGTTTCTGCTTAGTGGTAGTGTACCAGTATCATCTAGAAAGCTTTGGTCATTGGCTTCCCGAACACCTCGCGCATCATCCGAGCCGCTGCCGTCTTTGCCGGATCCACCGTCCACGGGAGACTAGTGCCTAAGAAGCGCTCTCCTCTATTTGTTGCTCCCTTTCTGCACCGTGTTTGGGTTGAATAGTCCTTGTATCATCCAATGAAATTGGATCCAAATTCAAAGTGGCTCGGCTTGTTAGCTAACAATTGTATCTCTTCCTTGCGATCAGCTTATCTCGAGTATCCTTTCCCAAATTTTATTCTGTTGTTAAGGGTGAAACTTCGCCAGGCTCGCCAAAATGTACTTCTTTTGCTGAGCGAGATTCCCCAGCTTCCAAGCTAAGAATGCCTCGTCCTCGTGTGACTCCACGTACATCAAATGCTGCGTGCATGCCGGCATGCCGGCAAATACTCAAAAATACGACGTTAATTCGGGTAGAATGCCGAACATGTAGGTGTGCCGAAGGTGCAATATGAGATCAGCAAAACGATCCTGCCGCATGTGCTTAATTAATCCAATGCCGACCCGTCTTTCCTAAATTAGCCGGTCATCTTCGGTACCGTACCAAGTAGACATACACTATGCGGTCTGGCGACTTCCCCACACTCTCCGTACATGCCAGGGGAATGCAACAGCCCTGGGGAGCACTGAGGTGACGCAGTTTGGCTGCTGGCAGGGGAACCCTTGCGACACTCCCGTCTTAAAGAATCATCGCCTACTATATGTTAGTCTAGGTCTTGCTTCGTCCAAATGGTTCGGCCGGCGGATTCAAACCACCTCTGCCTTTATCCGCATCTCCCCACTCAAACAAGATGTTCGTTCATCTAATTTTGCCTAAATCTCCCCGCCACGGAAGATGGGCTGTTTCGTAGAGTTTGAACACGGAATCTCAAAGGTCAGGTTCACAAGGAAGCCGTGTTCCTTGCGACTCGTTGGCTGATTTAGTTACCTTTTAAAATGCCAAGAGAATTGTATAAGATCAAGATTCACCTGCGTCGATTACCGAACTCTTGGCAGACCTGAACCGACCAACAATCATCTCTCTCACTTCAGTCTTTCTTGCTCAAAATGGTTTCCATTCGCTCCTTGTTCTTGACTCTCTCGACCATTGGTCCCTGTCTGGCTGCGCCCGCGATCGGGCCAGCTGAGTTGCTGCCTCCCCATGTTGAGAGACGCGGCCCATCAGACTTCTTCCTGGGACCCGACCATCCCCTCATGCTCGCACGCCGCAACGAGTCTCTCGAAAGACGCGGCATGACACTTGAGGAGCGCACCAACTATGTCCAAAACTACCATACCGGCGGCACTGTCAACTTCACACCCTCGGGCAACAGCTTCAGTCTCAACTTCGACACGACAGACGATTTCGTTGTCGGCGTGGGTTGGAATCCCGGTTCTACCGCTCCCATCACTCACTCCGGTTCATTCGCCGTCACCAAGGGACTCGCGACCCTTTCAGTCTATGGCTGGACTACCAACCCGCTTGTGGAGTACTACGTGATTGAGGACTCTGCCGGATACTCTCAGACCGGGACGAAGAAGGGCACTGTGACCAGCGACGGCGGCTCCTACACCGTCTGGGAGAACGTGCGCACCAACGCCCCTTCAATCCAGGGCACCACGACCTTCAATCAATACATCTCGGTTCGCAATAGCGGCATTCCAAGCGGCACTGTCACTATTGCCAACCACTTCAACGCTTGGAAGAGCTACGGCATGAACTTGGGTACACTCAACTTCCAGGTCATTGCTGTCGAGACCTGGAACGGTTCTGGCTCGGCAAAGCAGACTGTTACCAACTAGTTACTATTATAACTTTCCATTTGGCCCATATGTTGAGGTAAACTTATCTGCATTCCATTCAACATCGGAAGGCACTTAAGAGAGCTGCCAGCCTCAGAACACGGTTAACTCCTATTGTGCCTATTCCCTTTGAGCCAAAGTTTGGCCCAGTATCATATACATTCAATCATATACATATTCGCGATGAAATATCAACCTCAGTAGTTCACTATGTCTATCATATTGCCTAGAGTCGATGTGTTGCAGAAGTTAGAATTTCGACATCCCGCGCCAGAACCCTCATTCATTTCAGACCTACACGCCCAGCTGCCGTTGCTCAAGAAATCTTCCAGGTTCTCATGCTGTTGGCACGATGCCTCTGACATATTTTTCGAAGCTTGTGAACTTCACATCCGGATACAATTCTCTCGCATTGAGATACCCAAGATAACGTGCATATTCAGGAGTATTCTCGCCTCGAATACCAAGTAGGTTCCGATACTCTGCCATACAAACCTTGGGATTGACTGTTATGTCCTTGCCTGTGCGGCCCTGAGAGATGATGCCTTGCAACTCTTCTTTGGTTATCTGAGTCATTTGTTAGTCCCTAATGTTTCATGAATGATGAGGGTTCAGTGAGCGTACAACTTCTCGGGTTACAGTCTCTCCAGACACCTTCTCGAGAATGTCAAAGGCCTCATTCTGTGTCATGACCTCCCCGTATGCAAATACCATCTTGTTCAATGTCCTCTGGTCGGCGATAATTCGGCTGACAAAATTGCCAATGTCACGATTGTTGGTAAGTGCCCAAGGGGTGTTGCCGTCCCCAATGATGTGCGTAGTGGAATACTCTTCTACCATCGGGCGAAATCTGCCTGAGGGCAAAGCAGGCAAGGTTAGCTGGTACCACCAGCCGACGTCAACAACTGTGTAAGGTAGATGAAGATCCCAGATTCGGTCCAAGAACTCCTGCTTCTATCACTCCAGTGTTAGAATAGCAACAGACTCGATACCAGTTTTGGTGCCATTTCAACTCAGACTCTACGGTCTGTCGAACACTCACCTTATCTCTGAGCATCATAACGCCTCGGGGTGCACAGGCAGGGCCCCAGAAGCTTGGGATGTATCGACCAACATTGGCCTTGCTCGATGCTTCAATAAGATTCATCTCCTCCTGGAACGAGAATAAGGTCAAGCACGAAATTACGACGTCCACGTTGGCGACGACTCCAGAAATTGCCTCGATTGACCCATCCAGCTCAACTGCCTTCACAGTCACGCCTCTCTTTGCGAAGTCAATGAGCTCAGGCTTTCCCACCGAATTGGGTCTCGATAGAGCTGTAACTTCCTATCGCCAGGTCGATTAGATGTGTTTAGATGTATTCAGTGTATATAGCTTTTAGTTGCAGGTATAAAGATCCAACAGATTTAAACTTACGAACAGCTCAAGAGTCTTCAACAGCGCATTTACAATTGAGGAGCCTGTGTTCCCAGTAGCGCCTGCAACGGCAACCTTGATTTTGCTGGCCATGATTTCGTCTGACAGTTATCCGTAACTCTGAGTGTGGCAAAGATGACACTAGGTACCACATACAACTCCACCGATGGACATGCGGCAGGAATTGTTAAATATACACCATATGAGTCCACTGAGACTTTCATTCGGAGACATAATGGAATTGCTTGGATCCATCGAGGAGTAATTATAGGCCGAATCGTTGGTGTCGTAGCTTGTGTCAAATTTTGGTGACGTGGATTTCGGCCGAAAGTCGGTCGAATGCTCGTCGGGGGCCGCGTCGGGTTGCGATCAACAGCCCGAACGAAATACAAATTCCTAGTCATCCAATTAGCACTAAGGCAAGTGTAGTGAAATCGAGGATCCCCGGCTATGAATTATATTTTTCGACGGGTAATGTAAGGAAGTCACGTATATCGTGAAGATAGATATTCTTTTTTCAGTCTTGTTTCATCCGATCACCACTCTTCGCCGCGGCTTTATACCATCCCCGATATGACAAGGTATATTTCGTCTTATACGAACCGTTTTTGCCTCAAGTAAATTGAAGGGAATAAAGTTCAATCTTTATTTCCATGAAGTCGTTGAAACTCATGGTAAAGATGGTCTCGTCTTATCATCAATACGATGGCGCCAGCTTCTACCCCAGAGTGCAACAGCCCATACGCATAAAGCACCAATCACTAAGAAGCCAGTAGAAATAGTGCTGAACCATCCAACCCCAATCACCTTGATTGCTGGAAGTACAACAGCCGATCCAGCGGCACCAAACAGATATCTCACCATGAAGTTGCCCGCAATCACCTCTGCGCTGCGTCCCTGAATCACATCCAAGCAGTAAGTATTGAGACTTGGGAAACAGAAGAGCTGCGATACGCCTCCAAGGAACATGAAGACGACGGGGACCGCAATGCCGCCGACGCGCTGCTGGACAGTCCATCCATAGATGAGCATACATCCCGGTAAGACAGCGCCCAAGAAGGGAAGACATGAGCGCAGTCGGTCTTCGGAAATGCGTCGTCCATGTCGTTCTGCTATCCAGCGCCGGACTGTGTAGTCGGCATAGCGTCCACCAACGAGTGTACCGGCGAGGTAGCCGCAGCCTGGAGCCAGGTAGAATAGACCCGATTGCGCCGGGGACGTTAGAGAGAACCGGGGGTTGAGAACGTATCGGATCGGGGTCAACATGCCGTACATGTTCCATACCAGCGAACCACTCGCGATTGCCACCAAGATGAGGTTTGGAAACCTGAACAGTCGAATAACTCTGACCGGGTTCGTCATACCCCATAGCACGCTGACCTTTTTACTGAATGCAAGCCCTTCAAGACCTGCCTTTTTGAGTTCTTGCAGCGTCTCTGGCATGAATAATACAGCACCTCCGACGCCAACGCCGGCGAGGGCGGTCTGGAGCCAGAAAATGGCGCGCCAGGACGTGTAGGTCACGATGATGCCACCAAGAACAGGGCCAATCGTCGGTCCGATGAGCGTGCCGGACAAGAACCAACCCATCGCAGTCGCACGCTCTGTAGGATGATACAAGTCGCCAATCACGGCAGGACCAGTGACAAGGAACGATGTTCCGGCAAAAGCAGTGAGGATGCGGAATACGAAGAACGCGGGGACGTTGGGGCTGAGTGCCGTGCCGATTGAGCATCCCAGAACAATGAAGCTGTCACCATACACGTCTAGGTCAATTTGTCAACCATATTTCCCACACTGATGAATAGGCGACAGCTAGTCGATAATCCACTCGTCACGAACTGAGAACTGGGGATCGTAGAGAAACTACTAAGTGCTTACCCATTTTCGACCGTATACTTGGCTCAATGGTCCCCAAAAACAGGGACTAATGGCCATGAAGACGAGGTATAACGCATTGCTGAGACTAATGATGTCTCCGCTGGTCTTGTACTCGGCTGCGACTTCAGGAAGCGCCGACAAGACCGCCGTGCTAGAGATTGGCGACAATAAACCACACCAGGAAATGATGGCGACAGTAATGCGCTTGCGGTCTTTCGAAAACCGGTTGTAGATCTCGTAAGGCACTTCCACGTTGGATTGATGACGGGCCACTGGATCGTCTTGGTAGTTAAGGACTCCTGATGGAAGCTTTGTCAAGCCTGGTTGCGATGGATCATCTACTGCAATAATGTGAGCCACCAAAATTCACAGCCCGACTGCCTGAGCCAAGACGAACCTCCTTTAGCAGTTTTGGATCGCGCAGGGATGATGTCGGCATACTCTTCAATGTCGTCATCGCGCCTGTCTGAGGAGGTTCTCTGAGAAGAGTCTCCCTGTTCGTGAATGCTGTTGTCGGTTGTCATTGTGGGCCATTTATTCCCAGAGAAAGATTACTGCCCAGCGTTCTTCTAATTGAAAGGCACAGGAAAAATTGACAAAGACAAGGAGCGAAACCTGTTTCCGAGGCGGACGGGAATGGGCCACTGATATGGCGGCCGATATCCGTGACTAACCCTCCACTAACTGGGGCCGACTCGGCAACACCCGAGGCCTGGCTCCGGACATCGGGACTGTTGCACCTCTCGGAAGGACGATGCTGGCATTAGAGCGCAGTTCTAAGGCATCTGGGATCCTCCGGATCCGCAGATGTTGAGTCAGGTATACCGGCGTGACGGCAAGTGTCCGAAAACCACAATACTCGCAGTTGACACACGGTCATAATCTTACCCTCTAAGCTGATGATGATGCAGTTATGTTTTTTCCAAATTGAATGTCTGTTTCGCCATTCAGTTATGGATGTCAATTTGCTTACTTTGAATTGAGAGAAAACTATTTTCGCGCACAATACAACCAAACTGTCGGATGGCCGATCTGGACGGGTGCTCCGACGCCGGACCCGTCCTGTAACTGAACTGGAACTTGCTCCACCGCATTGGTCGACACTGTACGAAGTAGAAAATACGTCAGGTTCCGACGCCTCGGCAAGGAATTCTTATCGTCGGCTATCCGAAAACATGAGTTTGAAAGGGAATTGTTGCAAAGTCCACCAATCGTTAGCCGCTTTAAGTGGGCTGTCCTGTATTGCAATGGTAAGTCCGGGGAAACCCCCAAGCCTCCTGACACTTGTTGGAACTTGGCTGGAGAGCAAACGTTGACACAGCATCTGCATAATCGTCGGAACACGTTTCCATTAAAGACATGGGGACACTGTGCATCTCGGAAGCACTGCGTAATGGAGTTGACATGACAGGCTCGGCGGTAGAGTCTTTTGTCTCTGCAGAGCTCTGGGTGGTTTATCGCATAAACTATTTCGACAAACAGCATTCTTCAATGGAATCGCTGGACCTCAGGAGCTCGTCCAATGAAATTTGGTATTGTTGTCTTTACAGATAGATGTAGGGGAGAGTTGTCGAAGCTCTCCGGCAGGGTTTGGTGCCCGTGACTCGAGTCTTCAACTTGTTGGCACAACTGAGCTTTGTCAGCTCCCGGAGGTAGCCGCCCCTGGCAATCATCTGATTCTCACGACAACACCTTCCGCCCCCGAAAAGAACAGACCGTCCCTACTCCCTCGCCGGCCGGCATCGGCTCAGCCCCGGAGTCGGGCGGTGGTCGTTAAAAACGGCGGAGAGAGGCCCCCCTTGAAGCCAAACGGCACGGGATGGCGTGCTTTTCAAGCGGGTATAGGGTCCATTTGTGAATGGCCAATGCTAATTAACCTTCTTGGACACATTGCCAGATGGGGTAATCAATGAGGAGTTCGGACCAGACAGAAGAGGTTTGCTGGGTCAGACAGAGCGGGGAGATGATCATAGAGATAAGTTCCCTATCACTCAAGTTTGAATGGCAAATATTTACAATGTTAAATACACCTCAGGCTAAGAATTGCGATACGAGCATCGCTCTTAGATGTACTCGCCAATTGTTTCTAGCGCAGACAGCACCGACACCACACATTCACATGCAGATGAGTTCTTCAACGAGATTGACCAGCTCTGAGATGTAATCAAATCGCGCGCGAGGGCTCGTACCACTAGGTAGCAGGACACTGCTTGCCAGGTGCCTTTCTCGGTGTATTGTCTGGCGGTTCGGCAGGATGCACTTCTTTGGGCGACCGAACCAATAGCGTCCTACTGGTGTCCCGGTGTGCATGAAGAATCCTGTCTTCAGCCCCCTAGTGAGGCCCCCACGTGCTCCATTGAGTGGCTGACGACGACCCTCGAATTGCACCCTCTCTCCAACACGCCGCCTCCTTCCCGGGCTGCAGGCAGTCATCTCCCGCACAACGAGTGTCTCGCAGTGTACCAGCTATTTGGTAACGGGCCCGTTATGAAAGACCCTATAATTCGAACCCCATCGCCACGTTGTGACATGGCCGATCCGAAGCTTGCCGGACTCACGGACGTGGAGCGGCTCCTGGGCATTTTACCTCCCTACATTGTTCAATCTCTTGCAACAATCATTTGGAGGTCATGGCTGTCGACGTTGAGGAGCTCATTCTTGCTCCTTTTCGTGAGGTAGTAGAGAGAGGGGAAGAATCTGCAAGAAATGCACACGAAGCACAAGATGAGGATCCAGCAACATCGCGGGAGATGACCAAGTCGGCAAGCACCATCACGAAAGAAGGCCAACGGGCATTGAAGAGGTTGCAGCCTTTGTGGAACAGCCAATTTGAAAAGCATGGGGATGTATTCAAAGATACCATCGCTGAAAACGGTAAGCTGAGCCATCTCGTGTCTAAATAGTACTCGTTTTGACTGATGTTCGAGTAAGATGATCTGGCAGAGAAGCGAAGAGCACTTGAGGAACTGCTGTACGACTTTGAGGACTACATAGAATTGGACACTTTCGACTCGACCAAGTTTACCGATCTTCAGACTGCGACTAGAATCTTTGCTCTAGTAGTACTGGACGCTATTCAGAGAGTGAAGATCGACGTCAAAATTCCGACCACGCCGGTGCACAAGTTTCCGCCATTGCCGCCTTTACCGCCACTACCATCACAGCTGGCTCAATCACTAAACGCCAGCCCGCAAATTCGGCCGACACCGCCTTCGCGAGGCGGGAGTCACGGAGCCGCGAACATTCCATCATTTCCTGTTGTACCACGGCAACCCAAGCCGCAGGTCAGCCGAAGTCGAACAAGAGGCTCACACGGATCATCAGATGGTGCAACAGTGAGGCGAACTCACTCAATAGCCGAGTCAACAGATTCAGATCCTGCGTCCTCTCGTGGATTCCCAAATGCCGTATCTTCCAGCAGAGAAGGCCGACGGCCGTCATCACCAGGTGTTCTCAGCGATGGAATAGGCCAGCTGAGGATCGTCACATCACCAGAGCCTTCATGTTTACAACCGCGGACATCGGATTGGGTTGAAGAACAGACCTCGGTTCCTAAGTTTAGACGACCTTTCCGTGGAAGCATCCCCGAGAATTCTGCTGTGGCTGGTGATGCCTTTGGCGATGGCACATTCGTATCTCGGGTCAATCGAAGAGGCTTTGACACAGTGACGCCGCAAAGCTCGGTATTTGATCCAACAAGCCCTTCAACTACAAACAGAACGTCGATCTACTCAGATGTCCCAACTTACTCTTCTAACGTAACTTCGCCTAAACTTCCAACCATCGATGTGCGGATGTCACCAAACGCGGCGACAAAAGTTGATCCAGCCCTTGCCATCAATTTCCCGTCTTCGGAGCTCTTTACCGACGGACTGATGCTAGCTGATGAACAAGCAGCCTCGGAAACCAGCACGCAATACTTGAGATCTGTCTCGACAATGGAAAAGGAAGAAGGATGTTTGATAGGGCCGAAGAGCTCTTTCCACCAACTCAAAGGATTCTGTGACGGCGCACAAACATTCCGCCGAGGAGGATATTGGCATGGTATCAAGCAGACTATGACCTGGGTGAGTCAATATTTCACCCTCATATCATCTTGAGCGCAAGGGATACAGCTCGAGAATAGCACGGCTAAAATAAACGCAGGGCGAACCCCTTCCAATCGGCCGGTGCCTAGATTGCGAGTATCATCATTTGAACAGATCGCTAACTCTGGACAAAGAGGGTGACTGTAAGCCAACCTGATATCCCCTCTCAGCGATTTCAATATCACTGTTTCTGACACCGCCAAGCCCGGGCAAACTTTCTGAAGTATGGCATACTCTACCGTGTACGCTTGCTCTTCAAATCACACATCACGGTGAAAACAACAGCGGAAATCCGATACGCGTGTCTTTTCTGCACCCACATCGGACGCACTGTTTACGAAGGGGACGCAACCGTCTTCCAGAGCGCAGACCAGCTCCTCCAACACCTCTCTCGCCATCCACAGCCTCTCCCCGAAGTTCCCGGCGTCACTGTCTTGTATGGTCAAGTCGACAAGGACCATCATCAAATCGAGGACTATGACGTTCACTTCCCATCGCCTCCAGCCTCAAGTTCTTTCCCCGAAAATGACATCCTCGCCCAATTTCCCATCGCCACGGCTTTGAAGAGCCACGTTCAGCGGAAGGGTGAAAACTTGTTGGGCCCCGATGGTAGCTCAAATGTCCTCACATTCTTCATTGGCGCAAAGATTGTCGGTATTGAGTTTCCAGAGCAATGGGGCGGCAAGTGGTGCACTGGGTGGCACGATGGCGTGCAAGGTCCTTTTCCAGCCAAATGCGTTGAGATTGAGAGTCCAAAACAGAATGAGATCTCATTCCAAGCTACCAGCGCGGTATCGATCACCACGAGATGGAAATGGGACCCTCCCGACAACTCGCGGGCAGGCTGGCTGACATTTGGGAAGGGGGAAGTGATCAGGAACGTTGGATGTAAGTGTTGTAATCCTACCTTGAGTGGCCAACCAGGTCAACAATCTAGTACTAACCGCAGCGTCTCCAGGGCTTTACCAAGATCATTGGTGTTGGTCTGGGACAAATAGCAAAGGGAAGTTTGGCATCTTCCCTCAGTCTCACATAGGCCCCCAGTCTCTGAAGGAGGGTTCTTTACCACGGACCGTGAAGCGGCCACAACCCAGTGGCCCCATGAGGTTGTTTAGTCGAAGAAGAAAAAGTACTAGTACGGCCTCCTCTATGAGTGGAGATGCTTAAGGTAGTGTATACATAGAATGGCAACCACATTTACACATTTACACTTGTAAAGAAAAAAATCCTCAGGACACTAATTGCCCAGAAGACAAATCTTCAATCATAGTAGGAACCAGACGTGGGAGATCGTCGTGTCCGAACCCGAAGGGCACATAGTCTCCGCGCTGTGCAGATGTGTGGGGTAAGCTGGTTATCGTCGCACCTCGACAAACATCTTGCATTCCAGTCGATAGGTTCCTCAAGCTTCTGCAGTTAGAGGGAACAACACGTGAGCATCCTATCAATTCATTTCCATCAACGTGAGGATTATGGTACAGGAAACACTAATGACAAGTGGCCTCCGTGCATTATTTCTCGCAAATCATGTGTGAATCGCCAACTGGAGTTTTTAGGTGCAAACTTCGAGACGCAGCGACTCATCAAGTGTTGGAGCTTGATCAGACGCGATTGCTTCAAGGATCAATAAAGTTCTCTGAATATTGAATGTTGTATCAAAGGCCGCCGTCCTGGAGCTCGGACAGTATCCGACATTTTGTGTTCATTGATGCATTGCAGACCAGAGACATTTAAGAGAAAGGAAGACAACCGCGCTCGAACTTCACTGATGAACAGTGTAACAGTATCCCATTGACTGCTGCTTAACGTCAGCGGAGTCGGACCCATAATAATACCCGCCTTTACCCCGCACTTCAATCGGTACAAGACGAAACATCATTTACCCCTATATTTTTTTTAACTTCTATCACTAACGTACCTGCATAGCGAGCGACGCATCATAGCGAGCGACGCACTCTCTCAAACCTTTCTACCTTATGTATAAGTTAACTTAGCCACAACGTACGAAATCAATTAAAACTATATATCACCCTCTTCCTCATTACTATCCCAAACCACTTCACAGGTTCGTGCGTTATGTCCAGGCTTCCCGCAATTACCACATCGTCGCGCGCGTGGTTCAGCACCTTCCGTACGACCCTCCTTCTGAGGGTTATTCTCTCCTCCAGCATTAACACCACCCTTCTCTACTTATAGATAGAGGCAGCTCTTCGTATAGACATTTTCGGGTCTTTTTCAATAGCTTGGAGGGCAAGGGTAATTCGACTTTCAATTGAGGAGGATTGCATGTTCGTACGTGGAGAAAAGGTGACCTAAAGATGAAGAGGGTAGAATTGGGAGGACGTGCGTCGCTCGCTATGATGCGTCGCTCGCTATGCAGGTACGTTACTCAAACTATCATTTTAATTAATATTGCGATGTCTTTTAGTGATTTTAATGCTTCCGATGTCTCTATAGTGTTACGAGCTGGACAAGGCAACCAACTGTGGCACAAAGCAAAAGCTTCGATAATGATGACTCCGCATCATTTTCCCTTGTTCTGCATTATATAGTTACGCGCCCACAGTGACAAGTTGCGGCGGGCGTAACATATAGCTACCAATATTTTTATACGGAGCTTTATATTTGTTAAGCTTCTTTCTAAAGACCTTAAAGTCGGCTATACTACCGACTACATACTAGAGAAGTACGATAATAGTATAGTCCGGCCTTAAGCCTCCGGCTGAGCCTAGCTTACCCGGCTCCTTTATACTTTTTACTATACCGGCCCGGGACCAGCAAATATAGGACTTACCGGAAACGCTGATTAATCTTTTCCTTTGATATGTTCCCCGGAGCCTTATGTTACGGCCAGCTAGTCGTAGGGGTAGTTTGCAGAAGTTGAGGCTGCGGAACTGGTAACAGTAATCGTAGTCGGGGATAGCTTCAGGGAAGCTATGTCTGTCAATCGTAAGGGTAGGTAAGGCTTCGGTCATCAATCGTAGTCTTGTCAAGGTAGTAGCTGAAAGCGGATGTTAATCCTGATACGAAGTTAATTGCTGAAGAAGCTATGGAAAGTCTGTCCTAGAGCCCAGCTCGAGTCCATCCTTATATACAAGTCCGATCCTAACTGAGCAGTGCTGAACAGTCCACTTTGTCTGGATATGTTAGATATGCCGAATATCCAACATATCCTTGACTCGGTTGGATATGTCGCATATCCAACATATCCTTATCCCTTATCATATCTCTTATCATCACGTGACTTGTACCATAGTTCTTCCGTTCCTGGGGTTTCCCCAATGTTTCGTCCCGTCCTGCATATATGATGCGCCGTAGCCGCTAGGCGTCAGCGGGGCACGCCCTGGTCTTCATGTTGGGTCGTAACACCCGGCTAGCGCCGGATAACGAGGCGGCAAAGCAGGCCTTTCTAATGCTAACGTAACGGGTTATAACGACCTTAGTTACTTTACTTCCGGTAATAATTTTCTACGTCTTTCTAGATAACTTCTTTTCTTTTATCCGGCTCTTCCGAGCTCTCCGGAAGTAGTAAGTTGGAGCTTCTGGCATTTACTAGAAAGATAGCGGGATAGATAAGATCCTTATTGCCGAGAAAGTAACTAAAGAATAAGATATCTCTTAGGGTAAGATATATTATATTTCTATTTTAAATAAGAAGGTGCAGTATTATAAACTATCTTTTAAGAATTTTTGTATTAATTAGTTCTTCTAGATTAATTAGTTTATTTAGAAAGATAATATTATTATACTTGTCATAGACCCGCTGTCCTAGACCCCAACCTTGAGGTTGGTGTTGAGTAATCCGGTGGCCGGGTTACGTAAGCCTGAGGCTGGATAAAACCCTGCATCCTGTATTCTGTCGCGCATGTCCAGAAACGTAGCTCCTTGAGCTACGTCTTGTCAACAGAGCCTGTACCTGCTTAGGATAGAGCCTGCCCGTAGCAATAGATTCTCTGATCCGCCTGCCCAGCATCCACCTGCCAAACAACCTGCCTGCTACCGTGACATATAATATAAAACATAATATTATAAAAATCATATATAGCTTTATATAAGAGGAAATATAAAAGTGGGTCCACGATAAGGCTAAATTTCTATATAAGAGTTTTAGAGGTATGTATAATTTTTATAATATTATGTTTTATAATAAAACCCTTATCAAAGCTCATTTGAAAAGGCTTCTATATTTTAATCTTATATCCGATTTTTAATAACTAGTTAAAAATCGACCTTTAAGGTGCGATAAGGGAGTGGCCCACTCGCTTGTGTGGCTCACTCGTTTGTGAACTACGTTAATTATAAAATGAACGGCGTTAATATTAGTGACTAGATGAGGTCCTATTATTAATAAGGCTACCCTATCCAGCGAGGGGGCTAGTAGATAATTTCTTGGGATTTTCTATTAGAAGTGATAGTTGTGAATAGCTATCTGCTGTAGCTCTGGAGTAAGCCTAGTTGGCAATTTATTAAAAAGTAGTATTAATGGCGGTAACTGCAGCTTACCTAGCTTATCTAGCAGTTTAGACCATTAGTAAGAGGTCGGTAAAGATATGACCTAAGTAAACAAGAGATGAAAGGAATACCTCTATTCCTTGGCAGTACTATCGTAAGGAATTAAGAAAGTTCTGTTTGCCTTGCTCTTATTATAGTAATATAATAATATTACGATCTCGCTAGGCTCTAGGCGAGATATCTGGCAATAACCTTAGAAAGCTGCGAAGGTATACTCGAAAAGGCTGCTTAGTACATAATATATTATTATGTACCGACCGAGATTACTGGTACCTTTGACATAACCCAAATATATAGACAATATAAGTACCTTAAAACGTGCCTAATTATTGGCTGACACAGATGAGCCTGTTTGCCCTTATTGGCTGTCCCCCGCACAAGGGCTCCGCTGACGTTAAGCAGCAGTCAATGGGATAGACGAAGCCCATTTTTGGTTGTCTTGCCCTAGCATGCAATCGGGTGGCAAAGTAAGTAAATGGCCGCCTGTCCTTATAATATAATAGCCACCAAAAAGCGGCCATTTACTTTGTCACCCAAGCAGCATGGTAAATCAAGGACAGTGAGACCCCTTGCTTGTGTTGCAATTCAACAGGCGAAATTCCTATAAGCGGCATTTATCAAGATCAGTCAGGCCGCCATTCTTACTGGCGGGCGCCTTGTTAGGCTGAGGCAGACTGTCTCATATGTTTCAGACACTGAGGAAAAGGCTTCTTCGGCACGTGGGAAGTGTGGAAAGCTAAATTGTCGCGAAATTCAGGATCCACAAAGAAAAGCAAATCGCGGACGATGATAACAAAGTCGCCGTCTTGAAGTCGCTCAAAAGGGTTGCCGGCGTGCCGACTCCGTTTCGAACTTATGAGAGTCAGCAACCCGTATTCTTTCCTCGTGTTATCACGATCTACAATCGTGTTTTCCGTAGGTGATCTGACGCGATTTGAGCTAGCCGTTGGTTCGCTGTTCAGTGCTCGCGATAACGGAGCAGCGAAGGAAGAACGCCCCATCCTAGCATGATCCCAGCCGTCAATCCCAATTGGGTTAACCAGCAGACGCCAACCTGCACGTTAAAGCGGCCGATCAGGGGAACGGCAGGGTTATGCCGCATAACGGTCTCGAATTAGGTGCGCCATTCCGTATCCATAATTACGAGCCCAACTCAATGGTGGAGATTATTCCATTGACTTTTTGGGCACTCGGGCTGAACGGCATGGGTCTGCTCATCTCCGCGCTCAGGTCGCGGCCGGAACAGCGCGAAAACTTGGGGTCGGATCCCAGGAAATCCGTCCCATCTTGCAGGCAGATACCAGGTTCTCCATCATCAAGTTGATCGTACGGATACTCACATGCAGGATGCGTGTTTGAGGCGCCTGTAGATGGAGGGAGTCCAGTAGCAAGGCTTCAACATTAGTCTATAAAAACGTAATTCAAAATTGTGCGAAGGCGACGCCAGACATGACCCATCCGAGTTTTGTGTGGTATAATCCTCAATTCCCAGCCCCTCCAAATGCACTTCGCTAGTTTGTCGCTACTCCCTTCATCGTAGCCGGTTGGTATCATTCGGGTTTCTCAAAATAGCTCTAAGGAAAAACAAGATTCGTGCGGGCATCTAAATCTTGCTTAGAAGAGCATGTAAGCGGCGACGGCAACGGAGCCGAAGATGGCAAAGGTGGACTTGATGGCGGAAGCACTGCTGGGAGCAGAGGTGGAAGTACCGGAGGCAGCGGAGCCAGTGGCGGTGCCGGAAGCGGTACCTGAACCGGAGGCGTCAGAGGCAGCGGTTCCGGAGGCCGAGGCAGTGGCAGAGCCGGTGGTCACTGTGGTCACGGTGGCAGTGGCCGCGGAGCCGGAGGCCGAGGAAGACGAACCAGTGGCAGAGGCAGTGGCAGCAGAGCCGGAGGCGCTGGCCGATGCAGTAGCAGAGCCGGAGGCAGAGGCGGAAGAGGAGTCTAGGTCATGAAATCAGCGGATGAGTTGATAAACACTGTGAGAGAGAAATGCATGGTTTCACGTACCGTCAGAGCCACTGAAGGTGAACTCGTTGGACTGAGCCAGAATGCCAGAGCTCTGGGCGTCGGTGGAGACGAGGTTGATGCGGTAGTTGCCGCCGGCAGCGACCTTGGCGTCCTTCAGCTCGTACTTGCCGTCGGCAGCCTGGACGGTGGCGATGGTCTCAGAAACCCCGGGGAAGCTGGCCTGGTTGACGATGATGATCTCAAAGCTCTTGGGGTCGCTGGAGACGGTCTCCCAGGTGATCTCGTTGGTCTTGGAGAGGTCCCAGTCGTCACCCTTGGCGGGCTTGGTGACCTTGACTGCCTCGGCGATGGCCAGGAAAGAGGTGATAGCGACGGCGGTCTTGGAGAACATGTTGTCGGTTGTGGTTAGAAATTAGATATAAGTTGTTTTTGGTGTTTTGTTGAAGTTTTCTGGTATTAGAATAAGTAGCGTGTCTGAGCGAGTGACAAGAACGAACGTCCAAAATTGATGAATCTGAGGAGTTGACCGAACACCGTAGGGGAAATTGAGCTTCCACCTCAAGCTTTATAAACAACCCATTCGTAGACGAACCCTGTCGATAGTCCGGACGAGTCAGGCCTGGTGCTCACACCCCTCCTCCTCCTCCTCCACTCATTAGTGCCACCCCACCGCCCCATCTCGTATGGAAAACCGACTTTCAGAGAATTTTAGATTGCTGTTAAGCATGAACCATCAATCCGTGGTGGGTTGGTTTCTTTTCTGCTAGCCGTGACGTAGGCGACTCCCTGCTTCGGGCGTACGCGAAGGAAGAAATGGCATCCACTGCAACTCGTAAAAAGCAAAGACCGTCGGCCGTCGGCCGTCAGCCGGTATTGCCGCCAATAGAGTTCCGTGGTCCTGTAGTGATAGTCAAAGACATGTTGATTAAGAAACTTTCAGCTCTTCAAACAGACAACGAAAAAAGTTCACTAGGAAGGGCCAATGGCTTTCAAGCTTCCAGCACGCAAGCTTTCTTGTCCCCAGGTCCAATCAGGAAACTTCCATTTGTGCCTATCCCCATCACAAAAACCCAGGCGAGATGAGGCACACCCATGGTCAACACTGTTGGGGTTGTGGCTGATAGACTAAACTAAGTAACTCCCCCCTTTAGCTCGGTTGCGCGGTACCTTGCATGGAAGAGCCGCCCCCGTGCAGCACTGATTTCCACCCTAAGGGATCTAGTGTGGTAAACAAAATGGAGTCGTCTCTTCCACTCTGTGCCTCTTTTTCTTCCGGTTTACCAGGCGTGCCAGGTCCGCACGTATCCGTACGCCAGGTTAGGTGTACCTAGTTGACCGACAGGTTGGTTGGCAACGGGCAGCGGAAAGCCGCAGGCCATCGTTCACCTCGTGTACTTTTCCGAGACGGCGATCAGTAGCAACGGGGCCCTGTCATCTTCGTGGACAGGTCACAGACCTCGAGCCTGTCACTTGTCAATCCAAATTTGACACAACCCGACCAGTTGCCTTTTTGGTGGATACTGCCAAGCTGGTTCAAAAGTTCCGACGGCGGAGTTCCTGACAGCTGCAGCCTGCAGCGGGATCAGTAAGTGTGACTAGCAGCAAGGACTTGGCGTCATACCATCGCAGCTGTACGGAGTACTTGGGGCGAAACTATTGATAGACGACTCTGACCTAGCCGCAGACGGAGCACAGTAGCTCTTCGGGGGAATATCGGGCCATTGTCTCGTATTTGGGAAGCGCTCTTGGTAACCACCGCATTTTCTTCGCAAAGTGACAACCGTCTTCGCCATCGCGCTTTTCCAGACACACTGCCGCCGCTACCAGTCGCCGGTGGGGCGAGGGGACATGGTCAAGGCGCCTCCAACACCCGTCGATTTCCCGGCCCGGTGGTACTCGGAAGCAGCCGGATGGAGCTGCCTGTACAAGCCGTATGCCTACGATTAAAGCGTGATGTATATCACAATCTTTGTTCTAACCAACATGAAGTCTATTACATTTACGAAGTCAAGACTAAAAGGGTAAGCACCTTACTGTTACGACCCAACATGCATGACCAAGAACAGGGCCTGCCCCGCAGGCTCGCGGCGGTTACAACGCACCATATCCCATCGAGTGCTGTTGGGCTACAGATACATTCACAGAAGGGATCCTGACCACTCAGGGGCAGCCAAGAGTTTTCTCGACCAATCAATGGCCCTATTTGAAAGGTACTTCGGTTGCCTATATATTTTGAGTGTGATAGAGGTACCAGCAATCATCAGAGTTACAAATCGCAACCCCACACTGCTTGCATCCTGACCTCGTCTTCTTTCTCCTATCTCTTCGCAAGTTCCGTGTGACTTCGCCTAATGCTATTCGTTTGTTGTTACAAGACAAGCAAGCAGAGGGCTTCCGTGATACCCTCGTATGTTGTTGCCATGGAATGGAATTCTCTCTTGTATCAGTGGCCCTCTGAGGCCGGGCCCGTTGCCTCCCATGAACTAATGGCCCAAAGCGCTGAATTAGCTGGGTGGAAAGGGTCCTTCGCCATTCGTACTGAGAGTTGGCCCGAGCCCATTCCGGCTCGCCCCAGAGCTGGAGAAAGAAGCTATTAACAACTACTACTTCTAAGAGAAAGTTCCACGTAAGGGATTGCCACCCCCCTCGTCGAACTGGCCGCCCATACTAGTTATAAGATCTCATTTGATCCCCTGTATCAACGCCGTTCATATTATGGTTATAATCATCGATCCATACAGGAATAGGCAGTTTCTTTTGGGCTTCTGGACCAAAGACCTCTCGGGCGGTACGAGCGGCAGCCGAGGACTTGGTAGGCCGGCGACTGTTCCGTAGTATCTGCTCAGTGTCGCGATAAACAGTTGTGAGGAAAAGTACCAAGGCATTATCTTTCCAGCTTAGCTGATTGACCTAGAAATGTAGGGAACAAACCTTCAGTATAGAAACACTATGAAAAGATATGTGCCTTACGTACCTGACCGTCTTTTGTAGGGATACAGTGGATCTGACCCCAGGGAATATCCTTCCCTTCATCTTGCTTTTCATTAACAAGTAACTGATCAATTCCCCCATCCCTTCGGCAGGTTCCAGTTGCCCCTATTGCCTTTAATCGTAAAGCACGAAAGAGCTTTACAGAGGCAAATAGGTTATCGAGGAAAACGTGGTATTCAGCAAGGGGTAGTAGGGTCAGTAACGTAGTAACTACTCGTTGAGTGGGCGTGAGGCTGTCGTCGACCCCCTTTTCCCTTTGAAGCTGTGGCCGCTGTTGTGGTACAAGACCATACGGCCCCTTTCCGTGGACGTGCCACAACCATCGTAGGAAGTATCCAGACTGCGCTAAAACCCATACTTTGTAGCCAACTGGCGTAGGCTTACTGGGTACTGTTGTCTTCTCAATAGAACGACCTGTAAATCGTACCATTGCCTCGTCAACGGTGAGGTTCCTACCAGGTAGATAGAAGCCATCACCAACTTCCTGTATATGACTAGACCACTGGTTCACCTGCCTATAGACCTTAGGCATAAGGTCCTCACGAGGCTGGGCTTCACTGCGGTATCGTTTCTTCGTAAGATGGGGGTCAGGCATAGTAAATTCAGCAGTATTGAAGATACGTAAGCGGCGGGATAATAGTTGGAACCGGTCTCGAGAAATAAATCGGGTAAATAAATGGATAGGATCTTCGTTCTTTTGAGATGTTGACCAGTACTTGGATACCTTATTTTCGGTATGGATTCCCTATATAAATGAGGATCCCCAAGTACAAATAGACTTCCTCTACAGAAGTCGGTCTCCATACGCGGCTTCGAGAGTATTGCTGAACAGGACCTTGTTGTGCTGCTTCATTCGTCCATTGTACCCACGATTCTACTATTCCTTGTGGTGCGTGCCGCTGGAATAGCTTCAATGGAGTATCGGGGAGGTCTCGTACCGTCGCCTTACGATAGGGCACTTTGAGGGGACTGAAGTGGCCTGGTATGCCTCGTTCTAGCGAAGGTGGTTCATGTGGGCGTACAGTCGCGCTATCACACTTCTCGGGCGTACAGTCAGCTGTACAGGCGCTTGCGAGGTCTTCAGGAAGTATCGCAACGTTGATACAGGAATGTACAGACCCTTCAGAGTCACTATCGTCGCTCGAGGCCATCGTGACGAATTGGCATGTGTAGATAGGCGATTTTGGTGGTGAAGGGAAGCCAGGGATTCCTAGGGGTAAATGACGTACTGTCATGTATTCCTGATGTGAGGGGTTAAGAGTGGGTAAGAGAGTGGAGCAATGTATCTGTAGCCCAACAGCACTCGATGGGATAATACACGATACCGTCACTTAACGTGCATGATAAGCGAGCGGATCGGACATGCGAGCGGATCGCTCAATAGCGACCGTCACATCTTTTTCTTTCCAATATATATCCATCCACTAACGTACTTGATAAGCGAGCTGCCCAGACAAGCGAGCTGCCCACCTAACCATAATCACATTATAAATCTAACTAGTTAACGAGCAACACTAAAAACATAAAATCAATTGAAACTACTCTGAATCCTATTCCTCAGATATTTCTTCATTAAACTGATATGTTCGCGCATTGTAGCTAGTATTTCCGCAGACGCCATATCGCCGTTAACCTATTTCTATCCTCGGCCGACGACCACTACTCTGGCGCTTTTCCTCCTCAATCTGGGCCGTAGCCTCTCTCTACGACTGAATGTCCTCTGCCTCAGCTACAATAAGACTTCCTCCTTATCTAAGACGTGTTTTCTTAGCCCTCCTACGTCGGCTAAATAGGTTATTCTCCTCCCGGAGGATCTAGACCTCCGACCTTAATAAGGCAATCTGGTAGTTATATAAATCCCTGCGCTCCCTTTAATAAATACTCTATAGCTTTAATAATTAAAGTTGGAGAGCTATTCTGATGGCGGGAGATCCTCCTTTTAATGAGTTCGGACTGAGAAGAGGCCTCTGTTGGATTGTTTAGCGTCTGAGAAGTCTATGCGGGGGGTGTTGTTGGTAGGGACCCTGGGGGTGTTAGAGTGTGTAACTTGATATTAAGCTTCAAAGCACACTTTCGGTACTCAAAGGAATAAGCCCGGCCCCTCTAAAGCCTCCCTGGATGTTTTTTACCGTTAGGGCTTGTGTGAAAGCGTTATGAAATGTAGGGAAGAAGTCCTCCTTCGTAATAACGTAGTTCATCAGTCAGCGACGAACTTTTTCCCAAATGCGGTTTGCATTAAACCACTCCAACCTTTGACGCGTAATAACTACACAACCATTATGCCAATTTACACACAAGAAGACAAGATACTTCTAGCCATCGAGACTATCCGATCAGCCCGCGCCGCCGGCCGAAAACTAAGTATGTTGCGTGCTACGAAGACTTACGGTATCCCCGAAAGTTCCGTACGCCATAGAATGAACGATCGACCCCGACGCGAACGTGCCCAATCCCAACGACATAAATTTGATACGATCGAAGAGAAAGCGCTTCTCCAATACGTTATTAAGCAGGATCAAAGAGG